AGGGGAGGTGGCCGTTGCCACAGTCAAAGAGCAAGGTCTTTAGGTGTGATGTGAACATGGGCAAGGAGGGGGCAAGAGCAGAGGGATTCTAGGGATTCGATTGAAAAGGACGATTTTCTTTTTCCTCATTTGCAATGCAGAATCAGCTCCCTATATTTGGCAGAGGCATTTACAGGCAGCTAGAGAGGCAGAACTGAGGGGAAATTGAATGAATTGTCAGTCGATTATAAAACGTCAAATCGTTCTTACACATCATAAAATTGGAGAAAATAATTTATATCAAATCGTTTCATTCTGACTCTGACCCATTATTTAATGTGAAGTGTCTTCAACAGGACGGACACATTTGCTCAGAGTGACTGGTTGATAAACCTATTTGTTTAATGATGGATTATAATCCATTAAAATGCACTCGCTCTTCATCAGCCACAGCACTTGAAGAGCAAACAGCAGGCTTTCCGTGCACCGATGTAAAGGATACGGTACAAAGAACAACTAAAGAGAATTTCATCTGCGTATCTGATAATATTTGGCAACAGGCCAAGGAGAGCTATCGTGAGGTCTGGGAATAAGGCAGAATAATTCACGAAATGGCTCAACACTATAATACTATGATGAAGTCCCACGTAGCGTAATGGTTAGAGTGCTCGCCTTGCAAGCAAGAGGACCCAGATTTGATTCCCAGGCAGGGTGAAACCTTACTCCAAATTTCCTTACTCCGCGTGCCCCTGTTTACCTAGCAGTAAGTAGGAACCCACTTGTTAGTCATTTAGTGGATCGCTTTCCAGGGGTAATAAAAATCCCTCCAAACAAACAGACAAAACAATGTGGTCACTGAACCCACGAGTGTTTGTGGGACACTACTGTGCGCAATTGGCTGCTGCGTTTTACCCACAAAATACACAGTCAATACACTTTACAGGTTAATCTGTGAAGCGTTTTGAGATGTCTCAATAACGTGATAAGGCGCTATATTAAATGCAAGGATTGTTATTTTTATTTTATTGTATAGATGATAGAGTGGGGAGTCTGGAAGGATGAGATCAAATGGGTCAATTTGCCCTCTCTTGCCTTCTGCGGGTTGAAGCCCCCACGTTGGGATTTTGAACTCACAGTCCAGGCTGATACTCCAATTCAGTGCTGGGGGGAGAGGGTTGCTTTGACAGTGGTGCCAGCCTTTGGACAAGACTGGAAACCGAGAACCCGTCTGTGCCCTGTTCAGGTGGATGTTAAAGATCCCGCAGTTCTATTCAAAAAGAGAAGGTACTTTACTCCTGGTGTCCTGGCCAACAATCCCCCAGATAAAATCCCTCGCCATTCATTTTGTGGTTGTTTGTGGACGTTCCAAATTGCTACATAAATAGAGTAAAATCTGGACCCCCGATGGCATTTCGGCCAGAAAATACACAGTCACTACACTTTACGGTATATTCTGTGAAGGCTTTGAGACGTTATAAGGCGCTACATCCAACGCAAGGATTATTATTAATTTCTTCCCCAATAATCTGTAGTAATTAATTATCCAGTTGTCTCAGAACACCAGCGATGTTATTCATTTAGCGACAGGAGACTGTCAGCAGCTTGTTGTGAGTAAGTGCCAGATAAATTATAATGGATGTCACCTTGCTTGCGTGAGTCAACTCGCTATTGGATTGTAATTGTCTCTCTCTGCCATTGTTTCATCGCCAGCCAATAAAACAATCAATGTAAACTTTTGTGTCAATGACTTTCAGTCAAACTCATGAGCAATCTTTGGTCAGCAACAACGCCACTTGCTGTCTGTAACCAAGGAACTGTTCACAAGAGTTACTCAAGTACCTTATGTGGGTTCCTCTGGTTTACTGCCATAACCACCTACAGATCATCATGTAATTTTGTGATTCATGTCCAATGGTTACATAGAGTGATACAGCAGGGAACCAGGGTGTTTAGCCCAACTGGTCCATGCCGTGAATGACCCGTCACTTTGGGTGCTCATTTCCACTGTGTGACCCCTTTCAGTTATCCTCCTGACCTGATAAGGTGCTCTATAATAATAATCGTTGCCTTATCATGTTATTGAGACGTCTCAAAACGCTTCACGGAACATACTTTCAAGTGGTTTGTCTGTATGTTTTATGGGCGAAACAAGACAGCCAATTGCACACAGCAGATTCCCACAAACAGTGGTTGAGTAACCAAATTTATTTGGAGGGGGGAAAGTGATCCGCCAATTGACTGACAACAGGGTTCCTACTTACTACTAGGTAAACAGAGGCGTGTGGAGTAAGGAAACATGTCCAACATTCTGCCCTGCCCGGGAATCAAACCTGGGTCCTCGTTTGCGAGACGAGTGCTCCAACCAATACAGGTGTCTACTTGTGTTTACAAAGAGCCATTCACATCTCGGAGCACTTCACAAAGTGTTGTTTGGGTTTGGTGTAGTGCATAGAGGAAAGCAGTGAGTGGGTAGAGGGAGGGGAGGAGATACACAGTCACTACACTTTACAGTATATTCCGTGAAGCGATTTCAGACGTCTGAACGATGTGATAAGGCGCTATATCAATTGCAAGGATTATTATTATTACCATAGGCACGGTCAAAGAGGTTTTAAGGTGGGATTTAAAGACAGTTGGAGAGAAAAAGGAAGGAAAAAAATAATACTTTTACAAAATTTGTTTGGCTTCAATATTGTTACAGCAACTTTGCTTTCAAAGTCAAACATTTTTACAACCAAAGGTCAGGACTTTCATCAAGGTGTTTCAGAACTCTTTTTCTTTTCGCGGGGGGGATTACATTTATTCAGAAAAGGGAGACAAAAACAGTAAGTGGCTGCAGTTTGTCACGTAAAGCCCAACAACAATGGTACTGTATGCAACGGAGCTTTCAAGCATTCAGAGGCCACACACACTGACATCCATCGATTGAAACCCCCCTTTTGTGTCCGACTTAATGGGATTTTTTTTAAAAAAAGAGAAACCTTTTGTCTTTATTAGTGAGAAAAATACCCAATAATGTGGCCTGATCCCTGGGGAAGCTTGTTCTCTTAATGCTTTGAAGATGCTTGACCTTTGGACTTGTGAAAAATGAGGGAGACAGAGGGGGGGGCAGCAATTGTTGTGGAATTATTTACATTGATCAGAACATCTTTGTCGCAAGCCAAACACTCACTTGTGTGTGCAGGTGTTGAGGGGGAGGCTGCTGTGATTATTTGGGGCTGGTAGGGTTTGCGGCCGGTTGGGGGTGTGTGTGGGGTTTGGTGTTTGGGGAGCTTGCGATTGGGGTTGGATGGTGAGACTGGGGGGGTTGGGTTGGTTGAGGTAGGGGGATGTGTGGTTGGGATTGGGGTGGGTTGGGGGTGTGTGGTTGGGGGATGGGTTGGTTAGGGTGGAGTGTGTATGTGTGGTTGGGGATTTGGGGTGTGGTTGGAGAGGGTATGGTGGGGGGGTGGGGTAGGGTGTGTGCGGTTGGGGTAGGGTGTGTGTGTGTGGTTGGGGGGATGGGTTGGTTGGGGTACGTGTGTGTGTGGGGGGGATTTGGGGGGTGGCGTAGGGTGTGTGAGTGGGGTTTGGGGTAGGGTGTGTGTATGGGGGGTTGGGTAGGGCATGTGTGGAGTTGGGAGGGTTGGGGTAGGGTGTGTGTGTTGGGGTAGGGTGTGTGTTGGGGGGTTGGGGTAGGGTGTGTGTGGTTGGGGGATGGGATAGGGTGTGTGTGTGTGGTGGGGGGTTGGAGGGGTTGTGGTAGGGTGTGTGGGATTGGGGTTGGGGGATGGGTTGGTTGGGGGAGGTGTGTGTGGTTGGGGGATTTGAGGGGTGTGTGAGTGGAGTTTGGGGGTTTGGGGTAGGGTGTGTGTATGGAGGGGATTGGGGTAGGGTTTGTGTGTGGGGGTTGGGTAGGGGGTGTGTGGGGTTGTGGGAGTTGCGTTAGGGTGTGTGTGGGTGTGTGGGGGGAGGGGTTGGAGTAGGGTGTGTGTGGAGTTGGTGTGTGGGGCGAAGGAGTTTGGGGGTTGAAGTGTGTGGGGTTGTTGTGGTGGTGGGAGGAGTTTGGGGAGTGGGGGTGTGTGGGGTTGTGATGAGTGGCGAGGGGTTGGGGGTGTAGGGTTTCGTGGGAGGGGTGTGGGGTTGGGGTGTGTGGGGTTGGTGTTGGGGGTGTGGAGAGGATGGGGTTGGTGTGGGGGGAGGGATATGTGGTGTGGGAAGGGGTATGTGGTGGGGGAGGGGTTTGGTGTGTGGGGTGAGGTGTTTGGAGTGTGGTTGGGGAATGGGGTTGGTGTGGGGGGGGAGGGGTTGGTGTGGGGAGGCACGGTTTGGGGGGTTGGTTTGGGAGGTTGGTGTTTGGTGGGGGGTTGGGGTGTGGGGTTGGTGTTTGGGGGTGTGGGGGGTTGGTGTTGGGGTGTTGGGGTTGGTGTTGGGGTGTGGGGGTGTGGGGTTGGTGTTGGGGTGTGGGGGGTTGGTGTGTGGGGTGGAGGTGTGGGGGTGTTGGTGTGTGGGGTTGGGGTGTGGGGGTGTTGGTGTGGGGTTGGGGTGTGGGGGGTTGGTGTGGGGGGTTTGGTGTTGGGGTGTGGAGGTTTGGGGTGTGGGGTTGGTGTTGGGGTGTGGGGGGTTGGTGTGTGGGGTGGAGGTGTGGGGGGTTGGTGTGTGGGGGATTGGTGTGTGGGGTTGGGGTGTGGGGGGGTTGGTGTTGGGGTGGTGTTTGGGGTGTGTGGGGGTTGGAGTTGGGGTGGTGTTTGGGGTGTGGGGGGGGGTGGGGGGGGTGGGGGGTTGGGGTGTGGGTGTGGGGGTGTGTGTGGGGGTGGGGGTGTGTGGGGTGTGGGGGGTTGGGGTGTGGGTGTGGGGGTGTGTGTGGGGTGTGGGGGGTTGGGGTGTGGGTGTGGGGGTGTGTGTGGGGGGTGGGGGGTTGGGGTGTGGGTGTGGGGGTGTGTGTGGGGGGTGGGGGTGTGTGGGGTGTGGGGGGTTGGGGTGTGGGTGTGGGGTGTGTGTGGGGTGTGGGGGTTGGGGTGTGGGTGTGGGGGTGTGTGTGGGGGGTGGGGGTTGCTGTGGGGGTCGGAGCTGTGGTTGGAGGCGGCGTTACCGGAAGCGCGGTTGCGGGCCCGGAAGCGCGCGTTGCCAGGGTGGTTGCTAAGGCCGCGGCAGCAGAGCAGAGCAGAGCAGCCCCGAGCCCGAGCCATGGCCCGGGGAATCCTGTGCGACATCAACTGGGACAATGGCTTCGCCATCCCCGTGGCCAACACTGAGAACAAGGACCTGGAGGCGAATGTGAGTGACCCCGGGGGGGGAGTGAGGGGGGAGGGGTGTGTGAGGGGAGGAGCGAGGGAGTGAGGAGGAGGTGGGGGGGGAGAGTGAGGGGGCGAGGGGGAGAGGGAGGGGAGGGGGGAGAGGGAGGGGAGGGGGGCGAGGGGGGGGGGGGGGCGAGGGGGAGAGGGAGGGAGTGGGGTGGTGTGGAGGGTGGAGAGCGAGGGGATTGAGTGAAGGGGTGGAGTGAACCGGGAGAGGGGAGGGGAGGGAGCGAGACGGGGAGGGAGGGAGGGAGGGAGGGGGGGTTAGTGTGGAGTGAGAGTGAGTAGAGTGAGGGGCGGTGTGTGAGTGGGGTGGCAGTGTGTGTGTGTGCGGGCGGGTATATAGGGGGGCAGCGAGTGGTGGGGGGGAGTGAGTGGGTGGAGGGCGCAGTGAGTGGGTGTGTGGGGGCAGGTGTGTAGGAGGGCATTGAGTGGTGGGGGAGTGTGTGTGGGGGTTGCAGTGTATGTGGGGGAGGGCAGTGTGTCTGGGGGTGGGGGGGGGCAGTGAGTGGTGGAGGAGTGAGTGGGGGTGGGGTTCAACTTGGGTCCTGATGAAAGCTCATCGACCTGAAACGTTAACTCATTTTCCTCTCTCCATAAGTGCTGCAGTGCCTTCTGTCTTTAATACTGTAAAGTGAATTGTTGGCGAATGGTGGCAGCCGGTTGCGCACAGCGGTGTCCCACAAACCGCCGTGGATTGAGTGACCAAATTAATGTTATTATTTTGTTTTTTGAAGGGATCATTACCCCCAGGAAAGCTGTCCGCCAGTTGACTAACAAACGGGTTCCTAAACGAACTCTCCAACCACTAAGCTACAGGGCAACAGCTAATATCCATTGAACTATTTGGCTGTTTAGGAGGGGAGAGAGCAAGAGAGCCACCATTCTGTGTAAGCCTCATCGCGGGGGTGGGGGGATGCAGTTAGGAGGTTAGCAGAAATAATCAGTTATGTGACAATTTTTTCATTTGTCCCCAAGAATGGATTTTATCACTTGGGAAAAGTATTTATGGGTTTTGAATAAGGCGACTTCAGCTTAATTTATGCACCTATCCAATTTATTTAACAATCAAGCAACATTATTTGAAAAGATAAGTACACCGTGGAGACAATTTGCGAACACGTCATGCTAAAACCTACGGATTGAAAATAAATTGTAAAGAACTACAGTATTGAGCAAGTACAGTGCCCACCTTATCTGTAGTAATAAATCAGTCGAAGATAAATTTATTTCAGTTGTGCAATGGCTTCCAGGCACTTGTATGTGGAGCCATTTGCATTGAAATCTGTTTCTGTTCAGCCCTTTGAGAAACTTGAAATCCCTCTGTAAACCTGCAAGGACGGCAGCGGAATCTGTCTGGTAGTATTTTTACAACGTTATTCACAGCTGCAAAGCACCACGTAGATAGGGAGGACTGAGGTACTAAATTGAAGGGTAGGAAAGCTGTAACCTCACACATTGACAGATACACAGGATGGCAGTGCAGAAGGGCCATGGATCAGGGTGGCGAACGGGCAATGGAGTCCTGTATCTTCTTGGTTAGAGCACTTGCCTCGCAAGCGAGAAGACCTAGGTTCGATTCCTGGGCAGTTTCCTTACTCCACAGGCCTATGGTTACCTAGCAGTAAGTAGGAACCTGGCTGTTAGTGGATTGACGGATCGCTTTTCCGGAGGTAATAATCTCTTCAAAACAATTTTGATAAAAATAATAATTTGGTCACTCAATCCACGATTATTTGTGGGACGCTGCTATGTGCAATTGGCTGCCGTGTTTTGTCCCATAAAATATACAGTCAATTCACTTTACACTATATTTTGTGAAGTAATTTGAGATGTCTCAAAGATGTAATAAGGATTAAGATTAGGACAGGTGCCAGGAAGTACGTTTTTACATAGAGCCATGTATGTAATGAACAGCTAGAATGAGATTACAGGCAATGGGGGTTGATGCAAAGCCACCGGATTAATTTAAGAAACTGATAGACATTGCACTGGGATTGGTATTCTATTAGAATTAAATCAAATGGGTCACAGGGCTTCATTGTCCGAATCTCTCCTGTGATGAATAAACTAATTACAACCGGTTTGGGAACTATTTAATTGGTTGAAAAGTACCTAGTGTGATTGGGAAAGAAGTAATAATATTAATCCTCGCATTTGATTTAGCGCCTTGTCACGTCTTCTAGACGTCACCTTCAAAGCCCTCCACAGTCTTGCTTCTCTCTGCCTCTTTGACCTCCTAAACCCCTAACAACCTATCTGTTCCCTCCGCTCAGACATCCCCCGCACTGCCCGCCCCACCAATGACGGATGGGCCTTCAGCCTCTCTGCCCCCACCCTCTTAATCTCTATCCAGTCGTGGATTGGGCGACCAGATTATTTTGTTTTTGGAGGGTTTATTATCCCCGGACTTTCAACTCGATATTTAAAATATTTTAAAATAAAATAGATTTGAAAAATGATTAATAATAAAAATTGGTCAAATTGGACTGTTTGTGAAACACTGCTGTGTTTCACCCATAAAATATACAGTCAATTCATTTTATAGTATATTGTGTGAAGCGCTTTGAGACGTCTTGAAGATGTGATAAGGCACTGTATGAAATGCAAGGATTATTATTTATTATTATAAAATTGAAAATATTGTACAGTACAAAACAACCCAGTCCTTTCCCAATTTAGGTACAAAAGATGGAGAAGGAGAAAATTCATCTGCAGAACAAGCTGGCTGAATTTAAGGATCGCATCCACGCTCTGACACAGCATCTGAAGAATGTAAAGCAGGAGTTAAATTATACCCAGGTACCTGTTACTGATGAGAGAAGTTGATTCTTTGCTATGCATCCAACAACAACAACAACTTGGATTTATATAGTGCCCCTCATGCAGGGTAGCATCTCCGAGCGGTTCACATCAGGAGGGAATCTCAAACTGCTCACTGAACCTGATTGGGAGCCCAACCTGAGGCAGGATGAGGATGAGGATGGGAGGAGTGAGGAGGTGGCTGATCTTGCAGGTGAAAAGATAGGTCTTACAGTGGGTTTTAAAGGGGGCTTGGGGAGAGGGAGAGTGGGGGGTAAGGCAGAGAGACATGAATAAATACTGATACTAGGGTCCTAAGACACGTGTGTAAATAACATGATTAAAGATGTAAAATCAAATTATGCTGAGAGTTAAGAGAGAGAGAATTCTAAGTGGAATTGGTCACACAGAGCAGAACAGCCCCAGTGTGTTCAAAAACAAATCCATGAGGTAAACTGAGTCACGTTTCTAATGTAATTTAGCGTCCTGTAACTATGGCAGTGGCCGAGACGTTACACACAGACCTGCTCTTCCAAGTGTATAAACATTATATCTGGAGCACGTAGAACCTGTCATCTTATCCTGCCATTAAATTATGGGACGTCCTCCTGATGTGGAAGGCGCTATACAAATGTAATCTTGTCGTTGTTGTTGCTAAAGGGGGAAATTGATCTTGAAACAGAAGCAAAACAACCACTGGTTAATTTTCCTCACAGTCTCTACAACAGGCACGGGAAAAAGAGATTGAAAGTGAGACACACTTTAAGATCCTGGCAGAGCGGGAGATCGAACGCCTGAACCAGGAGATGCTGCGGCTGGAGAATGAGCTCGTTGGACTGAAGGAGAGGAAGAATATCATGGAGGTAAGGTCAACGGCTGATCACTAACGCACAGTCTGACAATTAAACAGCGATGTTTTCTGAGTATTTGTAGACACTGTAGGTGAAATCTGAGGCATTATGTGACGGCTAAATTAGAACTGTGGTCACGATGAGCCGGGCGAGAGATTTGCAAACTGCACTATGTTGAATCGTCGAGGGGAATATATTGGAGAGTATGGGGGTATCATCTGGATTCCGACTGAGGTGCCATCAAATCAACATCTGCAATGCCACAACAAAGGCACTTAAGAAAAGAGCATCTAATGTCAAATTATCTCGAGTAATTCTAGTCAAATGCAGTTTTTGTGACTTTTTAAAGACAAATATGATAGCCATTTTGTGGTCCGACAAACAAATATGAGGAGAATGATTCATTAATCTGGATAATTGTTTGTTAGGACACCAAGAAAAAGTACCTTTCTTTTCTAATAGTGTCACGGGATCTCTAACATCCACCTGAATGGGCATAAATAGGAGATAGAGTTACACAGATACAGTGTTTTGAAGTCTCACCTGAATAGAATCCAGTAGATTATTGGTTAGCATGCTTACCTCACAAGCGAGAGGACTCAGGTTTGATTCCTGGGCGGGTCGAAACCTTAGGCTAGTTTTCCGAGTTTGATTCCTCTGTTTACCCAGCGGTAAGTGGGAACCCAGTTATCAGTTGATTGGCAGATCCCTTTATGCGGGTAATAATTTTTTTAAAAAAAATTAGTCACTCAATTCACGACTGTTTGTGAGACAATGCTGTTCACAATTATCAGATAAAGCACAAAACATACAATCAATTCACTTCACAGTATATTCTGTGACGTGCTTTGAGGCGTCTCAAAGACTTGATAAAGCGCTATATCAAATTATTATTATTAGAAATACGGCACGACCGACAATGTAGCTGCGCCTGAGTACTGTGTTAGAGTATCGACCTAGACTGCGAGCTCAAGTCCCAGTTTACAAATGAGCCTGTTGGTCATTACATAACGACACCACGTATTTGTATTCCCATTTATTTTGCCTCTCATTAGAATAACATCTTCAGGTCCACCCAGAGGATTGAGGGCTTGAAGTGCCAGCTGAATTGGGACAAGCAAGCCCTGGAGGCCTGGCTGGAGGAATCAGCCAGAACTGATGAGGATGCGATCACCATTGAAAAGTACTCGCAGAGAGACGAAGGCAAGATAAGGGTATGTTTCGCCTTCAAAGCCCTCCACAGGTTGCTCCTTCCTACCTGCTAACCCCATATCAATCTGTCCGCTCCCTCTGCTCAGCAGGCTCCAAACTGCTCTATCAGGTCTTCAATCTCTCTGTCCCCACCCTTTGGAACTCCATCGTACAGTTCCTTTGCCTCGCAACCTCCCTTGTCTCCTTCAAGACCGTGCCACTCTCTTTTGGCCACTCTCATTCCCCGACCCTCCCTGCCTCCCACCCCTCCTGATCCCAACACCCTTCTCGGCTTCAAATCTCTGGCTGTACAGTGCTTTGAGATGTCCTCCTGACGTGAAAGGCCCTGTGTAATTGTAATGTCTTTCAAAGAACAGGCACAGGCACGATGGCCCAAATGCCCTTCTTCTGTGCTGTAAGATTCTATAAAATGGTTTTAGAGGTTGAGACTGGGTAGAATTGTGAGGCCCAAATGTGTTGCCTCTCCTGGTTGAGGCAAGTCCACCATTGTTCATTCTCTCGGCGGAACGGGGACGTGGTGGGTGGGTTCAGTGATTGCTGACATCCCTGAGACGGTCCTGAGCTGCTCATTGACAGGAGAAAGAAGAAAGTTGAAGAAGGGGACCCAGATTCTATCACTACATATATACCTAGTTAGCTTCCTTTCATCGCAGGATCTTATGATTCGAATGGAGAGGATGACTGACGATGCCAACAAGAAGAGGAAGCAACTTGACAACGAAATGACTGAGACTATTGCAGCCCAGGTAATGGACACTGCTCCTTGCATTTGATATGGTGCCTTATGATGTCGTTGAGATATCTCAAAGTGCTTCGCAGAATACACGGAAGTTACACAGCAGCTGTAAGGTGAATTAACTGAGTAACCAATTTTTTTTTTTCGGCGGAGCGATTATTACCCCAGGAAAGCAATCCACCAATTAACTATTCAGCACAGAAAGAGACCATTCGGCCCGCCCTGTCTACACCACTGCCACCTGCACTTTCTGCTTCAATAAGTCCCACTTCCCAGCTTTTCCCTTTAGCCTTCAATATTTTTCCATCTCTGTGCTCGGCATCCCAAATATCAAGTGTCCTGGTTAAGCACGGCTCTGCTAAGAGTGTGGGAATACCCTGCGGACCCGTGCTGTGTCATAGGTACAGTCCACCCAGACTGTGGGTCCAGCACTGCCTGTCAGGTGGCTTTCTCACTGATTTCACTTAATGTCGCTTTCAATCTCCTCAGCCCAACCTTGTTCCGTCGAAGACCTTCCTCTTCGACTGTGCCTAAGTTCACCTCCCAAATTTTCGGTGTCGTGCACCATGACTGTCAAGGGCTCTGGGATGCTACCCTGCCTGAGGGGCCCTATATAAATGCAACTTGTTGTTGTTGCAATCTTTGAAGTGCTATCATAATAATCCTTGCATTTAATATAGAGCCTTTTACTTACAGAAGAGCAAAATAATAATGTTCCATTTCTCCTCTTGTTAGATGGAATTGGATAAAACAGCGCAAGACTTCCGCAGAGCCCAGAGAGAGAGACAGGATCTGATCAAGCAATGGCAGAATACGATTGAACAGATGCAGAAGCGAGATCAAGACATGGATCAGTGTGCTCTGGTGAGTGGCTTCATAGGAACATAGGAATTGCTAGACAAAAAAAGACCAAGGCCCATCTAGTTCACCCTCTACCATCCTAGTAGTCGCATGCTACAATAATGGACATCTTGATAGAAATTCTATACGGATTGGTGTACCATCACAGCGGAAATCTTTGAGAACCGTTGATCCAAAGTTGCCTGTTTCTTCCAAGCTTAACTACACTTACTATATGTTATAGTATATAGTAAATCCAAGAGCTCTGGGACGCTACCATGCGTGAGGAGTGCTATATAAATGCAAGCTTTTGTTGTAGTATGTCTCAAATTACTCATATACTGTATCCCCAAATATTATTTTCTAAAATAAATCTATCTAATTTGTATTTGAATGAATCGACAAGTCACAGCGGTGGTCAGACTCTCAGTATTACCAGGAAGGAAATTGGACGTACATCACATACACCCCTTCCTTGCACAAAATCACAAGAGAGCTTTGAGTAAAGACGACCCTTCAGAACATGTAATGTCTTCCAGAATATCCACCCTACACTCTCTCTCTCAATCTCTCCCTTTTTTTCAAGTCCCGCCTGAAAACCTTCCTCTTCGACCGCGCTTACAGCCACCACTCCCTCCCCACACCCCACCGGCTCCAAGTCAGGCTCCGCCACTTTCAAGTGCTCTGAGACACTACTCCTGCGTGGAGGGAGCTACATAAGTGCAAAATGTTGTTGATGCTGTTCCTGTTACAGCATTGAGCTGCTTCTTAAATAAATTCCCAGGTCCTGACCTCAACCACCCTTTTTCATACCCTGTTCCAGCTGTTGACTAACCTCTGTGTAAAGAAACACTTCCCTGGTTTCTGTGCTCTTTCCTCCCCTCACTTTCTGCAGAACCCAAAAAGAACTGCTTCCATAAAAAAATCAGTTCCAAATTAAGGCTTAACCTTGTTTTACAAAATTCTACACAATCTTACATTTTAAGACAATAACCTAAAGCAACTGGGGGATCTTTGGTAGAATTAATGAACCGTGTGTTGTGCAAGGTGTGTTTGCTTTCTGCATCTCCGCATTACAAAGTGCAATAAGTTACTTTGGCCAGATGATGGTGCAAAGTTCTCTCATTCTTTTTGAGGCGCAGTTTGTGATAGAGTTTAGCAAACGCAAGTGATGTTTAACTCCTATTATTGTTAAATTTTGGAATGTTTGTAAGGATCCGTAAATGATAAAAGAGGAAAAAATACTCGTTTGGCACACGTAAGGAGTTCATTTTCAAGAAATTATGTTACATTTTATATTTTTGTTGGAACAAATCTCTGCAATAACTGTTTTATGAGATGAGTGCAGAATACAACACATTACAATTTCAAGGAGTTTTTCAGCTAAAATTAATAAATACTTTCCTGTGAGCTGCACACAACGGGTCCATTATGCACTGTTTTCTTCTTCTTTCGTCAGGCAAGAGGAGTGATTAGCAATGATAATAATAATCCTGATATAGTAATTTGATATAGCGCTTCATCAAAAGTGTTTCGCAGAATATATTGAAAGTGAATTGACTGTAATTTGTGGGCGAAATGCTGCAGCCAATTGTGATTGCGTGATTTATTTATTTCGGGGGGATTATTACTCCCGGAAAGCGATCCGCCAATCGACTAATCTGCTAATCCGCAATTTAACAAATGAATCTGCGCTGGGACAGCGTCTTACACAATGATGAGACGAATGACCACATTTTTTTGTCACGGGTGGGTGGGGGGCAGTTATAGTGACTTAAAGCTACATGTCTAGGGAAAATTTGTATGATTTTATCATGAATTTAATTTGTGAAACACGTCGTTCATTACATCGCTCGGGATCCCAAAATAACTAACTCACTGCTTCTGCCTACCAGCAAATGGCCGAACTGAAACAACAGATCCGGGAGAGGGAGGCGGTCATCAAGGAGAAAGCTCAATTTCTTAAGAACGAGGCTGACAACAACAATGAGTTTGAGAAGAAGATCTCCAGCAGTGAGCGGCAGGCCGCTAAATTGAGGTCGGAGTACCAAACTTACGAGACCAACCGCATTCAACTGGAAAATGAGGTAACGCCACACACACACTGAGTTAAGCCAATATTGGACAAGTCTGAGTTAAGCCAGTATTGGACAAACCAACACTGAAATTCAAGCAGCCTTTGGGCCAAACTATTTTCATGAAGCCCAGAGGGGGTCTTCACCAGTCATTGGCTGGGACAGAAATTCTGACCTCTTGCCATATCCAAAGTCACATTTTTCTGTTACCTAATTCCGGAGAATATTAAGCGCAGGTTGGCAAGAGCCAAGGCTTGCGGATCCCAGGGTATGCTTGGCGTAACTGCTGGCGTCTAACCAGCTGAAACCACATAGCTTGCCATTGATATCGCTCTCTGGCAAGCTTTACCACTGCTTATCCAATTAGGACCACCATACCCGTTAGGGTTTCTGCAGTGTTAACAGGAGCTGAGTGGGAGGATTCCGAGCCCCCAGTGGCAGGTCTGCCATTCCAGCTCCTGTCGATGAGCCAGGCTGTCTGGGATCACCCAGTGGTCAAATAGCCTGCTGTCACTCACTGTCTAGGCTTCCATATAAACAATAACTGCTTGGGAGAGGTACCAAAAGGTGCCACACACCTGTATCTAGTGAAAATTTATCTAAATTGTATTTTGGATACAATATAAATATACATTGCATGTTTAATTATTTGTAGTGTTGCACATTGAAGGATTATTTGTAAAGAGCTTGACAGTTTGTTACACACAAGAGTTTTAGAGTTTTTAAGGCCAAATAAAGAATCTGGGTTAGAATGTAGGAAGATTCTCTCAACTCTGTTTGACCTGGTATCTGCACTTCAAATAGCTGTTGAGATAGAAACGTAGGAACAGGAGGAGGCCATTCAGCCCCTCAAGCCTGTTCTGCCATTCTATAAGATAATGGGTGATCTGTACTACAACTCCAATTACCCACCTTTGCCCCATATCCCTTGATACCTTGACCTAACAAAATCCTATCCACCTCAGTCTTGAAATTGTGAATGGATCCAGCATTCACAGCCTTCTATGAGAGAGAGTTCCAGATTTCCACTACCCTTTGGGTGAAAAACTGCCTCTTGATTTTACTCCTTTTGATGAAATTTTGTATAGGTTCTCCTTTTGACATTTACAGTTTGAGAACTTGAAAAAACGAGTGAACAGGACTGCTTTCGCTCTGGAGTCGTTAAGGACCGAATTGAAGAATATCAAGAAGGAAATCCAGCTCAAGAACCAAGGGTGAGGTTTGAAACCAAACTTTATATTTGGAGCTGGTAGTGGTTTTATCTCTGGTTCAACCAAAAGAAACCGATTCAATAACAACTTTCAAAAGAGAATTGGATAAGGAAAAATAAAAAGTTGCAAGGATATTTGCGCTCCATGACTGTTTTTGAACACTGCTGTGTGCAATTGTCTGCCATGTTTAGCCCACAACATGCAATCATAGAATTATACAGCATAGAAGGAGGCCGTTTGGCCCATTGTGTCTGTGCGGCTCTTTGAAAAGAGCTTCCAAATGAACCCTACTCCCCCACTCTCTCCCCATAGCCCTGATCAACCCCACTCCCCTGCTCTCCCCATAGCCCTGCAAACTTGTCCTTCCCAAATAATTATCTACTCTCTTAAAATTTGTTATCGAATCAGCTTCCACCAACTTTTCAAGCAATGCTTTCCTGATCTGAACAACTCGCTATGTGAAAACATTTCTCCTCACCTCCCATCTGTTTCTTTTAACAACTATGTTAAATCGGTGTCCTCGGGTTACCGACCAACCCGCCAGTGGAAGTAGTTTCTCCTTGTTCACCCTATCAAATCCCCTCACAATTTTCAAAACTTCTATTAAGTCTCCTTTTAACCTTCTCTGCTCAAAGAAGAATAATCCCAGCTTCTCTCGCCTCTCCTGATAACTGAAGTCCCTCATTCCTGGTACCATCCTGGTAAATCTCCTTTGCACCCTCTCCAATGCCTTGACATCCTTCCTAAAATGTGGGGCCCAGAACTGAACACAGTCTCTCGCTGAGCCCTAACCAGTGTTTTATATAAAGGTTCATCATAACTTCCTGACTTTTGTATTCTACGTTCCTATTTATAAAGCCAGTATCCCATATGCTTTTTTAACAGCTTTATCTACCTGTCCGGCCACCTTCAAAGATTTACTTATATGAACCCCCAGGTCTCTCTGTTCCTTCACCCCCTTTAAGATTGTACCATCAGTGTATATTGTCTCTCCTCATTCTTCCTCCCAAAATGCATCACTTTGCATTTCTTCACATTAAACTTCATCTGCCACGTGTCTGCCCATGTTACCAGTCTGTCAATGACCTCTTGCAGTCTGTTACTATCCTCCTCACCATTTACTACTTTTCCAAGCTTAATATCATCCTCAAACTTGGAAATTGTACGCCCTATACCCAAGTCCAGGTCATTTATACAGATCAAAAAGCAGTGGTCCCAATACCAACACCACTGCACACTTCCCTCCAGTCAGAAAAATAACCGTTCACCACCATCTCTGCTTTCTGTCTCCCAGCCAGTTCTGTGCAACAACAATAACAATTTGGATTTATATAACGCCCTCCACGCTGGAGAGCGTCTCAGAGCGCTTCACAGTAACGGATCCCAGGGGCCATGCTGTATCCATGCTGCCACTGTCCCTTTAATACCGTAGGCTTCTATCCTGCTTACAAGTCTCTTATGTGGCACTTTATCAAACGCCTTTTGAAAATCCATATAAACTGCATCAACTGCACTACCTTCATTCACCCTCTCTGTTACTTCATCAAAAAACTCTTTATCAAGTTTGTTAGACATGATTTGCCTTTAACAAATCCATGTTGCCTGTCCTTTATTAACCCATATTTTTCTAAGTGAAAATTTATTTTCATACACTGTCACTTTACAATATATTCTGTGAAGTGAGTGAGTAGTAAACGAGCTCTTAGGGAGACTGTGGAAGCAGAAAATGTCATTTATTTCAAGAACAAATTAGATAGATTTCTGCTAGAAAATAATATCTCGGGATATAGTATATAGTTTGGAATATAAAATGTCAAGCGACTGTCAGGATGGTGGAAGGCGAACTAGATGGACTTTATGGTCTTAAGCGCTTTGAGATGTCTCAATGACGTGATAAAGCACTATATCAAATGCAAGGATTATTATTATTACAACTGGCTATCCCTGCTTGATGGTGGATTATTGAGTCATGCTTAGACAGAGCAGTGGAAATGCACTTTATTGATCAGAATTTTAATTTTCCCATTAATTCCTCGCCGAACTCAGTCTGACCCACAGTAAAAACATCCACGACTCTCTCACCCAAAAACTGAAAGATATGACAGAGAACCTGCTGAGCTCTGAGGAACAGGCCACACGAATGGAGAAGATGCTAAAAGACGAGGAGAAAAATATGAAGGTGAGATACCAGTAGGTAAAGTGAAGGGAATGTTAAAACTCCATTATATTTTTTGGGTCAGCCGGATGTCTGACACATGTGGAAACCCATCACCGTGCTTCAGAGTCTCCAAACCAAATTGAGAATTCCACACTTCCCACCTACACATGGAAATCTCAGAGGTAGATTGTTGGAATGGAATGCTCACACTCTCTTACTGGAGGGACCAATCTTGCTTACTTAAGTGTTAGGCGCAGGTTGGCAAGAATCAAGGCTTGTGGACCCCAGAGTGTGCGTTGGGGTAATTGCTAGAGTCCATTGCTATAAAATGGGATCTCATTGTGAGTGTGTGCAGGTTTCTAAATGTCAAGCACTACATGTCCTGGGATGTGTTTTACAATAAAACGTCAATCTCTTTACAACGAGGCCAGTGAATCTGAACAGAATGGAATCCAATCTGTAGCCCGATTATCAGCTGCTCACTGTATCTCTCTTTATCCTTTGCCCGGAGCTAAAATGTATATTTTATACAACCCTCCTATATATGGAGCTATAATGCTGAATCTTTGCATTTTCAAATGCAAGAATTATATCCTTATTATACTTCATTCACTTTGGCTTTGGGAGGATATAGAATCATAGAATCTTGCAGCACAGGAGGAGGCCATTTGGCCCATTTTGCCTGTGCTAGGTCTTTGAAAGAGCTATCCAAATAGTCCCACTCCCCCGCTCTTACTCCCTAGCCCTTACAGCATATTATTGTATGTTGTAATAGGAGTTTAACAGTGGGTCTTCTGGCTGGATCTTTATTGTGAAATAGAATGACTATTTTTCATGTATACATTAAAAAAAAGGTCCAAAGTTTAAAGGATCTGTTTTTATTATTAAGGCAAAAAATCCCTTCAGAGAGAACAGATGTGTGTAGAAGCTGCATCATTCTTCAATTAACTTAAATTTAATTAAAAAATAATAATAATTTGGTCACTCAATCCATGCCTGTTTGTGGTTGTTTGTGGTTTGTGGGCCACTGCTGTGCGCAATTGGCTGCTGTGTTTCGCCCACAAAATATACAATCAATTCACTTTGCAGTATATTCTGTGAAGTGTTTTGAAAAATTTCAAAGATGTCGTAAAGCACAATATCAAATACAAGGATTGTTATTACTTTAGGAAATTGAGGCACAAATGAAGTACCTGGGAGACCTGAAGTTCAGGAAGACCGAGGAGTTGACCATTTTGGAAAACACAGAGAAGACAGTTTTGGGCCAGCTGTCGGGGAACAGGGCCACCCTCCGAAACCTCAACAGCCAAATCACCAAACTGGACCACGAGGCTCTCAAGCAACAGGAAGTGATATACAATCAGGTGGGAAACGGGCATCCATTCTTCTTTGTTTCATAGTGCGAATCGGAAGTCAACAACAACAAATTACATCTGTATAGCGCCTTGTATAGTTTCATTACTCCACATACCTTTGTTTACCTAGCAGTTAGTAGGAATCTGGTTGTCAGTCGATTGGTGGATCGCTTTTTCAGGGTTAATAATCCTTCAAATCCATAAAATAAAAATTTCGTCACTCAATCCACGACTGTTTGTGGCACACTGCTGGCTGCCATGTTTTGCCCACAAAATACACAGTTACTGCACTTTACAGTATATTCTGTGAGGCTCTTTGAGACGTCTCGACGACGTGAAAGGCTGCTATATCAAATGCAAGGATTATTATTAAAATATAATGTCACTTGTGCGTTGGGCAGGACTTTCAGATTATGCGGCTGGAGAGGAAGCTGGCGAAGCTGGAAGGAGATTTGAACAGCAATGAGAAGGATGTGCTGGAGCTGAGGGTAGCGGAGCTCACAAAGAACTTGGAGGAGAAGAAAATGACCAAAAATCTGCTGGAAGGGCAGCTGAAAAAACTGCAGGTAAAGAGGCCCCAGTGAATCAGCAAAGCCAAGTACATCCGTTAGTAAAGCCGATAGAATCTCGGTTTATCCAGCCTGTTCCCAATTGAGAGGAGAAACTGAGGAGAGTTTTGCTTACGCTAAAGTAGTAATAATAGTAAATAACATTGCATTTGCCTCTAACATTGAAGAGGCGACCTCTAACGTTGTTTACCTAGCAGTAAGTAGGAACCCAGTTGTTAGTCGATTGCCAGATCACTTTCCGGGGGTAATAATCCCTCCCAAAAAAATTTGGTCACTCAATTCTTGACTGTTTGTAGGACACTGCTGTGTGCAATTGGCTGTCGCATTTTGCCCACAAAATACATAGTCAATCCACTTTCAGTATGTTCTGTGAAGAGCTTTGAGACGTCTCAACGACGTGATAAGCGCAATATCAAATGCAAGGATTGTTATGATTACAATAATAACATTTTAAAATATTTCATTCTTGGGCTGTTTATCAGCCATTCAAGAACCTTCAGAGCTTCCCTGACGTTACAAAACTGAGACCCAGATTCTGACAGTCGCATGTTCGATGTCTGGCCTGTACTCTTGTTAGTTGATCTCAGTCGGAGATTGGGGTGGGTGGAGGGGGAAAATAAACATTGTCGATCACATGATCCACATTCTGACCAGGGATGAAGTGGAGGACATTCTGATCAATTCTGTGTGTTTCTTCTTCTGCAGAACGATCTCCGGCATTTGGTGAAACACCTGGACAAGGGCAACGAGGAGAAAGCTGACCTGAATCATAAAATAGAAGACATCCACCATTACCTCGACTCCTCAGAGAAGGAGCTGAAAAGGAAGAGATTTGAGAAACAGGTAAGACACGAGTGGACTCAAAGTATTGTCCCAGCGCTTTGGGACATCCTTCCAACAAGAAAGGGGCTACACAAAATGTAACGTGGAGTCCTGTAGCTCAGTGGTTAGAGCACTCGCCTTGCAAGCGAAACACCTGGGTTCAATTCCAGGCAGAGGGCGAAACCTTGGGCAAGTTTCCTTACTCCACACAGAGCCTAATAATAATCCCTCCAAAAACAAAACAATAATAAATTGGTCATTTTCAATCCATGACTGTTTGTGGGACACTGCTGTGCGCAATTGGTTGCCGCGTTTCGCCCACAAATATACAATCAATTCACTTCACAGTATATTCTGTGAAGCGCTTTGAGACGTCTCGAAGATGTGAAAAGCGTTATATCAATTGCGAGGATTATTATTATTATTATTTGTTGTTACTGTTGTTAATGTTGCATTGTGTCACCCTGTGGTATAAGGTCACAAGAGAGGTTTGGATGAAGAAGACCTTTTGGCCCATTTGATCTCATCCTTAACTCCTGGTAGTCAACCCAGGCTAAGTTGCAGTGTATAAGCCAGGGTATAACTAGGCTTCCCAGGTCTCATCAATATACTGAGATGATAAGTGCTGAAAGATGATTCCTGCTCGTTGGTAAATCGAGAGAGAGGGGACATGATATCATGGTTGTTACTGGATGAGCGAAGGGCAGGCTGGAAAAAGATTTTTCTTGTCCAGGGTTATTAGAACATGGAAATGTTCTACAGATGTTTATTGGGACTGGGGAGAAGAACACTTGGATGGGAATTGGATGAGTATTTGAAAAGAAGAATATACTGTAAAAGGGGACTGTGAAAGAAGAGGCAATAAGGTGTAGATGGCTCCAGTGGAAGTGCTAGCACCAGCATAGGCTTGACGGCCTGAGTGGTGTCCTACTGTGCTGTCGTTCCTCTGATTCGACACAGCTTTTCACAGCTGTTCTGACCTTTCTTTTGCTCTCATGTCGTGGAGTCCTGTAGGTAGTGGTTAATGCGCTCACCTCACAAGCGAGTAGACCCAGGCTAGCTTCCTGGGCGGGACGAAACCTTAAGCAAGTTTCCTTACTCTACTTGCCTCTGTTTACCTAGCAGTAAGTGGGAATCTGGTTGTTGGGCGATTGCTAGATCGCTTTCTGGGGGTAATAATCCCTTCAAAAAAAATTAAATAAATAATAATAATTTGGTCATTCAATCTGCTACTGTTAGTGGGAGGCTGCTGTGCGCAATTGGCTGCTGCGTTTCGCCCACAAAATACACAGTGAATCCTCTCTACAATATATTCTGCAAAGCGCTGAGACATCTCAACAATGTGGTAAGGCGCAATATCAAATGCAAAGATTATTCAAATGAGTTTTTCACAGCAGTTTTGTCCTTTCTTTCACTCTCGCGTTGTAGGAATTAATGATAGAGGATAACCTGCTGAAGCTGTCTGTGAAGCGCCTAAGGGACATGCTACACCATAAAGCGGACAATGTGCTATCCCTGGAGAAACGCAAACTTCAGCTGCAGACTGCCATGAAAGAGCGGACAGAAGAAATCAAGCTTCACATGGACATGCTGCACATTCAACTCAAGCAAACTGAGCAGGAACGGCAGGCCATCAGGTCAGTGTCCTTACAATCACCTCAGAGTCTGAACCCTGGTGCCTCGTCAGGCTCAGACACTTTTCAGCGCTCCGAGACACTGCCTCAAGTGAAGAACGCTATATAAATGCGTGATGTTGGGTTGTACATGCGTACGAAATACGCAATTTTGGTGTGACGTGTGTGGCCACTAAATCGGCAGATCACATTTGGATGAGGAAGAGTAGGAGGAAGCAGCAGATACTGGAAACCTGAAAGAAAAGCACTGGGAATCCACATCAAGTCAATAATGTTGGCATTTCAGGTGTTAGCTCTTTGTCAGAACTGAAACACTGGGCTGAACCATGCCCCCAAATCTTGCCCTGCTCTATCCCATGAGGAAGAACTCCCTCTCACCCTGTTGTTTGTTCTGATGAAGGGGTGTCATGATTCCCAATGAGGGCTCACGTTTCGCACTGAGACTTTGGTTGAACTTCAGCCTTAACTATTGGTCTGTTTCACCATCACGGGCACAGTGACTGCCCCAAGTCAGACAGAGAATGCACTGATACACGGCACTCGAGAAACCCATTTGTGGAGTCTCGTAGCTCAGTGGTTAGAGCACTCGCCTCGCAAGTGAGAGAACCCAGAACCCGAGTTTGATTCCTGGGCAGGGCAAAACGTTAGGCAAGTTTCCTTATTCCACACGTTTCAGCTTACCGAACAGTCAGTAGGAACCCAGTTGTTAGTTGATTGGTGGATCGCTTTTACGGGGGTAATAAACCCTTCAAAAAATAGATAAATAAATAATTTGGTCATTCAATCCACAACTGTTTGTGGGACGTTTCTGTGCGCAATTGACTTCTGTGTTACTCCCACAAAATATATAGTCAATTTATTTTACAGTATATTCTGTGAAGCACTTTGAGACGTCTCAATGACGTAATGAGGCGCCGTTTCAAATGCAAGGATTATTATTATTATCACATGAGTTTATATGTTTTGAATCAGTGCTGAATTGCATGAACGGTTGTCAAAGATTGACAAGTTGAAGAAGAGATACGAGCTGCTGATGGTTTCCATGGCACCACCTGAGGGGCAGGAGGACCGATCTCAAGCTTACTATGTCATCAAGGTAACGGCCACTGATTCTCCTCTACGTGTTACTTTGAGGAGGAAAAACAACAACGCAAATGACATTTATATAGCACCTTTTACAGCCGAAGGACGTCCTAAGGTGCAAAAGCGGAGTTCATTAAAAGCCACGATATTTTCAGTGTTATCACCCAACTCTGACACTCTGGTTTAAATGCTCTGTGACGCTACCCTGCCTGAGGGGCGCTGTATATTCCAAGTTTTTGTTGTTGTTTGACCTGATAAGTGCTGATATAGTGCTTGTGCTGCATTTATACAGGACTAGGATTTATGCCGGATGAGTTTAATAAGTAGATGTGGAGTGAGCAGCAATAGCGCAGTTATTAGAACATTTGCTATACGTGTCTATTCAAGCTGAGGCCACAGCAACATTTTGAAAGGGAATTGGGCAAGAATCTGAAGGAGGACAGTGTAAATGGTACAGGGGAAATAGAAGGCACTTGGCGTTGTCAAAAGATTGATTTGGATGAAAAAGGCCCTGTGCTCCTGTTGACCTCATCATTTCAGTATACACACCTGACCATCTGCCCCTCACAGTATCGAGCTGTTGTTTTTAATTGAATCCAGTATTCCCACCTCAACAATCCTACTTGGTAAACTTCCACTGATTAAGTACCCAGTGGGGAAAGGAACACTTGTGTTCTCGACACTCTTGCCCCCATCACCTCCGGTACTGTCTCTTAATCTCGATCCTCCCCCTGGTTCACCACCCACCTCCGCTCATTGAAGAGCCAGGTGCGGGCTACTGAATGCATCTGCCTCAAATCTGGCCTAACGGTCCACCGACAAATCTGGCTGGACCTCCTCAAAACCTACCGCTCCACTCTAGCCTCGGCCAAGTCATCCTTCAAAGAAGGATGCAAAGAACAACCCCAGGCTACTGTTTTCTACCACATCCCGACTACTCCGTCCCCCCCGCCACCCCGCGCAGGTCATCTCCTCCAACCTTCACTGCGAGGAGATGCTGGATTTCCTTGAATCCAAAATCAAGGGAATTCGCTCTGCAGTCACTTCCCCCACCAACATCCACCCACCCCCCACCCCCTCCCTCCCACACTACGACTCCTACCCATCCTCCCCTACACACTTTCGTACCCGTTTCTCCACCCTCTGTCACCAAACTCATCCTATCCCTGAAACCTACCACCTTCTCCCTTGACCCCATCCCCACTCCACTCCTTATCTCCCAGCTCCACGTCCTTGCCCCACATATCACAGACATCGTCAACCTGTCCCTCTCCTCTGGCTCTGTTCCCATTCCCCTAAAAACTGCCACCATCACTCCCACTTTGAAAAAACCCTCCCTTGATGCATCGGCCCATCTCCAACCTCCCCTTCCTGTCCAAGGTCCTTGAAGGAGTTGTCACCTCCCAGCTGCGCTCTTTCCTCTCCACCCATTCATTATTCGAACCCCTTCAGTCGGGTTTCCGTGCTGCCCATAGCACAGAAACCGCCCTGGTCAAGGTCACTAATAACATCATGACCATCTGCAACCAGGGCTCCCTCGTCCTCCTCGACCTATCGGCCGCATTTGATACAGTCGACCACTCTATCCTCCTCCACCACTGAAACACTGGTCCACTTCTTTATCACCTCAAGGCTGGACTATGGAAACTCTTCCTCACCGGCCTTCCTGGCACCTCCCTCCACAAGCTGCAGGTCATTCAGAACTCTGCAGCTCGTGTACTGTCCCGCACCAGGCTTCGCGACCACATCACTCCCACCCTCGCTCGCCTCTACTGGCTCCCCATCCCCTAGAGGATCGAATTCAAGATCCTCATCATCACCTACAAGGCCATTCACCGCCTGGCTCCCTCCTACCTCTCCGACCTACTATCCCCCTACTTACCTGCCCGTACCCTCCGTTCCTTTGGCTCCGGTCTGCTCCACATCCCCCGCCCCAACCGCCCTACCATCGGTGGCCGGGCCTTCAGCCTCTCAGCCCCGAGGCTCTAGAACTCCATCCCCCAGTGCCTTCGCCTTGCTTCCTCCCTTTCCTCCTTCAAGGCCGGTCTCAAGACCTTTCTCTTTGACCGTACCTTCAGCTCTCCTCTCAACTCTCTACCCCCTCCTCGCTCCCTCCCTTCCCTCACCCTGACCATTTCCCCCCTTCTCGGGTCCCGACCCAACTGTCCAGCGCCTTGGGATGTCCTCCCGACATGAAAGGCTCTCTATAAATGAAATCTTGTTGTTGTTGTCTAACTGTTGCTCTCAACATTGCGACATCTTTGTTGCTCTCCTTCTGCACGGCCTCTAATGGCGAGGTAGCTCTCTTATAGAATCATCGAATCCTACAGCACAGAAGGAGACCACGGTGGACTCCTGTAACTCAGTGGTTAGACACTCGCCTCGCAATCGAGAGACCTGGTTTCAATTCCCGGCAGGCGAAACCCTGGGACAGTTTCCACACACCTGATAATAATCCCTCAAGAAAAAAAAACAATAATAAATTGGTCACTTCAATCCACAATTATTTGTGGGACACTGCTGTGTGCAATTGGCTGCTGAGTTTTGCCCACAAAATATACTGTCAATTGACTTTACAGTATATCCTGTGAAGAGCTTTGAGACGTCTCGAAGACATGTTAAGATGCTATATCAAATGCAAGGATTATTATTATTACTAGGATTATTATTGTTGTCCTCGCTGATTTAGGCTGCCCAGGAAAAGGAGGAGCTTCAGAATGACGGCGATGAGCTGGACGCTAAAATCTGCAAGGCTGAGAAAGAACTGAGAGCTCTGGAGAACACGCTTCACTTGCTGAAGACCCAGAACGACACCTATCACAAGTCCTTCAGCAGAATCACTGAGACAAGTAAGCACTTTGCTTTGCTGTTGGTTTTACACTGGGAGACACTTGTACTTAGGAGTCACCGAGCCATTGTTGTTGAGGGGTAACAGGAGACGTTATACTGAGGTCCCACTCACCCCTCTGCCATTCAAAACGAAAATTAGTTTCTCCTGGTCTCCTGGGCAAGAGTACTCCAGGACCTTTACCTCGTGACTTTGCAGTGTGCAAAACGGCTGCCATATTTGGCCTCAAAAACATATCGCCTAATTTCTTTTGAAGCACTTTAAGATGTTTTGACATCGAGAAGGTGTAACAAAACTGCAAGTTTCTTCCAATCAAGTCAAAATTCCCAATTCCCAATGGCAATTCGCCCACAAAACATGCAGTCACTCACTTTACAGTGTGAAGCGCTTTGAGACGTCTTGAAGATGTGATAAGGCACTATATCAAATCCAAGGATTATGTGTGGAGTCCTGTAGTGTTTAGAGCACTCGCCTCGCAAGTGAGAGACCTGGGTTTGATTCCCGGCAGAGAGCGAAACCTTGGCAAGTTTCCTTACTCCACACGCCTGATAATAATCCCTCAAGAAAAAAGTAAAATAAACAATGATTTGGTCACTCAATCCACACTGTTTGTGGGACACTGTTGTGCGCAATTGGCTGCCGTGTTTGGCCCACAAATATAATCAATTCACTTAGCAGTCTATTCTGTGAAGCGCTATATCAAATGTGAGGATTACTATTATTATTTGGTTGACACAGTGCATCTTCAGGGGCAGAATGAGATCTATTCAATTGACAGCTAGACTTTAGCTGCAAATCAATTTGCTTACGTTATCACAGTTGTCTTTGCTGGGTACCATTTTCTTCCTAATATTTATAGGAGAACCAAATTCAAGATGTTCCTGGAGCATGTTTATGGCCAGTGTGCAACTGTTTGAAGGTAGACTTACCTATTGATTTCCCCCCCCCTCCCCACCCCTCCTCCTCCTCGTGTGACCTGGTCAGGTCAGGAGTATGAAGACAAACAAAAGGTAGAAGAACAAAAGCGGTCTATTGATGAAAAGTACAGATACAAGCGAAGGCAGATACGGGAGCTTCAGGAAGACATTGAGGTAACGTCAGTGTGGCCGGGAACACTGCGCATCCATACACAGTATTCCTGAGATTGCTGCCTCATTCTTTGCTATAATACAACAACAAATTACATTTGTATAGCGCCTTCCACATCAGAACAATAGGTCCTAATCACCACCTCTTCATTTCACCCCGTGTTCTAGCAAACCAGTGACTTTTACATGCATGCGTTATAATCATAATAATAGTAATAATCTTTGCATTTGATAGAGTGCATCATCACATCTTCGAGACGTTCTCAACGCGCTTCACAGGATATACTGTAAAGTGAATTGACTGTCAATTTTGTGAGTGAAACGTCAAATCTAAAGGTCAAATATTGGCGAAATCCTCGAGTAATGAATTTACCCGTGGCGTCGTGTCCAGCAAGCGATTTCCTCCTAAAAAAATTCTTTACCAAAAACGCAGCCCCTTCACAAGCTTTGTGGCTCGTTTCTCTCCAGAGCATGAACGTCAGGGTGAAAACCTTAAACAAGGAGGATTATGACTTCAACATGATGGTGCACGGGAAAGAAAAACAGATCATGAAGCTCAATCAGGATTTGGATGATCAGAAACTGAAACTGAACAGGGCGGTGAAGCAGGTGTGTAAGCAGGAAAGGTGTGGCTATATCCTCCCCTCCTTCCTCTGCACTCCACTCACCAGTTCCCCATTCCTTCCCCACAAGCCCAGCGTGCGACAGACATTTCTCTCCCTTTTTATTGAAGGTTTGATTACAAAGGTTATTGTGCATTATTTATAATAATAATCTTGCATTTGATAGAGCGCCTTATCACGTCATTGAGACGTCCCAAAGTACTTCGCAGGATATACTGCAAAGTGAATTCACTGTGTATTTTATGGGCAACAGCTGAATGCGCACAGTAGTGTCCCACAAACAGTCGGGGACTGATTGACCAAATTATAATTATTTTTTAAAAAATTTGGAGGGATTATTACCCGTGGAAAGTGATCCGCCATTCAAATAACAACTGGTTCCTATTTACTGCTAGGTAAACATGTGCAGGTGGAGTAAGGAAACTTGCTAAACGTTTTGACCCACCCGGGAATAAAACCCAGGTCCTCTCGTTTGCGAGGCGAGTGCTGTAACCACACTACAGGACTCCACTTATGGTATTTGTTGTGCTGAAACATTTGACATTTTTTTTTAAAAAAGTGCTCAAAACTGGTCAAAGAAATCCGTTTTGCCAAGAGGCTGGACGTTGAGTCACATGAGGAGCAGGATATCAACATCCATGAGCTGCGAGAATTTAACAAGTCATTGAACAAGATGCTGAGGGAAGCCATGGACGATTGTGAAAGCCTGACTGAAGATGTCGAACATTTCTTTCAACAGGTCAGTCCCATGAATGCAATTGAGGGATTTTCTTTTTTTTTTGGGTCAGCCGGGTGTCCGAGACACACGGAAGCCCATTAACATGCCTTAAGAGTATCCAAACCAAGCTAAAAATTCTATTACCACCTACACATGGTAATTCCAGAGAGAGACAGAGAGGGCTAGTGGGAGGATTTCCTTTCCCCCTGAGCGAGGTTGAAAAGAGTGATCATTTATAAGTGGAAGCAGATGCTTATTTTTGGACGATAACATTTTTAAGATTTCTGTAAATAAGATTTGCTCGACAAAGGAAGACCAAGGTCCATCCAGTTCGCCTTCCCCCATCCTGGTAGTCGCTTGCACACGTCTCGCCCCAAACCATAAACTGTATGCCACGATATTAATGTTATGGTATTTGTTGGGGGAGGAAACCTTTGAACTTTTTTTAAAAAAAGTATAGTTTTATTTTAATGTGTCTGGCAATAATTAGGTTTACAGTGTAACAATAGTAGTAAACCAACACACACGCATAAACTGGTGCTCTGCAGATCCTGGTCATCAACGATCTCATCCTTGATGAGAGCGTTGACATCATGGCCTTAACTGAAACCTGGCTCACCCCAGGTGACACCTTCCCCCTCACGGAGGCCACACCACCCGGCTACACCTCCCACCACATCCCTCGCCCCAACCACCATAGCGGTGGTGTAGCCCTTATCACAAGGACACCACTTGCCCTATCCCCCTACTCCTCTGGCTCGTTCCCCTCTTTTGAGCACCTCACCCTCTCCCACCCCTCCTTCCTCTCACTCAAAATCCTCCTCCTCTACCGGCCCCCTAAAACCTCTCCCACCTTCATCTCCGATATTTCTACCGTACTTACATCTCTCTGCCTCTGCTTTGATCGCCTCATCATCCTGGGCGACTGCAACCTGCACTTCAACCCCTCATGCTCCATCTCCTCGGACTTCTCCTCCCTGCTCTCCTCACTCAACCTCTCCTTCCACATCAACTCTGGTACTCACAGTCACGGCCACCCACTCGATTTGGTGATCACCCGGGGCCTCAGTGTCTCGGATGACACCATTACCGACAAGGCTGTCTCCGACCACCACTTCATCTCCTTCACCACCTCCACCCCCCTCCCCACCTCCACCAGACCCACCACCATTTTCTACCGCGCCTGGAAGAAGTTACCCCCACAATCCCTAACCTCTGAACTCCTCTCCCTCTGGCCTTCAACACTCACTGACCCCTCTTCTGCTCTCACCCTCCTCCACATCACCCTCTCCTCCACACTCAACACTCTTGCCCCCATCACCTCCCGTACCGTCTCCTACTCTTGCTCCTCCCCCGGTTCACCACCCACCTCCGCTCACTGAAGAGCCAGGTGCGGGGCCGCTGAACGCACTTGCCTCAAATCTGGCCTAACGGTCCACCGACACTGTCCCGCACCAGGCTTCGTGACCACATCACTCCCACCCTCGCTCGCCTCCACTGGCTCCCCATCCCCCAGAGGATCGAATTCAAGATCCTCATCCTCACCTACAAGGCCATTCACGGCCTTGCTCCCTCCTACCTCTTACTATCCCCCTACTTACCTGCCCGTACCCTCCATTCCTCTGGCTCCGGTCTGCTCCACATCCCCCTCCCTTCCCTTCCCTCCCCTCACCCTGACCATTTCCCCCCATGCTCGGGTCCTGACCCAACTGTCCAGCGCCTTGGGACGTCCTCCCGACGTGAAAGGCGCTCTATAAATGGAATCTTGTTGTTGTTGTTGTTGCCAAACTCCACTGCACACAGGGCTTGTGTATTTTAAATAAACTTTCTTTCATAAATTCAAAGCGATGAAAGGTTGATCCAGCGCTTGTGCTCAACTCCCAATCTCCAATAATTGTATGTACATTTAATTGGTTAAAAAGATACCTACTAATTCTATGCTATAATGTGCACTAGGGTAATTGGATTAACATGCATGAACATTGGGAAAATAAAAGTGCTTAAGTACATAATGTAATGGGAAGCCAGCTGTGCAGAGATCCTAAATTGCTATTAAGAACCACTTGAACCGTGTAGCCCTAATTGCAGATTTTTTGATGCAGGCTTCCTTGCCGTTGCCATCGGTCTCATTGTTGCCTGGCAGTCAGCGCAGTTCCAGAACATCTTTGCGTGGCGCTGCACCATCTGGGAGGTTAGTTGGCACTCAAATCGAACAGGGCTCATCTTATGGAGTCCTGTAGCTCGGCGGTTAGAGGACTCACCTCGCAAGTGAGGACCTGGGTTTAATTCCCGCCAGGGCAAAATGTTGGGCAAGTTTCCTCAATCCACGACTGTTTGTGCGGACACTGCTGTGTGCAATTGGCTGTCGCATTTTGCCCACAAATTAGTCAATCCACTTTACAGTATATTCTGTGAAGCGCTTTGAGACGTCTAGACTATGTGATAAGGTGCTATATCAAATGCAAGTATTATTATTATTATTAAAGAGAATTAGCGAGCTCCAGCACAAACACAATGGGGAAAGATCAGGCGAAAAGGGAATTAGATATCTCCAATAGAGGAGTTAGCACCAGCAGTGCCTTGATGGGCCAAATGTTTTTTCCTTGACGTTCCATGATGTTGGATAGTTTGACTTATGGATCCACAGTAAGAATGATTGTTTTTGTTGTTTGTTTTCAGCCCCATCTGTTCACTGAGCAGTTCCATGTCACTGAGTGGGGACATTCCAAAGGTCATTGATCTGGGGCTGGGACTGACTGTGACATCCCCGACGCTCGGAATGTCTTCAGGCGGACCCAGCTGCCGAACTAGTGCTCCCTCCAGCGCCAGGAGCCAGCCCAAGTAACTCCCACCAGAGAGCCGCGAGTCACCCATAGGGTCAAATAGCTGCTCAATTCAATACACGACGTGCTGAAGGAAATACAGCATCATTTATTGAAATTCCTATATATGTCGCATTTAATAGTGAATTGTGGCACAACACACCAGTGATTAACACTGAAAATTATATTGAATGTTTCTTTAAAAAATTCAATACTGTATTTCCTGAAATAAATAAAATAATTTTGTGGGGTTAAAAGGCTGTCTCAATGCTTAATGTCTCTCCTGACGCCTCGTCCTTTGTTCAGAAATCCATTCATCTCCTCCTTTGTGCTGTAATTGGGGGGGAGCAGGGAAGATAGACAGTTCTATCAGAGATCCAGCAGACACGATGGGCAGAATAGTTTTCAATTCTATAAGAATCCATGACTGTTTGTGGGACACCTCTGCACGCAATCAGCTGCCACGTTTTGCCCACAAAATACAATCAATTCATTTTACAGTACATTCTGTGAAATGCTTTGGGACGTCTCAATTATGTGATAAGGCGCTGTAACAAATGCAAAGATTATTATTGTATTATATATTCATTCAATAAGACCAATTGGCCTTCAATCACAACGCAACCTATAACTAATAGAAGGATTATTATATAACTAATTCTACAAAGGAGGCCACCTTGTGATATACATTTGAAACAGTGGTGATGTGAAATACACAGAAATAACACAATTTAGTTATTTTTGCACTTTTATTTTCACAAAGTTGTCTTTGATCCAACAGTCCGTTTTGGCAAGTAATTTAACACCACGAAAGTAATCCCCAGCAATGCACTAAAGTGCATCATTGGTCAGTGACAATACACTGTGACAGGCTTAGAACTGAATGGAACCGATGTATTTAGAAGTACAGTTAGCATTTTCAAGTATGCACATTTAGAGGAGATAATGATATTTGTGACACAATTTATCCGAGAGAATGTAGGAAAAGGTGTGCAATGGACAGGGGCTGTCACACAGGTAACAGCCATCTCAACTAGTGGCTCATAAATAGAAAATGGCCCAGTGGTTTGGGTTGATATTATATTTTCTTCAACCCTTTCTCCCCACCCCAATGCTGTTGACAGACAGACAGCCCCTCCCCAAGGTCCTCTCTATCCTGTGTCCTCAAATAGAATGAAATACGCACTACTAACATGGCAACTTTGTTCCCTTTGCACTTTGTAAGTGTATGCAGACGCTTGCACACTCAATCAAACACAACAGATTCTCTTGAATGGCTTCATTAAATCTCCTATTATCCCTCACTGCATTCCTATCTACTAGCTACCTTCTACTGATCCAAAACTGTGCCAAATTTAGATGAGTTGCCTCGTTTGTAAAGATTCTGGGGGGGGGGGGTTGCATGCCCTAACGGACACTATAAAAGGTCCCAGAACAAGACTGGCGATCAGACTTGCACTCATTGTAACCACCGAATCCAACGCTAAATAACACAAACACAGGCCGTTAGCCAAATCAAAGGAAAACGTGCAAACCCTTTGAATGAATACTAACCTTTTCTTACTGGCGGTCACAATGGCTGACAAGCCACACCACCGTGGAAAAGAGAATGAGGCAATTTGGATGTGGTGGCAGCTTTAGCAGGAGCGAGTAAACCCAGATCTGTGCCGCGAGCGCTCAGATTATAATCAGATGATTCGTGCATTTAACACAAAAGCCCATCTCCCTCTATCTTTCTGTAATTGGTTTCATATTGAAGCTACCCCACTATGCTCAGTTACTTGTATTTTTGTTTGCATTTCCCTCCTTGCCCTTTCCCTTTCTCAAACTCCGCGATCTGATTAAATATCTCCAGCAGGTTTTGAGGCATGTTTTTGTCGGGCTGCTCTGCTGTCACATCACTGCTGCCACGCACTTCCTTCTCAATCGCCCTTTGACCTTCCCTCCATTGCTTACTTCCAACGCTCTCTCCTCTACTGTCCTTGTCACCCTCATCACTTCCATACCCATAGCCCTTTCTGCCATCCCCACCTTCCATGGACCTTTGTCCACACATTTCCTCTTTGCTATTGGATTTGTAGGAGCAGGAATTCTCTCTCACATGCTGCCCAACAGCTGCTAAATGTGAATGATCAGACTCTGCTGAAGATATTGAATAACTCCTGTTGCTCCTTTCATACCTTTTGTTGTTAAATTCTTTGCTCATTCTGGGATCCTGAACCTCTCTCCTCCATCTGTCATGATTGTTGGATTTTTTGTCACAAGCCATCCAGCCTATATCAGCTTTGTACCACTTGTCACTGCTATTGGCCTCAGTTCTGGAATTATTGAAAGAGCCTCTGTTATCTTCAGACCTACCTCCGTGAAGATCTAAGATTTCGACCGATGACGATGATGAAGACAGTGAGCGAGACCTCTGCTTCTCCATTATCTCTGACCACTGGTCCTCTGAGCACTCATTCCTCTCCAGCAGCTTCGCCACCTCCTGCTTCTGGTTCAGGAAGGAAGCAGAGGTGTCAGCGGGAGGAGGGTACCACTCCTTACTGCCGTGCGGGAGCTGGGCACTCCCCTCACCCGACCTCCTCCCCGCACGGCTCTTTTGAGAGTGTGAGGACTCCGAGCGGGACCGCTGGCGTTTCTTTGCGGATTTGTGCTTCCTTGAATGCTCGGAGGCAGAGGAAGAAACTAACAGTGAAGACTCCGATGATGAGGAGTCTGCTGAAGATGGGTCGGTTGAAGACAATTAGCTGAAGACGAGGAGGACGAAGTTGACCGCTTTCTCTTTTTCTTCATCCTTAAAGAAATGCAGGAAGATCAGAAATGTCCCAACGTTTCAATTTCAATAATTAAAACTACATCTTTAGTCGCTGTTTTCTCCCAAAGCTTTTGGATCCTAGTTCGGTGTTAATATTTGCATCAAAGAAGTATTTAACACACGCCAAAACCAAGAACGATGTAAAGTGAGCTCGATTTCACACAATGGCATCTTCAAAAAGAGGATCTAGTTGTACATTTTAGTGCAAATCCACTATTCAAATAACCAACAAGACACTTAAAAAGTCAAAGGCAGAGAATGGAGGGAATTTAAACCTCTGGCAACTTATTGGCAATTCTATACACAAGAAACTTTTTATTGAAATCCACGACTTACTCGCAAGCTACTGAGCAAATAATACATGCCCCCCCACTCCACACACCCCCATGTCCCAAGTCAAAAGAACAAGTGACACCCCCCACATCCTGAGTCAAACAAAGTCATTAAGACTTAATCTAGTGCAAATTAAAAACTACGGTTCCTTATAAATTCTTACCATCTGTCAAACGGGTTCAGCGCATTACCGTTCCATCCCTACGATTCAGTCACCCGACTTCCCGCTCCGAAAGACGCCACAAGGAGTCAGTGACTGAAACGCAATCGGCTCTTTAACAATGTTAAAAAGCGGCCTCACAGTGGGAGGGCCGAGTGCGGGTGTATAACCAGTGTATACCAGCGGTGAATATGCCATTTTGTGAGAATGGTTTGTCATGAGTAAGGGACACAAGAAGAAAGCCAGGAAATGGGAGCCTTTCAAGGATATATCCTTTCCAGGTAGGTCAACGAAAGGCTGGTCAGCTAATATTTAGGTATGGATAACATAACCAATTACGATGGCTTCATTTTCTTCCATCGGTGAATGGCTCGGCTTCCCCAACAGCACCATAGTTAAGTGCTCTGGGTTGTTACTCTGCGTGAGGGGCGTTATATAAATGCAAGTTGTTGCGATGTGCAACATCTTAAGTGAGACCTGGTACAAACACCCAGTTCAAAGGCAAGTCTTAAAACCATGGCTTTCATCTCAGGTTCCAACAGAGCCACAGATGGGGAATCAGAGGCTTATCAGAGGCCTTGATTTGGAAACCAGTTTTCTACTGTCCTTAAAAAAGAACCAACTTTGAAATTGAAAGCAAATTGGTGAATTTTCCACCTTTTCTTTATAAAAATAACTTCCGAAAGGGAATTCAATATACAGTTGAAAAGGAAAAAAATTGCAAAGGCTATGGAGAAAGAGCGGGGGAGTGGGATAGCTCTTTCAAAGAGTTGGATAGCTCTTTCAAAGAACTGGAATAGGTATGATGGGCTCCTTCTTTGCTGCAAGATTCTATGACTCTGCAATTTTAAGATTCGGTGGAGTTCCGACCTCTAATACTTTACCTCATGTCCCAGCAGAGTATTGACATGTAACTATGCACTCGATGAAAACACGTTACCTCTTTTCTTCTTTCAACAGCTTACGCAATTTCTCCGCGCTCGACGCCTCGGTTTTTTTGGTGTCTTTTCTCGTTTCCTTGTCTTTCTGTTCCAGTGATTTCTTTTTAATAACCCAGTCACCAAGTGTGTGGGTTCCAAATTGGCATGTGCCAGGGACGGTTTTGGGGGCCGTCACCATCACCAATCACCAGCGCAAAACAGAGGGGCCGAGTTTTCAAAGATCACCAAAAGGGTCAGACACGTTGTGGCGCGAAAACCGAAACGTTTGCAGTTGTTTTTATATATTTCAATAAAGCAAAATGTTGCCAAATAATTCAGGAGGAAAGGGATAGGGGGAAGGAACGAGCGAAGGAAAGCATGTGGTCGATTCGATGGAAGCGAGCGATTTGATTTTCCCGCAAAGTTTGCCCACCGTTTATTGCAGTAAAAAATACACCCGTTAAAAAGACATATGGATGTGAGGCAGCGACACACAAACACAGTTAATGACCAGATGGGAGAAACAATTTAAAATGGGAAAGGGCAAATGGTGAAAAGGTCAGGGAATGGGGACGAGTGTAGGAGGGCGTTCCAACATCACACGACAGAACGCGAGGCAAGACAAGCCGTAAAGTAGTAGCCAGACGTACAAAGGCACGTAGAGAGGTGGTCACCGGTAACACAGTGCAGGCAGGAATAAAGTACAAGGTGGCAAGGAAGGCAAAGCAATTGATCGACCCAGCGAAATCAGGCAATCGGCAGCCACAAATGTAACCGCCGCCACATCCAAACGTTTGCAGGAATTTATATATTATATATATATATACATATAAAAGTTTGATCCGCGATCGCCATGCATTTCCAAGTGGGTTGTGTGTTTGTTTTAATTCCCCCCCCAAGCCCCATCCATCCCAGCCCCAGCCCATAGGCAAAGTACAAACCGGGTTGGTGCAGCGCAGCCCAGGGTGGATCGCAGGAAGTGGGAATATATCGGGTCGCCATCCAGCAGCAGAGGTTCCCCGTAAGGATATGCACCAAAGAGACACAGAAGAGAGAGAAAAAAACAATCAGCAATGCGTAAAACATAACACTTTGTCACGTATTCAATCACATTCACAGGAAAACACAGGAATGTGGTCTAACCATCCCAGAGTAATGATAATAATAATAATCCTTGCATTTGATACAGCAACTTATCACATCATTGAGACTGCTCAAAGAGCTTCACTGTAAAGTGGAATAGCTGTATATTTTGTTGGTGAAGCACATCAGGTTTGTCCCACAAACAGTTGTGGATTGAGTTTGGGGGATTGTTGGCCAGGACACCGGGAGAGAGAAACTCTTTTTGAATAGCATCGCAGGATCTTTAACATCTACCTGAACAGACACTCTTATCCAATTGCCTCCTTGCATCTGGCTTCACGCATCTCCCTGTGAAACCCATTCCTCACATCCACCTGCTGACTGCCGTCCCTCTTCCAAGTCATTATAAAGTACCCAGCTCATGAGGATTTTGGTTGGGGGGGGTGTCAGGGAGACACAGTGAATTTGGAACAAGGAGAGAAAATAAGGCAGGAAAGATATAATAATAATTCTCGCATTTGATACAGAACCTTATCACATCTTCCGAGACTTCTCAAAGCCCTTCACAGGACACTGTAAAGTGTGGTGACTGTGTATTTTGTGGGTGAAATGCAGCAGCCAATTGCCCTCAGCAATATCTGTACTTTGTGGTTGGTGAACCGCAGGTCTGTGTATCTCTCCACCACTCACTGTGACAAACACCATCACACAGAGACACCCGGCAACACTTTTGTTCGAGTGGCGCTGCTGAAGCCAGTTAAATCACCTGCATGAATTTCCTGAGTCTCTGCAAAGCCGCCTCTGCCTCGTGGAACGTCTTGTCCAGAATCAAGGCTCGTTTGTAACAGTTCTCAGCGCTCACCAGCTTCTCCTCCTCCTCCAACCTGTTCAACGTTTCGCCGCGAGAGAAAGGAGCTGTTAAGGAGTGGCTGGAATTTGCCTCTTTTCTGCTCAGAGAATGAGACAAAACCAGAAGCCAGTTGAAAGTGCCCCCAATGCATTCTTTAAACGTTGTCGTTCCAGCTGCATAACAACTTGCATTTACACAGCGTCCTTCACGTGGGGCAACATCTCAAAGGTTTAACAGTGGCAGAGCCTGACGCCGAGCTGAGGGGGTGGGGTGGGGGAGGAGATGACCGTAAGCACCGTCGTTAGTTGTGATGTAAAAGAAGGCAAGGAGGGGACAAGACGGAGGGATTGAGGGAGAGAGCTCCTAAGCTTCGAGGCGTAGTGAGAGCAGATCACATGGGTCACGACACTTACTGGCCTCCTCTTTCCACTAGTGTTTGACAAAGATATTTCCTTGCGTTCCTGTGCGTTGGGCAGGCATCCAAAGCCAAGTCAAAGTCCGAGATAGCTTTACTTAAGCTTCCCTTCGTTGCGTAACTGCAAAAGGGAAAAAAAGTTGCAATTGGTGCCTAGGAAGTCTATGTAAACAGACATCACCTTCACACTGATTCAGCTCAGAACTGAAGAGTTCAAATCATTCAAACGCTGCGTTGGGAGCTATGAACCAGACAGCCATTTCTGTGCCTTCAGTCTTCCTGTCAGTTTGGTTTGGTTTGTAGCTCTCTTGCCTTTGGTCCGTAAAATTTCAACCTGCTTATAACCAACCACCAGCTTTCCCTATCGTCAGGTCACCCAATGCCTGCAGGATGAAGCCACCGTGCACACACCCAAACTGTGCACATGACACTCTCTAAATTGCCCCCCGGCACATTTCGAAACGCAACATCCGGATTTGAAGCATGTAGATGGGTGTCCCAAACTCTCAGCCAGTATCGTGACCTTTGTAGCCTGCTCACTCTCCACTGACCTGCTCACTGCCTCCGCTTGGCTGGCTCCGGCCTCCTCCTTGCCCCTCATCCCCTCTGTTCTACCATTGGAGGCCGCGCTTTCAGCCACTACGCCCTGAAGCTTTGGAGCTCTCTCCCTCAATCCCTCCACTATCGCGGGGCGAGCTTTCAGTCACTTTGGTCACACCCTCTGGAAACACATCCTGACGTGTGTCCACCTCTGACTCCCTCCCTCTCCACATTCAAGCCCCCGTCAAGACGTACCTCCGTGCCCACAATTGCAGTCACCATTACCCTCAACTCCCTGTCCCAGCTCAGCGGGGGGTACAGCCAATTGCTGTTACAAACAAGCCAGCGCCACGAAGGTGGTGTGTGTGGTGTGTCTACTCACAGAGCCCCTCGAGCCACCAGAGCTTCAACATTGTTGCTGTCGATTTCCAGAGCCTTGTTGTACTCGTTCATGGCTTCCACGTGTCGCCCTGCTTTGAAGTGGTCCACGCCAGCCTTCACACTGCAGAGAGAGGAAGCCAGTGAGCTCACACAGCCCACCATTACACTCGCCAGTTCATTACCAACCTCCACCATTCAAACATCTTAGTATTGTTGCTGATAATCAAGCATTGAATCTATGGCCACAGACAATTATGTACAAAAGACAGTTTATCCTACAGTATACGTTACTATATCTCGAGGAACGAACAAAAGACAGTATATCCTACAGTGTATATTACTGTATCTCGAGGAACCAACAGAAGGAATCATATATATTTTTTAAAAGGCAAACTACTGCAGATGCTGGAAATCTGAAATAAAAACAGAAGTGTCTGGGAACATGCAGCAGGTCAGGCAGCATCTATGGAGAGAGGAAAATGAGTTAATGTTTCAGGCAGATAACGTTTTGTCAGAAAGGTCATCAACCTGAAATATTAACTAATTTTTCTGCTGCGTGTTCCCAGAAGGAAGCATATCATGGCTTAAACGTGGCATCCCGTCATCTGGGAACGCTTGGAATCGGAGCATCATAAGGTTTATGTTCCACCTTTATAAACCCTTTGAATCCCATTTCATATTAATGGCAGAAGTGTCAGACCTTGGCAAGCTCTCAAACACAGCAGTGGACAACTAAGGCACAGCCATGGTATTACAGACATTCTTCTCCTTTAACAGTACAGCCAATTCATAAATAATAATAATAATCCTTGCATTTGATACAGTGCCTTATCATGTCGTTGAGACATCTCAAAGCGCTTCACAGAATATACTGTAAAGTGGAGTGACTGTGTATTTTGTGGGCGAAACCAGCAGCCAATTGCGCACAGCAGTGTGTGTGTGCGATGAACACACTCCCTTCAGATAGTCTAGACTAGGGCTCAGCTCAAAGTTAACCAGAACGTTAGGTGAAGGGAAAAAAACAAATCTTTTGGTAAAATAATATTATTACTTTGTATTTGCGTTAGCCGATCATCAGAGCGACAAATTACGTTACTTTTAAACAATGAAGGAAAACTTCCTGGACTGACATCCGTGGACGGTTAGTGACCTCTACCCTGGTTACGGTGATTGTAAATAATTAGCGAGTTAGTTACCACTTCAGTGCCCACGAGGCTGATTGTTTTTTTCTTAAGGCTGCGGCGTAATCGTCCCCCGTAAAGTTTTTGCTGTTGAGAAAAATCAGAAAAGCTTGCGATCAGCGGTCAATAATAATAATCATCCTTACATTTAATATAGCGCCTTATAACGTTGCTGAGATGTCTCAAAGCGCTTCACAGAATACACCGCAAAGTGAACTGTGTATGTTGTGGGCGAAACGCGACAGCCAATTGCACACAGCAGCGTCCCACAAACATGGAGCGAGTGACCAAACTATTCTTTTGTAAAAAAGTTTTTTTTTAGGAGGGATTATTGCCCCCAGAAAGCGATCCACCAATCAACTAACGACCGGGTTCCTACTTGCTGCTAGGTAAACAGAGATGTGTGGAGCAAAGAAACTTGTGCAGGGATAGAACCCAGGTCCTCTTGCGTGCAAGGCGAGCACTAACCACTATGCTGTGGGACTCGCCAAAAATGCTGGCGCTCACACTGATCCTCTAGACGTCTCAATACAGTTAAGCACTTGTACTGACTACAATTAAGTTATCAGTCATTGCTCCACGTTTCAGTCGTTGGCCAGCAAACTGCAGAAAAACAAAACCTGGGGGATAACAGGACTTTGTGGACGCCATGTACCACTCTCTCGCTGATTTGCTCACCTTTGCAGACCTCGCATTAATGAAGGGGATTCCACCTCGCTGATGCCCAGTTTGCCCAGCAAAAAATCCACAGTGGACGGGTTGGCGAATCCAAGCGTGCGATGCAACACTTTGTCGTACGTCTCGGCACTGGGACTGCCCAGAGTGGAATTCCGTCTGGAAACACAAAGCAAAGGCTTTTTTGTTAAAATAAAAGGATTTTTAAGGCAGCGACAGAGATATTTATTCCTCAAAATAATAATAATAAATTGGTCACTCAATCCATGACTGTTTGTGGGATGCTGCTGTGCGCAATTGGCTGCCGCGTTTCAACCACAAAATATACAGTCAATTCACTTTACCGTATATTAGCAGTACAGCACAGCTCGTGTACTGTCCCGCACCAGGCTTCGCAACCACATCACTCCCACCCTCGCTCGCCTCCACTGGCTCCCCATCCCCCAGAGGATCGAATTCAAGATCCTCATCCTCACCTACAAGGCCATTCACGGCCTTGCTCCCTCCTACCTCTCCGACCTACTATCCCCCTATCTACCTGCCCGTACCCTCCATTCGTCTGGCTCCGGTCTGCTCCACATCCCCCGCCCCATCCGCCCTACCATCGGTGGCCGGGCCTTCAGCCTCTCAGCCCCGAGGCTCTGGAACTCTATCCCCCAGTGCCTTCGCCGCTTCCTCCCTTTCCTCCTTCAAGGCTGGTCTCAAGACCTTTATCTTTGACTGTGCCTTCAGCTCCCCTCTTGACTCTCTACCCCCCCCTCGCTCCCTCCCTTCCCTCCCCTTACCCTGACCATTTCCCCCCCAGCTCGGGTCCTGACCCAACTGTCCAGCGCCTTGGGACGTCCTCCCGACGTGAAAGGCGCTCTATAAATGAAATCTTGTTGTTCTATTCTGCGAAGCGCTTTGAGACATCTTGAAGATCTGATAAGGAGCTGTGTCAATTGCAAGGATTATTACTAGTATAGAGAGAAAGAGAGAGTGTACAAGTTACCGCTAAGCCAGCCTGACACACAAGAGCGGCTCAACACAAGGGATAGAGGGAGGGATTTGAAGTTCGGAACAAGGATCTTAAAAGTCAATCCACGGGGGCCATTGGGAGCCAGTGAGCCTGACGAGGACGTGTGGGGGGTGTGGGAGGTCTATGGAACCCGATGAAGGAAAGACCAGAGATCTGAATGAGTTAGACCTCATGGAGAGTGGAGCTCGGGAGGCTGGCGAGGTGAGGTGAGGCTGCATTAACCTTACCTGTAATAGGAAGGCAGGTCCTCGCTGCTGATAACACCCAACTTCAGATGAGAAAGACGAGTGGGCAGAGCGGAGGGGTAGAGCGTGACTGCAAGCTTTTCATGGTAACGATCGACATCCTTCAAGGCAGCTGGAAAACACAGCAAATATCCATCAGCAGATGCCTTGAGTTCCCCCAATCAATGCCAAAGGCTTGGAGTCCTGTAACGTAATGGTAAGAACACTCGCCTCACAAGCGAGAGGCCCCAGGTTTGATTCCCAGGCGGGGCGAAACCTTAGGCAAGTTTCCCTACTCCACATACCTCCGTTTACCGAGCAGTAAGTAGGAACCCGATTGTTAGTTGATTGGTGGATCAATTTCCGGGGGTAATAATCCCTTCAAAAATAAATAATTTGGTCACCCAATCAACGACTGTTTGTGGGACGCTGCTGTGCACAATTGGCTGTCACGTTTCGCCCACAAAATATAAAATCAATTCACTTTACAGTATATATTCTGTGAAGCACTTTGAGACGTCTCGAAGACGAGATAAGGCGCTAAATCAAAAAGGTAAGGATTATTTATTATTATTAAGTTTTAATGGGTAAATTCAGCTCACAATCCTCACAGGTTAAGTACGTCTTTTGTTATCTGGCATCCAGACACTAAATATCAAATTGAAGTATTATTATTATTATTATCATAACCACCTTTACCTCTTAAAAGATCTCCCACTTGGTAGTAAGACAAAGGGTCTTCATGTTTCCCATGAGAAGGCACATCTCTCACAGGACACAGCGCCTGCAACCAGAGAGAACAAAATGTTGAGCACACAATAAATACATCAAGTTGTAATATGTGTGACTTTCCCCGCATCGAGCGCCGCACGCACGCTGCACTGTTTCAGAAGGGCCGAGCTAATTACAGTGTGTAACAGTGAGATTGTTGGATACTTGGGAAGTAAGGGAGTTTTAAGGAGTGTGGAGAAAAGGCAACAACAACAAATTATATTTACCCGGCGCTTTTCACACCAGGAAAACGTCCCAAGGCGCGGACAGTCAAGGAATTGTACCCGAGCAAGGAGTTGGATCAGGCGGTGTGGATGGTAGGGAGGGTACGGGTCGGAGAGGTAGAGCGCCAGGGCGGGTGGGCTGGGGACGCGGAGCAGGCCAGAATCCGCTGAGCGGAATGAGTGGACAGGTTCGTATGGAATTAGCAGGTCGCCAAGATAGGGAGATTAATGGAATTAATAGATCTGCCACAATCTAATAAAATGTCAGAACAAGTTTAAACAGCACAGCAGTACTCGCCTGCCCTGCCTGAGTTAATAAGCAAGGCTTCACGTCTGCAAACAAATACAATAAAATGGCTTACTGTGATTTCTAAAGCTTCTATATCTCTGCTGAGACCTCCCCCGAGACAGATCAGCTTGATGAAGAAGCCAAAATCCCGAATGGAGGTGATTCTTCCGATCACTACATCCCCGCGCTCAATGTCACGGAAAAAATACTGTCTTTTCTCATCGTCTGGAATCTCCATGAATTGTTCCATCGGGGGCATGATGGCGTAATACTCTGTGACAGCCAGAATAGGAACAATGTGTAACAGGAAGGATTTATTGGTGCAAGATATTTCATAATAATAATAAAAAATACTTCCGCTTGATACAGTGCCTTATCACGTCATCGAGATGTCTCAAAGCACTTCACAGAATACTGTAAAATGAATTCACTGTATATTAGGGGAGCGAAATGCGGCAGCTGATTACGCACAGCACCGTCCCACAAACAGTCGTGCATTGAGTGACCACTTTTTTTTAAAAGAGATTATTACCTCCGGAAAGCGATCCTCCAATCGACTAACAACCAGGTTCCTACTTACAGCTGGTAAACAGAGGCGGGTGAAGTAAGGAAACTTGCCGAAAGTTTTGCACCACCCGGGAATTGTGAGCGAGGCGAGTGCTCTAACCACTATGCTTCGGGCCTCTACAACTTGGGGCCTTTCACACATCTTATGGAGCAATTAACAATATTAGTTATTGCTAATTTTTTCTCAACAATATTAATCCTCTTAACAATGTTAGGGGATTACGTCACTTTACGTAGTCAGCAACAGACCTGTGACGTGCAGATACAGCAGCAACAGAGATCAAAGGTCATTAGCAAAACTAAGGAAGAAGTTAGGAGTATTTCTGCCGAGAGGAATCTTTTTTGGCAGCCTGGTTTCTGACACAGGCGGAACCCATCACCGTGCTAAAGAGTTTCCAAACCAAGCTGAGAATTCCATGCATCTCACCTACTCATGGAAACCCCAGAGATATTGTTGGAATGGAATGTGCACTCTCTCTCTCTCTCTCCCCTCCTGGAGAGACACCTCTTGCTTACCTGATTCTGGAGAGTATTAGGCGTAGGTTGGCTGGGCGTGGGCTGGGACTAAATGGAGAGTTCTTTCTGGCTTCACAGAACAAGATTCATTTGTGATGAAACAAATGAATGTTTTTACGGAAGCAAAAGTGACTGCTGATCAACACCCAGCAAATAACAGTGAGATGAGCAGCCAACTTTTTTTAGGGGCGGAGGGGGGGGGAATTGTAATAAAGAAGGAATAAATGCAAACCATGATTATCAGAAGGAAAATTCTCATCAAAAAGCAGATACACTAAATCAGGGCAACTTCCCCGACTGACTGGCTGGAGCGACAGTAATCAATCACCTTCCGCCTCGTCATCATTGACCTCAGTGACAGGGGCCGATCTCCACGACTGAGCAAACAGCAGGTCTGCCTTCCTGGCGATGAACTGCTGCACGGCCCTGTTCTCCACTCTCCTGTCCTTTCTGCAAACACACACACAGCAGTCACGCGTCAAGGCACGTTTACACCACACCATTCCAGCGTCCTTCCCAAAATCAAACTGCTACAGTGACAAGAGACAACAACAAATTACATTTGTACGTAATTTGGTGACGAGGCGAAGGGACTGTGGGATGGAGCAGAGAGGCTGAGACCCAACCACCGATGGTGGGGCCGGCCGGGCGGGGGACACGGAGCAGGCCAGAGCCCGCTGAGCGGACAAGTCGATAAGGAGTTAGCAGGTCACAGGGTAGGGATGGGCCAGGCCGTGGAGGGCTTTGAAAGCCACGATGCGGATTTTGTACTGTATCCTCTGGAGGGTGGGGAGCCAGTGGAGACCTAATACACTTCCATCTAAAGTGGACCGTGTCAAATATGACCCTTATATTTGATACAGCGCCTTATCACATCTGGAGGACATCTCAAAGCGCTTCACATGAATTTAATGTAAAGTGTAATGAATGTGTACTTGCTTATAGCGAGCAAACACGACAGACAACTTGCGCACAGCAATGTCTCACAAATAGCCATGACATGATTGATAATAATAATCCTTGCATTTGATAAGAGCACCTTATCGTGTCTTTGAGACGTGTGAGAGCCCGTCACAGGATACACTGTAAAGTGAAGTGGCTGAGTAGTTTGGGTGTGAAGTTTTGTACAATAACCTCTGTTAATACATTGCTATAAATTAATTTTAAAATAATTAAAAGCTGATCAATTTAGTTTGGGGGATTGTTGGCCAGGATTCCGGGAGAGAGAAAAGCTCCCTTCACTTTTCGAATGGGACCTTTAAGGTGTGGGTGAACCCCGAAGGTAAACGGCCCACAGCAAAAGTGCTGAGATACAATAATTCCCAGGAGCTCGTCAAACAGCAGAAAAATTATTCAAAATCTTTAACTGTGAAGGCAAGAAAATCCACACAAATAATATCCGTCAGATAACCCGCTGTCCATCCAAAACACTGATTGTTTCACCTGGATTTGTTTCAATATAATCCCCCATACTTTATATCACACCCATAACATCCAACAGCCTCGAAGCACACCTCTTCTAATTGTTGTCAAGTGTAGTGACTGTGCATTTGCACGCAAATCCAGCATCCAATTTGCACACAGCAAGGTCCCACACATAATTACTCCCCTTCAGATAGTCGGTCGTTAACTTATAGTAATAATCCTTGCGTTTGATATAACGCCTTATCACGTCTTCGAGACGTCTCAAAGCGCTTCACAGGACATACTGTAAAGTGAATTGACTCTATATGTTGCGGGCGAAACGCGGCAGCCAATTGCGCACAGGAGCGTCCCACCAACTTCACTGCCGTTTGGGGCCGTTGCTGTGCACAAACGGGCTGCCACGTTCACTTGTTAAACACACAGTCAGTCACTACACTTTACACTAAATCCCGTGAGGTGCTTTGAGATGACGTTAGGAGGCCGAGCTTTCAGTCAATACGCCTCGAAACGCTGGAACTCTCTCCTCTCGCCCTCCTCCCCCACTTTCAGATCTTCCTCTTCAATCAGTCACCTCCTCCCCCTCTCCCCCGGGTCAACTGCCGTTAACCGCTGTGGGACCCCCACGTGAAGGGCACCGTATAAATGCAGTTTGTTGTTGGCGCTGTGTCAGGAAGTGAAAGATCAAATTAACCTTCAGACCAGCGGTGGCCAACCCGTGGCCCACCAACAAGTGCACCCCCCCACCCCCCACCTCGCTCCCCCCAGCCCCCGCCTCGCTCCCCCCGCCCCCCCCCGCCTCGCTCCCCCCCGCCCCCCCGCCTCGCTCCCCCCGCCCCCCCGCCTCGCTCCCCCCCCCGCCCCCCGCCTCGCCCCCCCGCCTCGCCCCCCCGCCTCGCTCCCCCCGCCTCGCTCCCCCCGCCCCCGCCTCGCTCCCCCGGCCCCCGCCTCGCTCCCCCCGGCCCCCGCCTCGCTCCCCCCGGCCCCCGCCTCGCTCCCCCCGGCCCCCGCCTCGCTCCCCCGGCCCCCGCCTCGCTCCCCCCGCCCCCGCCTCGCTCCCCCCGCCCCCCGCCTCGCTCCCCCCGCCCCCCCCGCCTCGCTCCCCCCCCCGCCTCGCTCCCCCCGCCCCCCGCCTCGCTCCCCCCACCCCCCCGCCTCGCTCCCCCACCCCCCACCCCCCGCCTCGCTCCCCCACCCCCCGCCTCGCTCCCCCCGCCCCCCGCCTCGCTCCCCCCCCCCCCCGCCTCGCTCCCCCCGCCCCCCCCCGCCTCGCTCCCCCGCCCCCCGCCTCGCTCCCCCCGCCTCGCTCCCCCGCCTCGCTCCCCCCGCCTCGCTCCCCCCGCCCCCCCGCTTCGCTCCCCCCGCCCCGCCTCGCTCCCCCCCCCCCCGCCTCGCTCCCCCCGCTCCCCACGCCCCCCGCCTCGCTCCCCCCAGCCCCCGCCTCGCTCCCCCCGCCTCGCTCCCCCCGCCTCGCTCCCCCCGCCCCCGCCTCGCTCCCCCCGCCTCGCTCCCCCCGCCTCGCTCCCCCCGCCTCGCTTCCCCCGCCCCCCCGCCTCGCTCCCCCCGCCCCCCGACTCGCTCCCCCGCCCCCCGTTCCTGGTGCTGATGCGCTCTCGGGGGCTGATCCCGATTCTTGGGTTTATGCCACAAATCAAGAAATATTCAATCCCCAAAACTTTATATTGTTGGGGGCGACCGTCAAAGAGGGTCGTGTCAGCAGCCGTCTGTCTGCGGCCGTCAGGGCCCAGGGGTCTGAGCCCGGGCTCAGGCTGGGGCAGAGAATTGGTGGGTGGGTGGTGGGGGGGGGGGGGGGGAGTGTGGCCCGCGGGCCGCAGTTGCTGGCCCGCGGGCCGGAGCAGCTGGCCCGCGGGCCGGAGGCGGCGGTGTACCTGTGGTGCGGTTTCAGGAGCTGCGCCGAGAGGCTCTGGATGTCGGGGTTGTCGAACTGTTCGCATTTGAGGAGCGTCACGAGCTCAGGCCCGTGATAGGCCGCCGCCTGGCGCAACAGCTCCCGGTCCATGGCCATGGCGATGGCGCCGCTGCCGCCTGGCCCGCGCAGGCGCACTCCGCGCCTGTGCGCGCACGTAAAGCCACGTCGGCACGGCGGCTCTTACGTCACGTCACGTGAGGTGACGTTGCGCTCACCGCGCCTCTCCTCTCTGCTGCCCCCCTGCGGACGGCGGGGAAGCAACGAGCGACACGAGCCGCCAGAGGGCGCTCGGCCACAACTTAAACTGATTACCACCTCTTTTTTTTTAAATGATGAGCCTCACACATTTGCTCCAATCGGTCACCACCGTCTGTGAGACGCCTCAAAGCGCTTCACAGGAGACGCCGCAAAGTCAACGCACCGTACATTTTGTGGGCGAAGCGGAGGCGGCGTCCGCGAGGGGTCGGGGAACTCGGCCAACGGTTCGCCCGGACCCGCCCGGGAATCGAACCCCGGACCCCACCGCTCCCGGGACGAGCGCCCGAACCGCTGAGCTACGGACACCGATACCATCCAATACTAATAACATTACTGATGTGACCTTTCTTACTCTTTCAATTCATCAATCAATATTATCCTTATTTTTTTTTCCTTTTCTTTTTCATTTTAGGATCTCGTCCCCTCCTCCGGGTCTTTGCTGTTGGTTAAATCCTGGGATTTAGTTTTCTTCCGTCCCTACACCCACCACATCCCCCCTACACATCCCCCCCACACACCCCCCACCCCCCCACACACCCCCCACCCCCCCCCCCCCCCACACCCACACACACCCCCCACACCCCCCATCCCCCCACACCGCCCCCCACATCCCCCCCACACACCCCCCACACCACCCCACCACATCCCCACCCACACCCCCCACCCCCACACACACCCCCACCCACATCCCCCCACACACCCCCCACACCACCCCACCACATCCCCACCCCCCCCCCCCCCACACACACCCCCACCCCCACACACACCCCCACCCACATCCCCCCCACACACCCCCCACACCACCCCACCACATCCCCACCCACACCCCCCCCCACACACCCCCCCACCACATCCCCCCCACACACCCCCCACCCCACCACATCCCCACCCACACCCCCCCCACACACACCCCCCACCCCCACACACACCCCCACCCACATCCCCCCACACCGCCCCCCCACACACCCCCCACACCCCCCCCCACACACACCCACCCACACACCCCACACCCCCACACACACCCCCACCCACATCCCCCCACACCGCCCCCCCACACACCCCCCACACCCCACCACACACACCCACCCACACACCCCACACCCCCACACACACCCCCACCCACATCCCCCCACACCGCCCCCCACACACCCCCCACACCCCACCACACACACCCCCCACACCCCCCCACACACACCCACCCACACACCCCTCCACATCGCCTCACACCGCCCCACACACATCCCCTCACACCGCCCCACACACATCCCCTCACACCGCCCCACACACATCCCCTCACACCGCCCCACACACATCCCCTCACACCGCCCCACACACCCCCCACACACACCCCCCATCCACATCCCCCCACACCGCCCACCCACCCACCCACACACCCCCACATCCCCCCATACTCCATTTGTAATTTTGTTTTAAGTTTTGATACGATTTTCTTTTAAATACTCATTTTAGTTACCCCGGAAGCTTTTATTTCCTTCTGGAGGAGTCGATGTTTATTTTCCAAGAAATATTCATTTTTCCGCAATTATAAAGGGAAGTGGATACTGTTCTCAGGTTTCATTTGAAATCTCAGTACTCGTTATTTTTTTATAAATCGGTAAAATAATCCGTGCGTTTGATATGACCTCTTTCTCATCTGCAGGAAATATCAAAGGGCTTCACAGGTTATAATAACAATTATAACAACTACTTGCATTTCTTTTTTAGACCAACGTGACCGCCAACTTGCACAAAGTCACGTCCCACAAACAGCGATGAAGTGAGTGACCAATTTTATTTATTATATTTGTGTTATTTATTTTCGTCGGCCGGGACACCGGGAAATAGAAACTCCCTTCTCTTTTCATATAGCACCATGGGATCTTTAACGTCCACCTGAACAGGTAGATGGGCCCCTCGGTTTAAGGTCTTATCCGAAGGACGCCACCTCCGACAATGCAAACACCTCCCCCCGCCCCTCATCATTCCACGGGAGCATCGGAAATATTAAATTAATGCATGAGTGCAATGTATTTTCTCGTCATATATTTTGACTTTACTGAGACTTCCAGGTTTTAATTGGAGAATTTTAATATCATTTGAAGATGTTTTGTACGGACACACAAAATAGAAATGATTAGCAAACAACAACAACAACAACAAGATTTCATTTATAGAGCGCCTTTCAAGTCTGGAGGACGTCCCAAGGCCCTGCACAGTTAGGTCGGGACCCGAGTAGGGGGGACATGGTCAGGGTGAGGGGAGGGAAGGAACGAGGAGGGGGGTAGAGAGTCGAGAGGGGAGCTGAAGGCACGGTCGAAGAGAAAGGTCTTGAGACCGGCCTTGAAGGAGGAAAGGGAGGAAGCGAGGTGAGAGTGGAAGAAATATTTTTGATACAACAGATAAAATCCACGAGACTCCAGGCAGAGAGCAAGGAACCATGAGAAATCTAAGGAAAGCCTCTGCAAACAGCACCAAATCAGTCTCTGATTGTCAGTCAACACTGTGTTATTAGAATCTGTCATATCCTGGAATGGGCAGAGAGAAAAAGAGCGTTAACAGAATGAATAATCCTTACGTTTCATACATCACGTCAAACACAAGCATTATTCATTGACTCGCAGGGAAATTTCTTTCAAGTGTAGGCAAATGCAGCAGCCATTTTGCTCCCAGCAATGCCCCATAAACAGCCATGAACTGAATGACTTATTTATCTGGTAGATTGTTGGCCAGACTCCGGCAGGAACTCCTTTCTCTTTTTGAACATTGTCGCGATATTTTCAATGTCCGCTGGAACTGAGCCAGGAACCTTGGATTAACGTCTCAGATGAAGAAATTCCACCTGAACAGGCAGACGAGACCTCGGTTTAACGTCTCATCCGAAAAACAGCACTTCCGACAATGCAACACCCCCTCCTCCCCCCCCCCCTCACAATGAACTGGAGCGTCAGCTTAGACTTTGTGATTCCGAGGTCCGAAGTGGGCATTTGAACCCACAACCTTCTGACTCAAAGGCAAGAGTGTTATCGCTGAGCCAGGCTGACACACATATCAAAGAAGCATAGAATTATACAGCACAGAAGGAGGCCATTCGGCCCATCGTGTCTGCGCCGGCTCGTTGAAAAGAGCTTCCAAATCAATCCCACTCCCCCCGCTCTCTCCCCATAGCCCTGCAAACTTGTCCTCCACAAAAATAATTATCTAATTACAGTCATTCAGTCTGATTATGTGTCTGATTATCAGAATAACTCGACCCTGAGATCTTCATTGTGTAATAGTTGTCTATCGTCAGGCTAGTATCTGCCACACTATATATCCAATCACTAGGAACCCAGAGAACTCCGTGCTGAGCCAGAAACCAGGGCAGCGAGCGAGGTGGACGGACACTCACCTTAACACACGTTGCAAGATTTTGGACAATTATCCTTCATAAAGGTCTGGCGCCGCTCGCAGAAGCCAACTCTAGCCCAAGAGCCACAAAACCGTCTTTTATCATGGCAGGCTGATAATAATATAATAAAATATTAGTAATACAGCGCCTTAAAACCGAGGCCCTCCTGATTGGCTCACGTCAGCGCCTCCGCACCTCAGGCGCCGACACCATCAGCATCCAAGGCTGCACTCTCCACCTCTCAAAGCCAGTCAGGAACCTCGGCGTTTTGTTTGACCCTGAGCTGTCCTTTCTCCCTCACATCCGCACCACAACTGGCACCGCCTTCCATCACCTCCGGAACATCGCCAGACTACGGCACTACCTCACCCCTCACGCTGCTGAAACTCTGGTCCACGCCTTTGTCACCTCAAGGCTGGACTATGGGAACTCTCTCCTCGCCGGCCTTCCCGCCACCTCCCTCCACACTGCAGGTCATTCAGAACTCTGCAGCTCGTGTACTGTCCCGCACCAGACACCGCGACCACATCACTCCCACCCTCGCTCGCCTCCACTGGCTCCCCATCCCCCAGAGGATTGATTTCAAGATCCTCATCCTCACCTATAAGGCCATCCACGGCCTTGCTCCCTCCTACCTCTCTGACCTACTATCCCCCTACCTACCTGCCCGTACCCTCCGTTCCTCCGGCTCCGGTCTGCTCCACATCCCCCGCCCCAACCGCCCTACCATCGGTGGTCGGGCCTTCAGCCTCTCAGCCCCGAGGCTCTGGAACTCCATCCCCCAGTGCCTTCGCCGCTTCCTCCCTCTCCTCCTTCAAGGCCGGTCTCAAAACCTTTCTCTTTGACCGAGCCTTCAGCTCCCCTCTCGACTCTCTTCCCCTCCTCGCTCCCTCCCTTCCCTCCCCTCACCCTGACCATTTCCCCCCTCCTCGCTCCCTCCCTTCCCTCCCCTCACCCTGACCATTTCCCCCCTCCTCTCTCCCTCCCTTCCCTCCCCTCACCCTGACCATTTCCCCCCTGCTCGGGTCCTGACCCAACTGTGCAGCGCCTTGGGATGTCCTCCTGACGTGAAAGGCGCTTTATAAATGGAATCTTGTTGTTGTTGTTGTTATCATGTTGTATATACTGTGAAGCGGACTGACTGTATTTATATGGGCGAAACATGGCTCCCAATTGCACACAGCAGTGTCCCACGAACAGTTGTGGATTGATTGAGTGACCAATTTTTTTTTGAGGGATGGTTACCCCCAGAAAGTGATCCACCAATCGACTAACAACCGGGGTCCTACTTACAAGCAGGATGTAAGCTTGGCTGTAAGCAGGGTGTGGCACTCCGGGGAGAGAGAGCACATTCCATCCAACAATCTTATTTCTGGGATTTCCACGTGTAGGTGGGAGGTATGGAATTCTCAGCTTGGTTTGGAGAATTTTAAGCAAAGAATTTTAAGCAACAGTGATGGGTTTCCGCAGGTGTCGGACACCCGGCTGGGCAAAATAACCCAACAAAAAATACGCAGAGACCGCTCTTACCGTACAGTTGCTGTATCCCACTGATGTCGTCCTGGGTGACGTCCCGCTGGCCTGTGTACGTGATGCTGGGGTGCATGAGCGAATTCTGGTTCTGGGAGTGCATGAGCCCCAATGCATGGCCAATTTCATGAGCCGCCACTTGTATTAAATCATTCAGCCAAACCCCTGACAACAGAGCAACAGCAAAGCTCAGTGATAGGCTTGTGCGGGCGGACACAGGCCCAAATCAGACACCATACCAAAGTACGGTTGGTATCAACGACAACTTGCATTTATATAGCGCATTGATCCAGGGCAGCGTCTCGGAGCAATGGCAGAGCCTGACGCCGAGCCAGGGGGAGGGAGGAGGTGACCGTAAGCACGGTTGAAGAGGAAGGTATTCAGTCGTGATGTAAAGGGGAAGGGGGGGGTCGGTGGGGGAGGAGGGAGCAAGGCAGAGGGATTGGGGGAGAGATTTCCAAAGCAAATCTGAAGGCATGGTCGTGATGGTGGAGCGGAGTGGACGCGAAGGAGGCCAGAGCCAGACAAGCGAAGGCAGTGGTAGTGGAGTGGGGAGAAAAAGCAGGTCGGAGAGGTAGGGAGGTGCCAGGATATGAAGGGATTTTTAGACGAGTGAGAAGATTTGATTCCAGCTCCAATTTGAAAGCATGTTCTTCGGACTATCTCATTAACATTCCCCAATCTGTACCTATTTCAGGCTCCCAGATCAAGGCTCCTGTGGATGCTAATTGCAGTAGGTATGAGCTATTACCACCTATATATTACAGTAAAGCTTTTAAAACCAGGAATTTTGCAGCATGCCTGAAATTTTCAGTAAAATTGTGAAACCGTGGAAAACAGCCTCGCTTGTAAACCCAGCTCAATCGTTTACTCTCACGTTTAGAAAATTGCAGTGGCTTTGAACCTCTGGGTTCCTAGCAACCAGATATACAGTACAGTTAGGGGCAGCTAGAAAGTGTCTGACAGATTATACTATAACCTGCCTGTGTGGGTGTAAGCTGGGGTTGGAGAATTTGAGATGGACGGCACAGCTGGGAGCCAGTCAGTGGATTAAATATCACACAGTCGTAAAATTCAACACATGTGTTAATCAGGCTCAACTGTGTAAATTAACGCAGAGAATTATTAGGTTGTGGAGAGCCCAGCCAAAAGGGTCTGTATGGAATGAAATGCACGAGAGCTTTACAAAGTAATTAGGCAAATATTTGAGAAAAAAATGATAATATAATAGGAATAATAATAATCCTTGCATTTGATACAGAGCCTTATCACGTCTTCGAGATGTCTCAAAACGCTTCACAGAATATATTGTAAAGTGGATTGACTGTATTTTGTGGGCGAAATGTAGCAGCAATTGCGCACAGCAGCGACCCACATACAGTCGTGTGGAGTAAGGAAACTTGCCCACGGTTTTGTCCCTGACCAGGAATCGAAGCCAGGTCCTCTCGCATGCGAGTTGAGCGCTCTAACCACTCAGTGGCTAGAGTGTTGCTGGAGCCCCTGGTTACCTTGGTTCCTGTCGAATCGTGCCTTGCCCAGGATCCAGGCATCGTGGTTATCAAAGTGAATCTCCCCCACGGGCGGCAGGAAGGCATGAGCCAGCTCACCATTTCGGCCATCAAAGCAGGGGTGAAGCATTGTCGACCAGCAGTCAGAGTGTTCAAAGGTGTAAAATCCTGGGAAAGGTACAAGGGCTGATATTCCCACTGCCACGAGCAACAATTGCAATCCCAACCATCTGCTGTGCGCGATTGGCTGCCGTGTTTCGCCCGCAAATTACACAGTCACTCCACTTTACACTGTATTCTGTGAAGCGCTTTGAGACGTCTCGAAGATGTGATAAGGCGTTATATCAAATGCAAGGATTATTTTTATTATCTCCCTATTTTATTCATAGAATATTACAGCACAGAAGGAGGCCATTCGGCCCATCGTGCCTGTGCTGGCTCTTTGGAAAAGCTACCAACTGACCCCACTCCTCACCTCATTCCCCATAGTCTTGCAAATCTTTCCTTTTCCAGTATCTATCTAATTCCCTTATGAAAGTTGTTATCAAATCTGTTTCCATCATCCTTTCAGGCAACGCATTCCAGACCATAACAACTCTGTGCAAAAAAAATCACACACAGACAGACACAGACAAACACACACAGACAGACAGACACACAGACAGACACACAACTGCACTACCCACCCCCTATAAAAATAATAATAGTCCTTGCATTGATACAGCGCCTTAGCATGTTGTTGAGGCATCTCAAAGCGCTTCACAGAATATACTGTAGAGTGACTTGACTGCATATTTTGTGGGCGAAACGCGGCAACCAATTGCGTACATCAGCGTCCCACAAACAGTCATGGATTGAGTGACCAAATAATAATTATTTTGTTTTTATTGTTATTGTTTGTGTTAGCTCAGGGCGCGCAGACACGGACAGAGACGTTTAGTTTCTCACCCAGTTTGATGTCGGCGTTTCTTCGCCCGTGAACCTCGGCAAACGTCAGTGGAGAGACGTTGCTCCATATGCCAAAGGCCGTGCTGATGCCTTTCCTGGTGTCATACTTGCTCAGCGTGCTGGGGAACTGGACAATCCTGGGTGGAGAGACCCCGGAGAGAGTCAGTTAACAACAACGACAACTTGAAGTTACACAGCGCCTTTCACATAGGTCTTAGGGGATACAATATATAGCTTGGAGTTGGATGCTTGAATGCGAACTGGATGGACCTTGGTTACCTAGCAAATTCTTGTGTTCTTATAGGTGATGTAAGTCTCAGAGAGCTTATTTTTTGTTGTTGGTTGGGGGTGTGGGGTGGGGGAGGGGGTCAGCCAGGTGTCTGACACATGTGGAAACCCATCACCATTGCTTAAGAGTCTCCAAACCAAACTAAGAATTCCATGCACCCCGTCTACACATGGAAATCCCAGAGATCACAGTGACGGGGATGAGGTGGGGGGTATATATTAGACCCCGAGTGAGAAGGCAGGGAGGGAGAGCTGACCATAGGGACAGCGGAATAGGGCTTTAAGGCATGATTTAAAGATAGAGAGAGAGAGAGAGAGAGCGACAAGGCAAGGGGTGGAAGGAGGGAGGTCCAGAGGTTTTATCAACGGTGGCTGAACTTTCAGCCGCGACACCCCCAAAACGCTGGACCACTCTCCCTCTATCCCTCCGTCTTGCCCCTTCCTTCTTTCCTCCCCCCCCAACCCCCCACCCATCTTCAGGTCATGCCTGAAGACCTTCCTGTTCGACCGTGCCTGCCGTCACCAGCCCCTCCCCCCGGCTCGGTGTTGTGCTCCGCCACTGTCAAGCGCTCTGGGACATTGCCCTGCGTGAGGGGTTCTGTGTAAATGCAAGTTGTTGTTGTTAAGGGCATAGTATCTGAAGGCTTGTGGAGGGAGGCTGGAACTCACAGCAGGAAAGCGTGGGAGGGAGGGAGGGAGGGAGATGGGGGGGCGCGTAGACAGGTACTGATTAGCAATTATCTTGTTTTTCTGAGGATGTTTACTTGTAGGTGATGTTGAAATGGTTCCACTTGTGTCCCATGGGATTAATGATGTAACGTTTCCTTCGAATAAGAGAACTATTGACGAGTTCTTCTCGATATGGAGTAAACTGACAGGATTTTCTCAAAGGGACTGCGCTCACTTCCTAAAAGCAAAGAACAACATGATAATAATAATAATCTTTGCATTTGACATAACGACATCACTTCATTGAGGTATCTCAAAGCGCTTCACAGGATACACTGTAAAGTGGTTTGACTGTATACTTTGTGAACGAAACGCAGCAGCCAATTACACACATCAGTGTCCCACAAACAGTCGAGGATGAGTGACTAAATTATTATTATTTATTTTGAAGGGATTATTATACCCAGAAAAGCGATCCACCAATCAACTACCAACCAGGTTCTTACTTACTGCTAGGTAAACAGAAGTGTGTGGAATAAGGAAACTTTCCGAAGGTTTCGCCCCAACCGGGAATCGAACCTGGGTCCTCTTGCTTGCGAGGCGAGAGCTCTAACCAATGCTGTACAGAATGCCACTACAAGGTGCAACAACAGGGAAATAATCAGACTTGATTTTGTGCTGGGAAGACAATAAGGTGGACATTCTGGATGAGATCGGAGTTGGTGCGACTCCAATCTTGTGAGGGAATTTGAGGCTAAAGATTTGCTCAGGTTTAGAAGATGTTCTTACCTTTGGCTTCTGTTTGCGCTGTCTACCATTAGGTGACGCTCTTAGAATTTGTAAAAATCCATTGCCAGTCCAAAACTCACACATTTGGGTTGAATTCTGCCGAGTCTGGATTCACCTCATCAGTGCACCATTTTGAAAGCGTCTAGAATTTGGCAAATTGTTGAATTCAGCCTTAACTTTGACGCCGATTTTCTGAAAGTTTCTTAAAATAGTTTGTCCAGAAAAACGATCTTAATTTGTACCCAAAATCCACAGTCAACTACACTTTACAGTGATTCCTGCAAAGTGTTTTGAGGCGTCCTTCCAACATGGATGGTTTTGTATTAAATACAAGGATCATGATTATTATTATTATTACACAAGTAGCATAAATCTAGACTCAGATGGAATTTCTTCCCAGTCTCTGTTAGAGTCAATGACTGGCTTTGAGAAGAGAACCAAAAAAATTACAGGAATGTTGCACATCATGTGTGTGGTAGTGGGGGTGGGGGGGTGTGGTGGGGTCAAAGGCAAGAGTTCTCGGCTAAATACAATCATCTCTAGGAACCTCCGAGAGTTTTTCTGTGGGCCCCATGTGGAATCCCAGCAAGGCACAGACTGCTTTGGCTCACAGAAAGGCTAAGACCCCCTCTCCCTCCCCCCACACACATACTCCCATTCTTTGACCAGGTGGATGAGCCAGTTGGAGAAGGAAGAAAAAAAAAAGGAAGATAAGATGTTCACACAGAACCTTGCATCTGGTTCTGAACCTACTGAGTGTAAGTCAAGTTGGCAGGTGATAAAGCTGAGTGTAAAGAATTATTAGTTTCCTCTGCCATTTATATTAGACCCTGTCTGATCCACAACTCATGTAGTCCACTTGAACCGGCACAGACGGGACCTCAGTTTAACATCTCATCCGAAGGATGGCGCCTCTGACAATGCAGCATTCTCCCAGCACTGCACTGGAGTGTCAGCTCAGCCTGTGCGAGTTTGAAGTGCAGATGCTTAGACATACTCTATTTTCTTAGCATTTTCTGAAATTTCAGCTTTTGAGCAAACATAGGAACAGGAGGAGGCCATTCAGCCCTTTGAGCCTGTTTCCGCCATTCTATTAGATCATGACTGATCTGCACCTGAACTCAATTTACCCGCCTTTGCCCCATATCCCATGATACCCTGACGTAACAAAAATAAAAACAAACCTCACTTTCTGACCGCGGTTTATATCTCTCTCTCTCCTTCACTCGGCCCACCCCACCCTCCCATTTCTTCATCAGATTTCAATTCAAGTATTAAGATACTTAAAAAAAAATACTTTAAGGGAATTTTTTTTAAATACTGAAAAAAATCTGAAAATAAAAGTATTCATTTATCGTTCTAAAATGTGATGAATTTAATGCGTCCACCAGGACGAAAGCACTCAAGCCGATCTGTCGGTCTGCTGGAACACTTTTAATGTGAAATTACAAACGTTTTGTGTGATGTTAAGTGGGTTTCACCTTAACATCAAGGGGCAAAAGTGAATGATGTGGTTAGAACAAAAGTAAGAATCTGCACAGCACTGAACTGAAGTGTCAGCTTAGACTGTGCAAGTTCAAAGTCCAGATGCCTAGATGAATAAGTAATTAAATTATTTATTATAAATCATACTTGCATTCAATATAGCGCCTTATCATGTCTTCGAGATGTCTCAAAGCAATTCGCAGTATACTGTAAAGTGCATTGACTATGTATTTTGTGGGAGAAACGCAGCAGCCAATTGCGCACGGCAGCGTCCCACAAACAGTCGTGGGTTGAATGACCAAATTATTCTTATTGTTTTCTGGGGGAGGGACTACTGCTAGGTAAACAGGCGTGCGGCGTAAGGAAACTTGAGTAAAATTTCATCCCAACCCGCCCAACGCCTACATGATTAAGTAATGTATTTATTAACTATTATTAAATTATTGTTTTAAATTTCACCTAAATTTATTTGAGTGAGTAAAATTCTGACATTTTGGATCTGGGTCTCGACCTTTCAAATACTCTTTTCTCTCTCTCTGACGAGGATAATCCCACAACAAAATTGTTTTAAAAAAGTATTTGGTCACTCAATCCACGACTGTTTATGGGACGCTACTGTGCGCAATTGGCTGCCACGTTTCGCCCACAAAATATACAGTCAATCAACTCAACGGTATATTTTGTGAAGCGCTTTGAGACGTCTCAACGACATATAAGGTGCTGTGCCCACCAGTTAGGTTAGTTAACATTTCAAACAGAATCAGTCAATATCTTACCACCTCAATCCTCCCTGTCGGAAAAGCTTCGGCCGTATCGTGGCTTAGGAGCCAAGTCCAGAGCAAGGGGAGCAAAGAAAGACATGGAAAGACACCACATCTCCCCTCCAAACCCCCCGCATTCTGCCAGCGCAGCATTATTGAGGGAGTGTCCAGGTTCCTTTATCCATTGAAACTCACTGAGACAATTGCAATCAATAGTCACACACTAACACTTTGGGGGGAGATGGTCTTTGTGCAACAACACGGTGCTGTTAAAAACTAGCTTCTGACTAGTCTTGCCGATTGTTTCTGAAAGGGAATAAAATGATAACAGTCTCCAGGCTGATTTACACTCAGCCTCTCAGCTCAAACCCCGCCCTCCCTCTCTCCCTGGCCACTGATTGAAGTTAGTTGGAAGGAATTGGAGGAGAGAGGTGTGGACACACAGCTATAAACCCTTCATGTGGCGTCCTGTAGCTCAGTGGTTGGAGCACTTGCTTTGCAAGCGAGAGACTTGGGTTCAATTTCAGGCAGGTCAAAACCTTGGGCAAGTTTCCTTACTCCACACGCCTGATAATAATCTCTCCAAAATACAAAACAATAATAAATTGATCATTTTCAATCCGCAATTGTTTGTGGGACACTGCTGTGTGAAATTGGCTGCCGCGTTTCACCCACAAATATAGTCAATTCACTTTACAGCATATTCTGTGAAGCGCTTTGAGACGTCTAGAAAAGGTGAAAATGCTATATCAAATGTGAGGATTATTATTATTATTATATTCGTTAATTTCACATGTGCCTCTCAGGTCTACTCTCAGCCTGATCAGGTGAAAATCAACCATTTTTGCCCACTTACACTGTATTAAATGGTGTAAGTTTGGTCAGATAAGTGGAAAGTGGTCCTCAATTTCTGACAATGTCCTGCCTCTGTGTGTGTGTGTGTGTGTGTGTGTGAGAGAGGGGCAGAACTATATTTACTGTCTACATGCCAGATAATAAGACACACTTATCTGCGAGCATTGTAAGCCGAATTTACCCATTCAACCTTAATAATAATAATCTTTGCATTTTTGATACAGCGCCTTATCACGTCTTCGAAACAAATCAAAGCGCTTCACAGAATACACTGTGAAGTGAATTGATTGTATATTTTGTGGGCAAAGTGCGGCAGCCAATTGCGCTCAGCACAGCAGTGTCCACAAAATTGGAGTGACCAATTTTTTTTGTAAACGTCGCAGAAATTATCAGCATCATAAATCACCTTTATTAATAATCTCACTTCCTCCCTTCTCCCCAAATTGGCTCTTACATTTGCCTATAAAACGCACAGTCACGAGCCGTCTTCCTGACATGATGAGGCGCTGTATCAAATACAAGATTTATTATCATTATAATTGCAGAAACTCAGTACAAACTAATCCACATTAAATCTCAACTGTCACATTTTGTTTTAAATAAAATAATAAAAATTAAATTGATTGTGAGGAATATTAGATACCATGATCTCGGGAGCTAAAAAAGCTCCTTTCGATCAATTGTTTTGTTGCAGTCTCAATCGCCACCCGCAGTAATGTAAATTTTAACTGTTGTCACGGATTATATGTATTCATTTCTCTGTTCTGTTTATGCATCCATGAAAAGGCTTTTCTTCTCGCATTTTCTCGCATATAAAACTCTCAGCACACTTTCGGGGTCAAACTGCAGACTGATTTTGTGCACAAATCATTTTACACTTAATTTTTCACAAATAGTCATTAGTCATGGAGTCCTGTAGCTCAACGGTTAGAGTGCTCGCCTCGCAAGCGAGAGAACTGGGTTCAATTCCCGGGAAGGGCGAAACCTTAGGCAAGTTTCCTTACTTCACACGCCTGTTTACCTCGCAGTAAGTAGGTCGATTGGTGGATCGTTTTTCCGGGGGTAATAATTCCTTCAAAAAAAAGAAGTCACTTCGATCCACGACTGTTTGTGGGACGCTGTTGTACGCAATTGGCTGCTGCGTTTCGCCCACAAAATATACAGTCAATTCACTTTACAGTATACTCTGTGAAGCGATTTGAGACGTCTTGAAGATGTGGTAAGGCGCTAAATGCAAGGATTATTATTATTATTATTATTATATCAAATGCAAGGATTGTTATTATTATTAAGCAAGCGACCAATTCACCAATGCGATCGGCGGCCAAAATATCATTAGAAACTCCCTTCTTTTTTCCCCCCAGCAACTCCAGCATTTCGTAATGTCCACTTGAAACGGGTGCATACAAGACCAGTTTAGTAATAATTCTTGCATTTGATATAGTGCCTTATCACATTGTTGAGACATCTCAAAGCGCTTCACTGGAAAGTGAATTGACTGTATATTTTTGTGGGTGAAATGCTGCAGCCAATCACGCACAGATTGAGTCAGCAATTTTTTTTTAAGGGATTACCACCCTTGAGATCTCGTGTCCCAAACTACAACAACAACAAGATTCCATTTATAGAGCGCCTTTCACGTCGGGAGGATGTCCCAAAGCGCTGGACAATTGGGTCAGGACCCGAGCAGGGGGGAAATGGTCAGGGTGAGGGGAGGGAAGGAGCGAGGAGGGGGGGGGGGGGGAGGGGGGGGGGGGGAGGGGGGGGGGGGAGAAATGGTCAGGGGGAGGGGAGGGAAGGGAGGGAGCGAGGAGGGGGGAAATGGTCAGGGTGAGGGGAGGGAAGGAGCGAGGAGGGGGGAAATGGTCAGGGGGAGGGGAGGGAAGGGAGGGAGCGAGGAGGGGGGAAATGGTCAGGGGGAGGGAAGGGAGGGAGCGAGAAGGGGGGAAATGGTCAGGGTAAGGGGAGGGAAGGGAGGGGGCGAGGAGGGGATAGAGAGTTGAGAGGGGAGCTGAAGGCACAGTCAAAGAGAAAGGTCTTGAGACCGGCCTTGAAGGAGGAAAGGGAGGAAGCGGCGAAGGCACTGGGGGATAGAGTTCCAGAGCCTAGTTCCAGAAACTACACACGGTTGCGAGACGCTGCTCAAATGCCAATTTGAAAAGCAATCCACGAATCGACTAACAATTGGGATCCTATTTACTGCTCGGCATGTGGAGTAAGGAAACTTGCCCAACGTATCGCCTGCCCTGGGAATCGAACCCAGATCCTCCTGCTTGCGAAGCGAGTGCTCTAACCACTACAGAACTTCATTTATTATTTATAATATAAACTTATATATTTCTATAACAAGCCACCTGTTCACGTCACTTACCTGAAGCAAAGGTCACTGGTTATACTGCACTGAATTACAAAGAGAACTTTTCAGGCTTAAAATAATCCCATTGTTGCCGCCCAAGTCTTGGGAGTTGAATCCTTTTGCTCCGAAAATCTTGAAAGACACTCAGTGTGGCCTGCTCCACCGCTTTCACTATATACATCACCCGAGACACACCTCCTCCCCTCCACCTGTAGCATGATTCACAGCCACCAGTGACAGGAAGCCAACCCAAACTTCTCTCTGAGAAACCCAATGCCAGCCTTTGGCTGCCTGCTATTACCAGTAGAGGGATCAACCAATGTTTGGATGACTTGCCCTGTCCTGTGTGAGACATTTCAGCAGCTTCTCAGAACTGTACTTACAGTATAGTTTGGGACACGAGATGTCATGCAACTGCCAAGATGGTGGAAGGCAAGCTGGATGGACATCGGTCTTTTCACCTCCCGACGTGAAAGGCGCTATACAAATGTAATTTGTTGTTATGTTCTTAGTTGGGGGTGGACAAGTTATTTGCAGTGTTGTCACTAGGGTTGCATATAGATCTAACCAATTCAATGTTGAGAGCCAAGAGGCAATTGGTAACTTTATTTGATTAGTTTTCTCCCCCCCCCTTCTCCCAATTGCCGTTCCAATGTCCCTCCCCGTTGAGAGGCGTGGGAAGCCGCTCGTTATGGTCTGCCCAGCCACAGGGGCTTCCTTCCGCGCTTCAAAAAAAGCGTTCAGTCTCCACAGGTTCTTAATGGTTTATTAGGATTAACTGGACGATCACAAAGTTACCAAAGAGATTACACTATCAAGCAAAGGATTTACAGGTCAGAATCTCTTCCCAACTCCTGCTCCTCCCTCCCTACCCACCAGGTTCATCCTTCAGAAAGCCTTTTATCTTCTCTAAACTGGTGCAGGAACCGGTCACTGACTGCCCTATTGCCATGATCACAGACTCACAGAACACAGGCCTGCGGGGGCACGCAGAAACACTCCACTTTCATGCCTTAAGAGTTATGTGCACATCTAGGGAAACCAGATCCACCAAACCTTAACATGGAATTAAAAAGGCCTTAAAATGCATCACTCGGTCACGAGATCTTGAGCAAAATCCATCCTCGACAACAGTTGTGCTAGCCTGGCTCGTAGTTTGGTTATTTCCTTCTCCTGATGATGGCTCTGACCCACCGCAGTGGTGGGGGTGGGGTTTAGCGAGGAACACGCATTGCTTGCTCTTAGGTATGGGGAGAAGGGAATAAAGTAAGGCCCGCCCCACGCAACCCACCACCCTCACAGATCTGTATCCTCACATCACCAATCCCTGCCACCAACAGTTTCCTCCTTCCCCTCCCCTCACAAGTACTTAAGATATTTATGAAGTCTGTGTGGGCGTCTATCAATTATCCACCCAGTGACCCCCCCCTCCCCCTCTGCCGTTTAATATGACGGCTTGTTTAAAAAACAAAGGCCAGCCAGTGACCGGCTATCTGCACACACACACACCACAAAAAGCACATTTATATATTCTTTTTCCTCTTTTTTTTCTTAAAAAAAACACTGACGAGTAATTTCTTTTGGTCACAAAAAAATCCACTGTAGCAAACTGAACCACAGCTCAGAGGAAGGACCCGAGCGCCTTATCAGGCCTCTGATTGCACAGAACACTCATGACAACATTGCTATCGGTATACATTAGTTCAATCTCTAGCGGGCAAGTCCAGTTACATTCTATCTTCTATGGGACTACAATACGTGTACATAGTCGGAAAATACATTGGAGATCAGCTGAATGTAATGTAGACATATAATAGGAGCTGCTTTTGAACATAGGGCATCATCTAAAGGGAGTACAATAAAACCAACTGAAAAGGAGGGCAAAAGAACAGGATCTTGTGTTGCCCAGCTCCCCTCTGCTGGTATGTGCAGCAGTCTGATGGGCACAGCTGCCACCGGCTTCTGGCAACATGAAGTGCAAGGTGTAGTTTGCCAACAACGGAGAGCGAGTCTGATGTGTTTCGATGGGTATCACAGGGCCAGCTGGGCGGTCTCAGCACCTGGTCTCGTAAATCCCGCTCCGGCCAATGTACCTGACCCATTTTATCACATCATGGTCGCTGTAGTTCAGCTTGGGCTCAAAGACCTTCAGATAACGCACCTTCAGTCCGGACGGAGCAAATGGGACCTGCAAGAGTTCAGTGAGTTGATGTAGGTTATTGAGTAACTATGCAAACAACAGAAATTTTCTAGATCAGCGAGAACAAGAATAACTTGGATTTATATAGCGCCCTCTACACCGGTCGGCCTCTCAGAGCGCTTCACAGTAACGGATCCCAGGTCCGAGAACAAAGGAGAGAGTCCACTGTTTGTCCAGCTAGGACCACCCCACCCTTTAGGGCTTTGGCTTGCAGGGTTAACAGTAACTGAGTGGGAGAAGTCCCTGCCCCTATCGACTGGTCTGCCCTTCCAGGTCCTGCTGATGAGCCAGGTTGGGTTGTGTTGTCATCAGCAGTGCCCTGGAATACTGTGGACCCGCCTGGCTCAGTAATCGGACTACCGAGACAGACACAGAGGGCTGGCTTGATTCTGACATTCCAACATGTCACCTCGGAGCCAGTTTAGACGTGTACATCAACCAGAGAACAAAAGGACCTTTTCTCTCCCCAAACCCACCCCTCCACCCAGATCTTTTTTGCTGAGTGATTTACCCCCAGTTTTTGGTAGCAAAAAGACCAAGTCCGAGCGATGACCTATAAATAGGAAGCTTAACAGATATTAGTGCATGGCGTTTCCACCTGACGAGCAACGACAACAACATTACATTTGTACAGCGCCTTTCAAGTCAGGATGAGCAGCAGATTTGATTCGATTTTAAGGACAAACACCGCTGCCTGACACGAGTCGAGTCTGGAGATGATGAACCAGACAACGCACACGCTCTGTTGCTTTCCACAGAGAACCTTGCGGGGAAAAGCAGACCTTGAAACAAGATGATGACCATCAAGACGAAGCCCGCTGACCCCAGAATTCAAAACAACTGTTAAGTTTGCAAACCATGTAAACTTGTTACTGTGGCTGGAAATTTAAGTGTACAAAACATACACTTAATAAGGGGTTGCACACTGCCAACTCCAACCTGGCGCTTTCCCTCTCTCGCCCTCTCCTCCCTCCCAGGATGACAGCCTAGACACTTGAAGGCTGAACAAAGGAAGCATGTTACCCAGGGAGAACTGAAGGCCAGGAAAGTACAAACACACCCCATGCTGCTCTCGCCTGAGTACAGTTTATAATTTAGTGCCAATTACAGCACACCTCTGGTAATATGGACATCAGTCAAGTGAGACAGACTGGTATTCTGAAGCCAGGCCAATGGCGTTTAATAATAACCCTTGCATTTGATATAGCGCTTTTCACCTCTTCTAGACATCTCAAAGCGCTTCACAGAATATGCTGTAAAGTGAATTGACTGTATATTTGTGGGCAAAACTGTATATTTGTGGGCGAAACACACAATTTTAATGGTTAAGGTCACATTGCTAGCGTTTTAATAACACAATGATGCTTGGACCTGTCTGGTTTAGATTAATAGAATTGGAGATCGACAGACAGACAGTAGTCCTGAACACTTTTGACTTTGCTTGACCTGGTTGTGTCTGCAAACCTGTCTTTTGACCAGCAGATGAGGACTATTGTCTTCAGGCTAGGATAAGAGCCAAAGCAAACTTACAGAATCAATTCAAAATAATCACCAAGAACATCAAAGATTAATAATAATCCTTGCATTTGATATAGTGCCCTATTACATCTTTAAGACGTCTCACAGCACTTCATAGAATATACTGTAAAGTGGATTGACTGTACATTTTGTGGGCGATACGCAGCAGCCATTTGCTCACAGCAGTGTCCCACAAACAAGTCGTGGATTGAAGTGACTAACTTACTATTTATTTGAAGGCATTATTACCCCCGAAAAGCGATCCTCCAATCAACTAACAACTGCATTCGTTCCTATTTACTGCAAGGTAACTTACTGCAATTGACCAAATTATTATTAGGGGAAGTTACTTTTTTTTTAATATAAAAAACAACGTATGAAGCAAATACCATAATAGCTGGTAAAAAGGGAACTGGACACATATTTGAAAAATAAAATGAAACAGGGTAAGTAAGGGCAGGAGAGTGGGATTAAATTGAGTGTTTTAAGAAAGCCGGCACAGATATAAAGAGTGAATGGTCTCCTTCTGTACTGTAAAATTCTGCCATTCTAAGCCTACCATTACATTCAAGCGCTCTGGGACGCTAGCCTGCGTGAGGAGCATGATATAAATGCAAGTTGTTGTTGCTGAACAAGCTGCGAGGGATCCTGTATTTGGGTTTGTGCTGGCAGCGCGCACGCACACACACACACCACAAGACTCCACTCACCTCAAAGTTCATAGAGATGGGCGGACGAGCCCATTTCTTTTTATCATTAGTAGGTAAAAGCTCGATCTCCGCACTAATCTGAGACTCCTTCATTCCCGCCATTCGCTTAATTCTACAGAGGGGAGAGGATAAAAGTTCATTAGCGACCAGCAACCTCCCCACCCATCCGGGCAGCCCAAATAGTGAGATTTCAAAGTCGCATTTAAAAAATTTAATTGACACTAGAACATTAAACACTGGGTCAAAAACAGAGAGAGCTGGGAACACTCAGCAGGTCAGGCAACATCTATGGAGAAAGGAAAGTGAGTCAACGTTTCAGGTCCACAACCCTTCGTCAGAACTGGGGCATGTTGGGACGGAGAGGTCTTTAAGGACAAGTGGAGAGGGGGAGGCAGGACAAGGAAGACAAAAAAGACAAAGGAGAGAATGTGTTAGTTGATGGGTTAGAGTGATAGCGGCGTAAAACAAAAGGGGAGGGGTTTGAAACAAAACTAGGGAGAAGAGGTGTTAATAGTACAGAACAGGCAACACACCACAGAGAGGCAGAGTGTCTGGGGTGATGACTGTAACGATAACAGAAGATAACTCTTCTGGTAACATAAAGAGGGGGAGGGGTGCTGTTATAGTTTGAAGTGGTTGAAATCAATATTAAGGCCAGAGGCCTGTAGGGTCCCTAGCAGATAGATAGATCTATGGCAGAGGTGCGGGAAATAGGGCGGACACGGTCAAGGGCCTTGGCTGGTACCATCGTTGGGAATCCTCGGTCGAGGAAAAATGAAAACATCTTGGTTGCTCTGGCGTGGAAGGTTGATCGCAGATGCAGATTGCTCACATGTCCCATACAACTTAACTATACTGTACTGTTAGCACCTTTCTTTCAACACCCCCTCCCTGAATCATCCTGCACATGGCCTGTGAGAGGGAAGAGACTCGGTTTGGCTTCACAAAGGCCACTTACTTCCACACAATGGCGTTTTCACTGGCCTTGTACTTGGCTTTTCCCTTCATACAGATGACCTGCACCCCACTGGTATTGAGCGGGGTCGGAATACGCACCTGGAAGAGAGAGAGCACAGGCGCATTAGAAGCCAGCGCTAAGAGTCGGGAGCGGAGGAAAGAGAGAGAAGCATTAATGGAAGAATAATGACATATCCCAGTGGGTGCTGTGCTGTGTAGAGCTCAGGGGTTTTGGGGCACACCGGGCTGCTCCTACCTAGTGGCAAACCTCAAACTCTACATTTCATAGTTAAAAAAAACATTTTTATAACCAATCATTTTTCAATTAAGCCACTTTGAACAGATGTTAAAGCGGGGTATTTTAAACAAGATGTTCTCTTCCCTCCCACACACCTTTTCCCTCCTCCCATCCCCAATTAATTTTACAGTGGCCCTGACTTTAGTGGTTAAGCTTCTGTTGTGTTCTCTAGCCCAGAAGCACTGATTGTTCTGGCTCCTAACACATGCAATATTGTCTTTATGTGAAATTTATCCGAGGGACCCCGAGGAAGATTTCTCAAAGCGCAGATAAGTGTCCCAATGGGTGGCCTTAATCCCATGCCACGTGGAAGGAAGTTGTGCGAATAATGAAGCAACTTTTTCTCTACAGTTGGGGCCATGGATAATCCTATATATTCTATGGCCATAAAACTTACTTCCACCCAACTGCAGGAGCTGTGGATTGTTTTTTTTTGGGGGGGTGGGGGGGGGGGACATGGGGGAGGGAGAGAGAACAATCTACAGCAAAGCAGCAGTTTCCATCAATGGAAAATGGCTCACTGTTCAAAACCAATTCATAAATTTAAGTATTTTATTCGAGAACAACATTTAGACATTTGTATAAGTGTGGGATTGAACAATAAGCTGTGTGTTCAATTATTTCCTAATACAATACAGATCCTCTGTGCATATGGTTGATAGCCTCTGTTTTCTAACACTAGGCCAGCTTGTGTTAATCTTATTCTAAATCCTCGGGATCCACAATTCAGGAAACCTTCCTTTGGGGGTCCTGAATTGAATTCTCAGTTTGGTTGGGATATTCTTAAGTAAGGTTATGGGTTTCTGCATGTGTCAGATACCCGACTGTCCAAACAAAAATAAATGGGTTACTGTCCAGGAGCTTTAATGTACAGTATACTTGTATAGTATACAATGTGAATTAAAAAATCTAATAAAAACTAAACTGAATGCATCTAAAAATGAAAAGCTTTTCCAAAAACTTGAAACATCGAAAGCCGAGTGTCAGTTTTGGAGACTAGCTGGATGGTGTGCCGAGTCTTTCCTGCACATTCCTGGAGTCCGAAATCTTTGATAGGATATGTTTGAAACCTCTTACATCTCAATTCTGCTGTTAAGACAGAATCTATAAAGTCTTTTAAAAGAGAACTGGATAGGAGTTTGAAAGGTGGTAAGTGCAGAGAGCCAGTAAGGAGAATGGGGGTTAGATGAGGTGGACCACACATGGACACAATCACCAGTGCACACTTGATCGCCCGAATGGCTGGTTTCCATGCTCGCAGGAAAGCGATCCGCCAATCGACTAAGAACCAGGTTCCCACTTACTGCCAAGTAAACAGAGGCCCGTGGAGTAAGCAAACTTGCCTAAGATTTCACCCTACCCGGGAATCGTACCCGGGTCCTCTTGCTTGATCTTAACCAACACACTACAGGACTCCATGAGTTTGCTGGGTGTAGTGCAAATCCAAAATGCGAGTGAAGGCCAGCTTTTATATAGCTGACTGCCCTTGACCTTCTGCTATAAAAGGTTACGATTCTACAACACTGATTAACCATCACTACTATTGGCAACGAGTACTTTCTGCACACAGGAAGTCCTATCTGATACACCTCGTAATGCTTTTACATCACATCGTTCAAGTAACAGAGTGAACAATAAAGTAGCTGTTGCTTGAGTGAGCAGCAAAACTTTACTTGGCCAAAAAAAACCAATTGGGTAAGAATGTTACTTCCATAGTGAAGTTGGAACGTAAACTCTGTAAAGTATGCCAAATTACTCAGCCCTTGCCAGCCCATGTAATCCAGCAATGCTGAGCTTTACTGCTGTACCGTAAAGAAACAGGAGGAGGCCATTCAGCCCCTCAAGCCTGGTCCACCATTCTGTAAGATTATGGTTGATCTGCACCTGAACTTTAATTACCCGCCCTTGCCCTGTATCCCTTGATACCCTGACCTGACAAATATCTATCCACCTCAGTTTTGAAAACATGAATGGATCCAGCATCCACAGCCATTTGGGGGAAGAGAGTTCCAGATTTCCACTACCCTTTAGATGAAAAAATGCCTCCTAATTTCACTCCTAAATGGCCTAGCTCTAATCTGGATTTCCCCTACCACAGGAAATAGGTGCTTTCTGCATCTACCATGTCAAATTCCTGTATTATTGAAATACGTTGGAGTGATGGTAGTGAGTTTGTGTCACTGCTGTTCAAGAATTGTCTTTGATTCTGATGGCATCCTTGGAGACATACCCTGAAGAAGGCTGAATTCAATGGCTGATGCTGACGGCAAGCGAATCAATAACTGTCAAATTATTTCACAAGGTAGTGAAGCAAGGTGTACGCGAGGTGTCCAAGAGCAGCTTTCAGGAGTCCATGGAGTTCATAGCAGCAGTACAATTATTGGGTACCACATTACCTGAGACTTCAACTTCTTTCCCCCATCACACCTGCCCAGTTAAGAGAACACTTGTGCTTTATTGGGGGTGGGTAGGAGAGAAAGATTACAGGAGTCTACAAAATCATACAACAGTGGCGTTTTGTCCAAACCTTAAATATTTAAGGGCCAGTTAGGGCAGGGATGAAGTCAGTCGTTTGGTGGCAACACAAAGAGGAGCATTCAGGATTGACAGCTCTGGTTGTTCCAGACCAGGTCCGGGCCAATGTAATGTATACAAGTCACGGCAATATGGCTTCAGTCTAAAACCTGCTCACCTGCCAAAACAAGGCTGGCTGCAGCCCTCGCCTCAGCAGATGTGGATTCCCACATGACAAGGCATATGGAACACATAACTAGCTATCATTTCAAATGTTTAGTGTTAAAAGACAGCCAAGCACTGTTGGCTTCCAAAACATTCAGAGATTTTGGAATGCAGCTAGAATCTCCACGGTGGGGTCAGGACACAAGTGACAGCTGCACCAATAAGGAGAATTTACCACCGTGTAGCTGTGCTTTTCTAGTGGAGGGAATTCTGCGTGGATTCCACTCTCCTGCAAGTAATCGTGGTGAAAGGTTCTTTGTAGAATGGAGTTTTTTGGGTTTTTTTGCGTACAGAATAACCCAACTCGGAAAAAAAAATCCCACACTAATGTCTTCGCCCTTTCCAGCTGTGGCTTTAATACCAATATATCCGTGGGTGCAGGGTAAATCTAAACCATACCTTGGCATTAGCTGGATCCCAGGCTTCAAGGGCCGACAGCAAAAAGGCAAATTATACTGGGGGCGCTTTTACAAGCCTGCCGGTGGGTAGAGACAAAATAGATTCCACTGACCTCCCCACACACACCCACAGCTTTACTTTTAACATCCTTCGACCATTGCGTGCAAATTAGGTGTGGATAGAAAATGAAAAGAGCAGCACATCTGCAAGCACAGTATGCGTGTGAAGTTTCCGTCTGCTAGTTCTCCCCACCCCCATACCCTCCCACTTGAGGTATGTAGTGGATCTGGGTCAATACAGTTGCGTTGAGTTGCTTTGAGTTAACGGGGAAAGGAGTGAAAAACAGACCCTTGCAGCAGAGATCCTAGTTTGGAAAAACACTGCTTGTGTGCATGGCGTCAAACCGCTTTTGTCCGCAACAACATTACAGCTGTGGAAATGCCACCTAGATCGCATCCACCCCATACCGCCCATGTTCTGGTGAGGCCATTGCCAACCCAGCTGCTAACTGAATGGTGGTGTGAGTCAGGCTCCGCCAATGTTAAGCGCAATGAGACACTACGCTGTGTGGAGGGTGCTATGTAAGTGCAAGAAGTTGTTGTGAGGGCCAGCTGATTGTTCACCACAACCATAAACTCGCTGCTCATCACACGCCCCATATTCATCGCAATTGCAGGCAAGTGCAATGACATTGAGATGCTAATGTGAGCTCTTCTCTGTACTCAAAGCGGGTGAATAAACATTTACCTCTATCTTCTGAGCCAGCAGCGAGGGCTTGAAGTTTGATTTAATCACAACTTTCACTTCCAGTTTAGTGCGTCCCACTTCCCTGACCAAAGGGATTACACGAAAGGGCAGGATGATGTCTTTAGTGGTTCGGTACCTTAAAGAGAAGAAGCCAAATTTTTACAAACAGAGCGTCCAGCTCTGAGATCCTACTGACGCTAAATAAGAGTCACATTCATCTCCAAAAGCCACACTCAAGCGATTATCAGTCTGAATGCAGTGCTAAGACTCTTCAACTTTAAAAACTTTCTAGAGCCATACAAGATGCTAGATGGAACTGAGATAATAAACTCACAACAGATACACCAAGCCAGCAATACAAGGATGTCAAAGGCAATTTCAGGACAGACATCAGGAAGGATTTGTTTGCACAGAGGGCAATCAAAATCTGGGTCAGATTACCACCAGGTTGAGGTTACCACATTAGACTCATTTAACAGGTTAACACCAGAGTCAGCATTCTGGAAGGACATGAACAAATGGACTGAAACGCCTTCTTCATCTGAACCCTTCCGTTATCACTTCACCCACAGATAATTCTACATCAATTGTCGTCCAGCTTCCAAATACCTAACCTCACACAAGATGAAACAGAGCCTGGAAAATACAAAGGACCATCCATGTCTGACCTCTCCACTCCCCGCTGACAACTTGCCTCATGAGCTCGTACTCTCCATCGGGGGGAATGAAGCTGATGCTCCTCTCAGACTCAAACTTGCTGAGCCGCACGCATTGATGGAAAGTGCAGTCATCGATCGCTATAGATTGTTTTCCACTGCAGAAAGAGCACACCGTGGAGGTCAAGGAAAGAGGTTTGCTGTGAGATTAATTGACTGCATTTATTCAGCTTCCATACTTAATTAAAAACATTATACTTTTAAATGTGTTTACTCGATCCATCACTGTTTGTGGGACACTGCTACCCGCAATTGGCTGCCGTGTTTCGCCCACATATACAGTTAATTCACTTTACAGTATACTCTGTCAAGTACTTTGAGACGTCTCGATGACGTGATGAGGCGCTAGATCAAGTGCAAGGATTATTATTTAAGGGCCCATTTGTTTTGTCCATAACACACCTGGTTACACTTCTGGCAGCATAAGAGCCCTGTAACCCAGTATGATCACCCTATCCCTCACCAATCCTTCCACCTAGCATTAAAACAGCACCAGACAGACCAGGAGAGTCTCAGAATCAATCGCTGGATTGTGTTGAATTTAGCACAATCAAATCTGAGACACGACTGGTGAGTCCGGTTAGTCAGGAGGAAGAGGATGTGGAGAGGGTGGCAGTAAAGAGTACAGCTAGATCTTGCCTGACTCTCCCTTTGAATAGGCAATCCTGCTCTAGGATCGAGAACATACAGTCAATTTGCTTTACTGCATATCCTGTGAAGCGCTTTGAGATGTCTCGAAGACCAGATAATGCAAGAATTATTATTAAACCTCAATAGCACAGAATGTTCACTCAATTCTTCTTCCTTCGCAGGAGTAATTTTTGCTACTAGATGGGAATGGGGTGTAGGCAATGCTGACACCTTGTGGCAAAACCACCACACTTGCAGCATTCAACTGCAATTGGTTAAAAAACAATTACCCCCCAACACACACGTGTTATCAAATTAGAAGGAAGAAATGGTTTGGGAGGGGTAGGAGGGGAGTACTTCAGAGAAAGCCTGGTAATTCCAACATGGTGGCCGTTTACTCTCCATTACCAGTCATGAGGTTCTGTACCTAACTGTGCCCAGGTCAGGTCATTCGGGAAGTCAGAATCTTAGCTAAATGCCTATCTTAACAGCAGAAGCACTGACTGGCTACTTGGTGCTGCACTTAAATGCCAATTTATATCAAATGCTAGCGTGGGATCCCAACCAAAAGGTGATAGTGTGAACAACTGAGCAACTCCACATTTTAACAAAGGACCACAATAACAACAACTTGCTTTCACATAGCCTCCCAGAGCACTTAGTGAGATTCAGACTGCTGAAGAAGTTGCACACCCTCACCTTTTGGCTGTCTCGTCGGCTGTTCCTTTGCCTTGTTTCTCGATCACAATCTTGTCATTCATCCCAAACTTGCACTCCGGCATCCCACTCAGATAACTCTTCATCACCACCCGGCCTGAGACATGTGCACTGAGCACCTGACCTGCAACACAAAGATGTGTCCTATATCAGAGCAGAAGCAAGTTTCCTTACTCTACACGCACGCCTCTGTTTACCTAGCACTAAGTAGGAACTCGGTTGTTAGTCGATTAGTGAATCACTTGTCCGGAGGTAATAATCACTCCAAAAAACTATAATTTGGTCACTCAGCTCACAACTGTTTGTGGGACACCTCTGTGCTTAATTGGCTGCCTGATTAACCCACAAAATATACAATCAATTCACTTTACAATATATTCTGTGAAGCGCTTTGAGACGTCTCGAAGACGTGATAAGGTGCTATATCAAATATAAGGATCATTTGAAACCACTGTCGTCGATTATAAAGCGAGCAAAGGTCCTTGTGTCAACACTGAGCAATTTATGATAGTATGAAGATAAGCTGCTTACACTTCCTTCCACCCAATCTGGGTAAATGTTCACCAAGTCAATTAACAATTGATGGTTCTCCCTTTATAAAGAAACTGTAATATTGTGACATCTCAACACACGTTCTTGCCTGAATGTGCAAGGTTTTGCAGTAGTCAATTTACGCATAGTGAGAACCCACAGAAAGGCCACAAACTGAACAACTAATCTGGAGGCCTGTTGCCTAGGACTGTGTGAAATGCTTCATCTTTCTTTTCCAATGGTGTCATGGAACCTTCAACATTCAGCTGAATTGACATAGTGAATCCACTTTACAGTATATCCTGTGAAGCGCTTTGAGACGTCTCTACGACGTGATAAGGCACTTTACCAAATGCAGGCATTATTATTATTATACATTGTAAATGGCAGGTAGGACCCTCATTCAAACTCATCTGAATTATTGCGCTTCCAACAGTACTGCACTGGAGCATTAGCCTAGACGTGAGCTTGAGTCCCTGTCACAGCTGTGCAGAAAATGGAGTTGGAATGCAATAGAACGCCACGGGCCACGCACCTTGAGGTGACATCAGTAAATTGACGCTCTCCAGCACATCCAAGAAGAGCTCGTTACGACGGTATTTAATCCCTTCACGTCGCCATCCAATCTGTCCAGTTACTTGACTTGTGATCTGCGATTGTTCCTCCTTGGTCTGAAGGAGATGGTGGGGGGAGGGAGTTATATTGATCTGAATTCAAGCATTACATGATGACTTCTTCAAAGTCAGGTAACTAAATCAATAATACATGTGCTAATTAACTGATTATAAACTGAACATCTCATCATGACACACATTACACCGTAGAAACATTAAACATGTTACATCCTATGAGATAGGAATAAACAGTTTAGTTGGTTTCTCTGCAAAAAACTTGGAACTGGATTGTTCACAGCGAGTGTATAGAGGTTTACGGATTACAAAAATAAGATAGGTTTCCTGGGAAAAAAAAAGTCTAAAGGATAGTCAGATTGGCACTTCAAATGAACATTTCCACAGCCTGCAAAAATTTCCAGTAGGCAAAGTGGAAGCAGGCAGATGATCCTACCTGGTGCTATAAGCAGGGTCCCAGTCACAGGTGCAGAAAGAGAAAGCATTACAGCAGCATTAGATACACCAACACCACACAGAAGATTAGTGGGCAAGTAGTCAGTACAACAGAGGTTTATAGAAAAAGAAGAGAAAAGAGTTAGCCACAGTAGGAGGACAGCAGCTCTAATTATAGCAGAGTTAGGCTTCTCAATTGCATCAGAAGGCTCAGTCCAGAGTTACGACTTACACCATCAAGTGCTTAACTCAAAAGCAAAACCAAATGCAAAGGAAAGTGGACAAGACAAAGTTGCGCAATTTCTTTTGACATTCAGAAATAAGTCCTCAGTATTATTTTCATTGATTACATAACAGTATTGTACTTTTAAACCCCCCACTCCTAGAATATTGGCATGACTACATTAAACACACAAACAACAGTCTTTAGTAGCTTGAATTTTGAACTATCTGCTAAATAAGCTATTGGCTGAACTGTCTCCTCTTGTTCCTATACTGTAAGTGCTGCTTTTCCAGTTTTGAGAGCTTCAGTTGACCTAAACCTTTAACAGAAATCATTCCTCCTTGTTTACTCAACCTCCAAATACAAATAAATGACACAAACTACTGCAAACAATCCAAAATGATGAAAACCACAGAGAGCTTTCCTTGGCATCACAGTGAAGAGAACTGGCATTGGCAAAGGAAAGATGATGCCCTTCAGTAAGGCTTTTGCCACAAATGTGGGAAAAGGGAAGGAAAAAGTCTAATATTCCCTCCACCCACTTAGATAGGAGCTTTGACAGTTGAACAAATGAGAAAAATTCTCATCACATCTTTTACCAAGAAGGTTGCCTGTGCACTAGGTGGCGATGTTCACGCATTAAAAGCTGTGATTTATCCATTCTTTTCAGTAATACTCACTCCAATTTACACATTTAAACCCTCTTAAAAAATGAGCACAATTTACACAACTGTTTGTAGTGATCAAAATATTCAGTAAACACAAAGGTTTGCCATTATATTCAAGACTCCGTGGTTGTGAAGTAAGGAACATGAGCCAAGCTACCAATGAGAAGCCTAACCCTGTTCTTCTAGGACACACAAAAGGCTACACTCTATGCTGAAAGTTCCCATTTTGAAATCTCTCTCCTTGCACCCACCCGCCCAACCCCCACCCCACCTATCCCCAGCCAGAGCTGGTCACAGAGCAACACAGACAAAGTGGAGTCCATTTAAGTTACCTTCAAACACACTGCTTCCAGTGACCAATAAACAATACATTCCAGCAACTCACAAACACCACTGAAGTCTCTAATATTTAATGGCTTGATTCTACACTGCAAAATAGCAGGGTTCTGACCGCTATGCGCTTCAACAAGGGGAGATAAAGCCAGATCACATTCCAGCCCAGCAATGGGTGTGCATATCTATGCCGGTCAGGCTTCACTAAACAGGAACTGTTATGAACTGTTAAGAACAGCACCAACATCCATCGTTACCTAAGGCTTCCTAAGGAACTGCTTGTATGGCACTTAGTTCCTAGTGTATAAACACGCTGCACTGTTCATGGCCCTGGTTCAATAGAAAGTGGAAATTGTGAAAGATTCATTTCAACAACCACTGCCAACAGAAGCCACGCAGTAAATCTGTCATCAACTTCTTGAATGCAAGAGTAAACCCGATAGCTTTTAATGCTTTCCGTAAGGTTTACTTATTTGGGCAGTGCGGAACGTACTCATCAGCAACATTTTAAGGATAGCTCTAGTGGGTGAGAAAACGCCAGCATAGACATGGGAACATAGGAACAGGAGTAGGCCATTCAGTCCTTTGAGCTTGTTGCGTCATTTAATTAGATCATGGCTGATCTGTACTTCAACTAATTCTTTTCAATTCCAATTTCCTGCTTTCTCCCCAAATCCATTAATGCCTTAACCTACCAAAAATCTATCAACCTCACTCTTGAAGGTGTGGATGGATCCAGCATCCACAGCCTTTTGGGAAGGGGAGAATTCCAGATTTCTACTACCCATTTGAGTGAAAAAATGCTTCCTGATTTCACTCTTAAATGGCCTGGTTCTAATTTTAAGACTATACCCCTAGTTTTGGATTCCCTACCAGAGGAAATTACTTCTTTGTATCTACCTTATCAAATTCCTTTATCATCTTAAAACCTCAATCAAATCACACCTCAACCTTCTAACCTCAAGGGAATACAATCCAAGTCTATGCAGCTTTTCCTCATAACTTAACTCTTTTAGGCCTGGTAACATTCTGGTGATGTGCTGCACCCCCTCCAGGGCCAATATATCTTTCCTGAGGTGTGGTGCCCAAAACTGAACGCAGTACTCCAGATGGGGTCTAACTAACTCTCTATGCAGAGGTGAAGCACTTGAGATAAAGGCCCAACATTCCATTCATCTTTTTGATTATGTTTTGCATCTGGGAACTAGTTTTTGGTGATTTGTGGATATGGACACCCAAATCACTTTGCTCCTCCACAGTTCTTAATTTCTCCCCATTAAGAAAATATTCTAGTTAATCTTTTTTTGGTCCATAGTGGATGACCTTGCACTTCCTATATTGAACTCCATCTGCCACAGCTTTGCCCATTCACATAATCTGTCATGAAGGGGAGAGAAGGGGAATGGGTATCGAGCAGAAAGGCAGAGTGGGAGAATTCCCCGACTGGTGGGCTAGACTATTGGTTTAGTGGTTGTATTCTAAGGGCAGGGATATAATTTTATGTGTTGAGTAAAAAAAGTTTACTCAACAAATCGCTGATGACGAGATAGCAAATGTTCCAATTTCAAGGCAGCTTTGATCAAATGCCTTCTTGTAATGACAACTTACTTCAAAAGGATTCTGGCAGTAAATGGCATCTTCTTTTACGGAACACTTAAGTTCAGTTTACGGAAGTGATCTATAATTTCAAGTTCTACACTTACTTTGGCCAATCTTCCAATTTCCCAGATGCTATTTAAGTGAAGGATTAAAATAAATATCTGGCTGACAGAAAGCACCATTGTGCCAAATTAAAGGACCAAGATACCAAAGGAAAATATGGGGTTACTTTCAGAAAAGAGACAACACACCATTTTAAGCAGAGGGGATTTGTAAAACTACCAATAAGCTGAATAGGAATGCACCTTGACAAACAATACATTGAAAGGTTTGTTCATCTGTAGGCTATTAAGAGTTTTGCACAATCACTAAACAAATAAAAATTAATATGCTGTATAGTACTTGTCCAGCTAAAACTGCAGCATCCATGCCCTGAGCGTTCAAACGAGTAGGGATCGGGATTGGGGAGGGTGGAGGCCAGGGGGAGAAGGAGGGTGACTGAAGGCATGGTTGAAGAGGAGGTCTTGAAGGAGACGAGGCAGAGGGACTGCGGGATGGATTCCAGAGAGTGGGGGCAGAGTTCTTGAAGGCCTGCACACCAATGGTGGGGCAGGCGAGGCTTGGGAGGTGAAGCAGGCCGGAGCCCACTGAGCGGAGAGAGCAAAGGTAGAGGGGAGCAAAGCCATGGAGGGCTTTGAAGGTGAGGACTAGGATTTTGAACTGTGTCCTCTGTGTGATGGGAAGCCAATGGATTCCGGTGAGAGTGGGGTTGATAGGGAAGCAGAGCCTGGTGAGGCAGAGGACAGGAGCTGCAGATGATTTCCGGATGATTCGCAGCCTATGGAGGGAGGGGTTGGGGAGGCCGACAAACAAGGAGTTTGGGTACCCTTTAACCCTACATGGATAATTCTTTAGACAGTGGATCCATTGACTGCCTTTTCACACCCAGACGTTTCTGCACCTTTAACACCAATGTAACTTTAATTGCATCACACAACTTGCAAATAAAGCCGCTTCAATGAACCAGTTCCCTGCCCCTTACCTGGCTTTTAATTCCTTGCTGTGTGATGAATGTTTTCAGTGCCCCAGTCTCAGAGTTCTGTGGGTAGCCAAAATCCAGGATTTCTACAGAGAAACAAAACTCTCAACTACAGCTTCCGCATTAACTGTATACACAGAGACGAGGAATAAATCTGCACCCCCCCACACCCACCCAACAACTGATTAGCTGAACACAGCTGAACTGGTAGCTGGAAACACGTTATTCTCAGCACGAGTGATTTAATGAGCTTTGAATTTTAGATTGATAAGGCAACTGAAATATTAATGCTCCAGAGTTCTGTAATTAGTTATTCTATGAAGTTGAACAGGCAGACATTATGCAAAGCAGAAATACAAATTCTAAAACATACAGAAACTTTATAAGATTACCACAGAGCCTCAAAACATTGAGAAAAAGAATAGAAATACTTGCATTCACACAACTACAATTCCACGACCCTTTGTGAATTAACTACATAAAACTAAACCTAATTTGAATCAAGATGTAATGTTCTATCAAGTCTAGGAGCCTCTAGATAAGACAGATTTGTTGGGATCTTTACTTGTTTCCTTGCTCCAAATTTATTATATCCTCAGCTAAGTTATTCACAGCATATTTCGTATACAGGCAGGTGGCAACCTTGACCAAGTTACAGGGAATCACTGAAAACCGTGAGTTAATAGGAATATTAGGAATTATTATTCGGAAACAAATCTACATGATGGAACAATTCATGCTGTTTCAAACCAGGCTAATGCTGAAATCTCACCCCTTAAAAGCACTTACCGTCCAGAAGCTCGTAGATGAGGACAAAATTGTTCTTGATATTCTCCTCGCTGATCTTCCCAAAGTAGGAAGTCATGACGTCGCACATCTTGTAGAGGAACTCAAACACCATGGCGGCGTTGACATTCTGCTTGGTGACAGCAGCGAGCCAGATATTGGAACGCTTCACGTGGAAGAAGCTGGTGCGGGCGATGTTCGTCACCGGAGAGCGCACCTGTTGCCTAGCGTGGATGACATTGACGCGGAAGGCATCAACTGCATTCCGCCTAAAAATAACAACAGTCAGCCACTTTAGACAAACTTTCGCTTCATTTCATTCGATGGTTAAAAAAAAGGGGAAGCAATAGAACTCGATATGCAAAGGTCCTGGCACACAACGTGCAGACCACAACACAGGTTGGGAAAGCCTTGTGCCTACCAGGATTCAAACCCCACCATCCTCCCACGATAGATAGCACTGTGCTCTTTCTTAAATGGGGTCGCTACCCTGGCCTCACCCACCTTTCCTGGTAATCCACTCCAGCTGCGTCAAGAAAGAGTTCCTGCTCTTTCAAAACCTTAACCTGTGCCCAATCGAGTGCAGCTTGGGGCATCTGAAAGTATTGTTGACGGGTTTATGGACTTATTTAGTAATTTACCAAAGCACTCAATTTCTGCCAGGCTCAATCGCAATCTGTGCTGGGTTAGCTGATCTCAGCCAGGGGAGCAGGAGGATTGTGGGGCAGGAAAGCAAGACAATCTGTTTCTGGTCTTTATGCAGAGACCCTGCTGGAATATATATATCTGTTGATATTGGAGGACAGTCAAATAACCTCAATCTTCACTGGGCAAGATGATCTCAACAGTGTTTCAATGCTTTGTGGTCTGTTAACCAAAATACTATCAGAAAAGGATTCCATTCGGCACCCAAACTTATCTAAATTTCTAAGATCAGCTATGAGGACATACCAAGAATCCATAAAACTCCCAAAAAGAGAAGAGGCTCAGTGATGTTTAATTTTCATCACTTCTTACTTTACTCAATTATTAAAAAAAGTGTAAGCAAAATTAATTAAGAGTGAGGTTTGCTGACGTCAGTAACAGAGTGGTTGCCTTGCAAATTACAGCTGTGATGATTTCAACTGCAGTCAGTATCAATATGGAGTCCTGTAGCTCAGTGGTTAGAGCACTCGCTTTGCAAGCGAGAGACCCGAGTTCAATTCCAGGCAGGTCAGGGCGAAACCTTGGGCAAGTTTCCTTACTCCACACAGAGCCTAATAATAATCCCTCCAAAACCCAAAACAATAATAAATTGGTCATTTTCATTCTACGACTGTTTGTGGGACATTGCTGTGCGCAATTGGCTGCCGCGTTCGTCCACAAATATACAGTCAATTCACTTTACAGTGTGATCTGTGAAGCGCTTTGGGATGTCCTCCTGACACGAAAAGCGCTATATCAAATGCAAGGATTATTATTATTATTATTATTAATATGAGCACAAAGCAATGAAAAGCCTGGGTATACCAAACCCAATACAATACATTCTGAAGCGAAGCTATTGCACGTCACTCACTTCAGGATGTGCATGAAGATGTCGGGTCAACACTCACCAATCCGCTGCAAGGACAAAATGTATACAGTGGGGCAGGTTGATGATGCATACATTTAAAAAAAGCAGCAGCAGTTGGGAAGTTTATAATAATAATCCTTGTTTTTGATGTAGTGCATTGTCACATCGTTGAGATGTCTCAAAGAGACAGAATATACTTATGTGAAGTATATTTAATGTGAATTTATTGTAAATTTTGTAGGCAAAACACAGCAGCCAATTGTGCACAGCAGTGTCCCATACTCAGTTGTGATTTTAATTTAGCTTTCTTTTTTTTATTATTTATTTTTCTTTCTGAACGGCTTGCTGCAGAACCAACATGTGGGTAAACTCACACAGTCAAACACTCTGGAGACAATCTCTGACATCCCAGTAATCAATATAAAAAAGTGTTCCATTATACTATTAGAAAAATACAGCAACTGGTGAGTGACGCAACCCACTACAATCTTAAAATAACATTTGCACTTTTTTGAACAAAGACTTACCTTCTTTGTGGATATCTTAGTTAAGATTTTGAATATTTGTTATTCCACCAGCTAGCATTTCTTCCCTCCCCCACCTCACATGAAGAGGGATACAGAATAAAGATAGTAGCAAATAGGATAATAAGCTGAACAGATCCTCCCCATATTACACAGTGCCAAAAAACAGGGAGACGGTAGTTGGAGCAGGAGATTGGAGTTCATTGTCCCCTTGGTCTCAAACCACAGCTAGCGTGAGAATATTAAGAGAAGAACAGCTATATGGAAATCAGCTTCAATAGAAGATCCAAAGTAATTGGCTGTCAACTCTAAAATACATTTATCTTGATCTCTACTAATTTGAATGCTGTAAATTTATCCCCGCAAATTCCTAAATAATTTGACACTGTCTGTGGGAAGTTGCTGGTCCCAAATTAGCTGCTGCTTGTGCCTCCATAGTAGTCACTTCATTTTGAATTAATCTCCCTTCTGTAAAATGCTTTGCAAAATCTCAATGTGTTAGAAACATCAATATAATTTATTATCTTGTGCACAGAGAAAAGCCAGCCTCATAACAGAAAGAGCGATTGGGGTAACTGAGGAACAGAACCAATACAATTTCACTTTGTCACAAAAGAAAATTCATTTTAAAGCACATTCATTCAAAGCCAGTCATGCAAACATTTTGAAGGGAACATTGATCCTGCAATCTTAAACACAAGGTTATATTTCAGCCTTCTGCAGCCTTATTTTAATGGACTAAAGATCAAACCATGCCATTCTAATCTGATCCTTGACGTTGTAAGCCTTGAAAACTGGTTCATCAAGCCTGCAATATTAGTTCAGTGAACACAAAAGTGAAAAGAGGGAGGGAAAAAAGCTCACAGGAAAGTCTATAGAGTTAAGATAGGAATGGGTGCGCCTGATGCATGAAATTTCCTCATGGAGTTTAGATTCACTCCTGCCCATCTGTACTTGTCTCCAACTACTGCCTTTGGGCAGAAGAAAGGAGCAAGACAGTGCAGTTACTGAACCTATTCCAGCAATGAGGGAAACAATTCCTACAAGAAAATCGCATGCTAACGTAAGAGACTCCACCTTGCACTACAGTTGAAGCCTGCAAACTTGGCAGGACAAGGCAAGAGGTGGCATTAATCTCAATGGTCTCTCCACTCAAGAAATGGGAGTAATGGGTTTCCTTCTATTCTGTATACAAAACAAAGATAACCTTTGCAAGACAGAGGCGTAGCTATAGAAAGCTGAATATGTGCCATTTGTAATCAGAACTCTTCTTGACTAGCATGTGATTGTTTTTGAGTTTGTCTTTTTTGGGAGTTCATGGGCTTAAAACAGCTCCATTAAGCAAAGCAAATCATACTGCAAATTGATCGCTACCTCACAGTTATTGGCTTCAACTGTTTTTCAGTTTTATAACCAATCCAATGGCACCAAACTGAAATGGCACTCAAGGTGTTACCATCCGTTAAAACAGACCACAATGTGACGAATGGCCCTTACCTATTCCTAGTGCAGCCAATCAGCACAAGACGATGAGATGAGGAAAAATGAGACGCCAGCAGGAAGGGGGAGGTGACAGACCAACGAGAGAGAGGGTTAGAATAAACAGAAGCTTAGAAAGAAAAAAACAAATGAGAAATGCAAAGGAACAATTCACACAAACATCCACAAAATAATGGACGTAATGGAGAGATGCAAGTCACTACAGTGCATACATATGCAAGAACATTTCGGAACAGTCTTTTGAATCCCTTTCACGATCATTTTGTAAAACTGTTCATAAGGCTTTCCTCACCACTTTGCAAATGAAGAGGCAGCAATAATAAGGTTATTATAAAGATCAGCTGAGATCAGCAAAGATTTAGCTTAGATAGACAGAGCTGAACCTGGAATGGATCACAGATGATCTTGTAACCAGTACAAGAACTAGTAGGTATCATTATTACTAATTAATATTTATTTAGTGCCTCAAAGTGTACTCTGTGTATTCTGCACTTATATGAAAATTTATTTGTATATTGGTATTGATTTATGATTCCTTAATAGAAATTTACATTAAAACATCAATTTACATGTAATTTATCAGAAAAGGCTACACCAGGCCATACAGACCACAAGGTCACAAATGGAACTGTGTTGACTTATCCCATCAAGAAAGGGCAACAGTAGAGGTGATTTGTTCCTTTTCAATTGTCTACTTATAATCTATTTAAGACTATTAACTACTTTGGTTCAATAAAAACCTGGGAACCCACTTGAATGCACAGTGGAAAACACTGAATGTAGCAGTCTAAGAATGAATATCCAAGAGTAATTTTCATTTAAACCAGAGAGGTAATGCTGAAACAAGACAGCTTCACTACTCAAAAAACTACAACAATGTATTAAAAGTGAACTGCAGTGAAACTTCAGAGCTTTAAAATGTGTGCCCACTTCTATACTTTGGGTTAAACACAGAATTAACAATTTTCAATTGAACTGACCCTACTTGTCAACCTTCATTTTACAATTAAACACTCAACAATTTGGACCTCTTGAAAAACTTGAGGCAGAGATTTTCGAATTCCCACCACAGTCCAAGATCAACACATGGTTTACAGTGATTGGGGGGGGGGGGTGGGGGAGAGAAGAGGGGTGAAAAAAAGGAAAGGAAGCGGCAAGAATACTAAGGCACACCAGTACAAAACTGCAGATTTGAGGACCATGGCATCATCTTGTCACGGAAGAGTTGCATTTCTCTTTTCGCTGAATAAAATTGAACGTAACAGTGTCCTGCATTGGAAATGATAAAATGTCCAAACGTTGAGACGCTACTCATGTCCCATATGGTTAGTTAACATTCCGAGTGAAAACAAATAATTTTGAGTACAAAAGCAGTTCATCACAGTTATCATGTGGGAACAACACTTACCCAATGTCATCTCTGTAGACCCGGGAGATGAGAACTTCTCCCTTGTGGTTGTAAATGAATAAGCCACCAATCATTATGCAATGCTGGTTACTCCTCTCTTCCCATGTTGATCTAAAGTTTAAAAGAAAGTCATCAAATGTTTAATTATAAATAAAAGTTGATCTTTACACCTTAAGTTTATATTAAGATGTCAAATGCAATTGATTAATAAGCATACGGTTTAGAATTTACTCATTTCAATTCACAGTAGAAGGCCTTTTATAAGGTTTATTGTGGCTCCAATACAATATTATCAATACAATGCTTGGATTTTATACTTGTAGGAAAACAATAAAGGCAATTGTGATTGCCTTAGCTTCTTCTCCAGAAACTGAATCATTTGCAACAATCTCCTTACAGTGAAATATTATGCAGTTTGTAAGTCAATGTATTGGTTTACAGACTTTAGTGGTGTGACCAAACCAGAGTTACAGTACAGCCGTATTCATTCAAGACAGGAGATGCTGCAGTAGAACTGGTTATTGAGACTCTAGTGATGAGGTTTTAACATGCACTTTATGTTATTCGTCACCCGGATTAATCATTCCTAATTGTTCAGCTTACAAAATCAATAGGACAAGATTCTGCCCCTAAAGAGATCCCAGAAATGTACTGTAATACAAAAATGAAGATGACACTAAATGACGATAAAGATAATAACAATCCTTGCGTTTGATATAGCGCCTTTTCACATCTTTGAGATGTATCAAAGCGCTTCAGAATATACTGTAAAGTGATTATAGATTTTGTGGGCGAAACGAAAAAAGGAGAAAATAGGCAAAATGAAGGCCACTTCTCTCAGGAACGCAAGATCATTCATTTGAAATAGGGCAATAGCAGCGAGCCAGATTTCTCAACAATGTCCTGAGTGATGAGGACACTGTCTGGTCCTGTCGATAGAGGGGCTGTGCCGATGGCTTTTTTCACCCGCTTTTACTGCTCTGATGTTTGGGCGTTGGCTGGTCTGAAGAGATACAACAATCTACCAAAGCACAGCTTCCTTTCAAAGACACATATCACAATCCCTTCCCAAAATTGGGGGGGGGGGGGGGGGGGGGGTGGGGTGTCCATGAAAAGTAAACGAACGAAATTTCAGTGGGGGTTACCATAGTATTTAGTAAATACACAGACTACCCACTGTAGTTATCAGCCCTACATGTTTAAGGTGTGAATATTACATTTAAATTATTCAGTAAAACGAAAGAGGAATCCCTTTGCCAGCTTCTAAAAGTCTGCAAGGCAACCTGGCATTGATGACAGTGGCTCAAGGAGATAGAAAAAAATAAGACTAATGGACAAGGTGACTGGGCATGTTATGACTGTAAAACATTTAACACGCTGAACACAAGATAATTAAGCGACTCAACACAGCTGAAGAGAATTCGACAGCCTCCATACACAGAATGGAAAGGACGGATCTGATAACAGGCAGGTCAGATTTCAAAGTTGGAACAGTCGCTCTATTCTCAGGCATTAATAGTTTACTTTTTTTAATATAAAGTATACATTAATTGCGACTGAGATTATTTAGTCTTGCAGCATATTGGGGTGCCCATTCAGTACTGGTACCAACCGAAAGTGCACTCTCTCAGCACAGCACATTGGCAAATGATTTTGGAAACACCGTAGGCTTCTCTAGAAATAATTTACAGCCAAATTACAAGGAAATAACATATCCAGCTTTGTAATCTTCATCTATGTAAGTGCTGCTTACATAGCAGCATAGGTCAGTATCAATGACCTATTTTATAATCGTCTATTCACTAAAAACACTTTAAAATACAGACAAGCTGAGTTATACAGCTGTTTTGATTCAATGCTTTTCTTCAAAATGCATTTTATTTGAATGAATGCTCACAATTGTGGTTTCATTTTACGCTTCAGATGTAAACCAGTGCACACAATATTGATGGGCATTTGATGGCCAAAGCAAAATGCTATATAATAATAATATTCCTTGCATTTGATATATTGCCTTATGCACAACAACTTTTCAGCTGCTATTGATCCAAAATATAGGCTAGAGTATAATTCAAACGATGATACCAGACTGTACAGCAGAAACACCAGGAAACACAAAAAAAACTCAAGAAAAGTACCAACGACCCTCAAAAACGGTAACTGAAAAATAAGACCATAGATTACAAAATCAAATAAAGATATTTCATAAATCTTACACAACCTGGCATCTTACTTTTTTTTAAAAAATTGAATGAAGCATGAAGTGCTTTTGCTGGGAATAAACTTAATAAAATCTGTAAAAATATTCTTTGGTGTTTGAAGGGGAAAAAGGGGTGTGTGTCTAATCTGCCCTAGTTAATCTGTAATTGCTTCGCCCACAAAATACAGTGAATTCACTTTACAGTATATTCTGTGAAGCGCTTTAAGATACATCGAATACGTGATAAGGCACTATATCAAATGCAAGGATTATCAAATTAAGTACTAGTGGGCCTTAGTTCTGCATCAAATTAGTTGTCACATTTGCCTACATAACATTCATTTTATTCCTAATGAAATTCATTTGGTAAAGTAAATTGCGTCATTTCGTTTAACTGAGAAGTTCGGTATAAATGTAAATTTCTCTTCCGAGAAAGTTTAAACAGCCTGTTAACTTAAGCATCTACTCATACTGTACCCCCAAAACATCGACACTATCGAAAAATCAGGTTGCATCACATTAACTGGATAGCAGAGAAATCTCGAATGTTGCTGTCCAAATGGGTATTTTGGAAAGTTTTTCCTCCACAAGATAATATTTTACTAGGTATAGGTCAAAGATTAAGGTTCCCCTCTCTTCTCCCTCCCTGACCCCAGCTCGGGTCTGAAATGCTGTACACTGTCCAGCGCCTTAGGACATCCTCCCGCAGTTTAAAGGCCCTATACAAATGTAATCTTGTTGTTGTTGAGAATGCATTGCACAATTTGAGACCATTCCTGAAAGAATTCTACTAGGTGTTTTAGAATGGGTTCAGATAGCTTGGATAGTTGTTTCATTTTACTCAAGGTATCTAGCAATAAGTCAATTGCCAGCCACCACAAGATAATATTTTAGAAGGTATAGGTCAAAGATTAAAGTCCGCCACAACCAATTTTCAGCTAGGATCAGGTAGGTCAGCATAGAAATCACTGTGAGCTTTACAGCATAGGTCATGCCAGCACAAATGGCAATAGAATAAAACTCAAGACCAATTTTCAATTTCGAGGGCATATACTCAAGCAACCCACAATCAATTTACATTTATATAACACGTTTCACATTGAGAGGATACCTCAAAGTGCTTCACTCAACTGACTGGGAGCCGGGGGGGTGAGGGGTAAGAGAAATACAACAACCTGGATTTATATAGCGCCCTTCACGACGGACGGCGTCTCAGAGCGCTTAAAAATGTGAAATGTGGTGAAAGTACAGTCAAAGAGATAGGTTTCAAGGGGGGAAGTGGAGAGGGATAGGTGGTAGAACTTAGGGACAGAATTCCAGAGAGTGGATACAGAATGGCTGAAAGCTCATCCAAGTGTTTGCTGACCCAATTCACTAGTGGTTCCGAACTGGACCAGGCTGAAGTAATGATAGGGCAATACATCAACAACAAATTCCACTTGAATAGCGCCCTTCACGTTGGAAAGATGTACCCGGGTACTGGACATTCAGGGGTTTTTAGACCCAAGCTGAGAGTTGTGGTCAAGAGGGGTGTAGGGCGGTAGTGGGGAGAAAGGTGGTTAAAGGCACGGTCGAAGAGGAAAGTCTCTAGACGGGACTTGAAGAAGGCAAGAGGGGGAGAGGCGGAGGGATTGCGGGACAGAGTTCCAGAGTGTGGGGGCAGAGATGCTGAATGTCCAACTCACCACCAATTGTGGGGCGGGAAGCGCGGGTGTTCGCAAAGCGGAAGGAGCGCTCGGGCTGATATAGGATTAAGAGGTTGGAGTGGTAGAAGGGAGCAAGACCGTGGTGGGCAATGAATCTAGAGTTCAGAAATTGTGGTACACTGATACTCGGATTGATGGTAAAATGAATTTGACCTCCAAGGTTTTTTATTAAATTGTTGTCTCCCACAAAATTACAGTTTTAGTATGTTTTTACTACTTGCAGTGCAAACTGAGGTTGTAACAGACTGTATCAGAAACTCCTGATTCAGCATTTATAGAGCCTACAAACAGAATGATACAATGGTTGTGTAAACAAGTTACCCAAGTATTGGGAGTAGTTTATCTCCAGCTAATATATTACCTCCAAACAGGTTTTCCTGGACTGCATTGCAAAAATTAACTCATAAATCACCAAATGGCCCATGTCCGTGCTGTATAATCTAATTACCCAATATTCCAACTGTGAACTCAGGAGGTAGTCTAGAATTCACTACTGCCCACATAACCACAGAAGCTATGTAGTAGTTCTGTATATGGGTATCGGTCACCAAAGGACATCTGGAAAGTACATTTTTTTTAGGATGCTGATTGACAAATTTAGGCCTCATATAAAGACTTTAATCATTAATCTTCAAACATTAAGATTTGTACATCTGCCGATATTAGTGTCATCATCTTGAAATGAAATGAAATTAGCACATTCCTATTATTCCTGTAGTGGACATTCCTGGTAGTAACAGGCCAGCTTCTCATCTGGCTCTAAAGAAATGTTACAGTTTGGCATTATTAGAAACTTTCTTCACAGAATAATTGATTAATAAAACTGTCTGTCTAGAACTAGCACAAGAACAGAATTTTAAATTCTGTGGGAGGCTACATTTTAATGATGAACCTTGGAGGGCAAATTGAAGAGAATGAGCTGACACGTGGCCTTTTGACTCCTCAGATTTAACTTGAATCCGATTAAAAGCTTTTACTGTCAGTTGCAAGACTCCTATATTGACAACACTATTAGTGTTCAAGGACTAACAGTCTCTGAACAGAACTATTTCATTACATCAACTAAATAAATATTAAATATTGATATTATCAAAACAAATCAGCCTTTAATCAGTGAAACCTTTCAAGCATCTTTAAAAGGCTTCTTCCCCACTGGTTAATGTTCACGTAAATCCTTAAAAGGAATTTACATAATCTATTTACATAATATATAATCTATATTGAGCCCCTACTTTCTCACTCAGAAAAATGCAGTAAATACTAAATCCTATTAGTCTACATCTTGTGAAGATATAATCCAGGGGCAAGTCAACTGTTTGGATGCAACATTCTTTTCAAAATACTTAAATGCACACATTGGAAAACTGATCAGAAATCAGGATATCATAAATCTATACGTCTGAATGTCTTTATTCAATGTGTTGGTACACACCTCCAATAGACTTGAATGGGTTATAGGCAAATTAGTTGCAGACCAGAAATAAAATATACATCCATTGTTTTACAGTAGATATGTTTGAATATTGCAAATTAAATTCTTACATACACAATTTAATATTTCCTGTACAAACTACAGTAACTTAGTTCCATGTAAATTAATTTAAAATGCTCTGTGTCCAGATAGAATTAGGAGGGCAATGGCTGCACAGGAGGTTAAAGCACAATCTTCATTCACCTCTGGGACCCTAGTTTAAATCTGTGTCAAACTAATTGGATGATAGCCTTCCTGCCAGTTAACTGCAAGGATCTAAATCAACCAAGCCCAAAGCAACTTGCACCTCATTCTTAATAGGTTCAGACTGACTAGAAAGTCCAAGACTGCTAAAGATTTCTGCACTCGACCACCAGAGCAGAAATTTTCATTTCATCAATCTGGTCCAGATCCCACCTAGTTAAACCTCAACCTCTGAAATGCAATCAATTAATTGTGTTGTAACATGTACCATGGTATCTGCATTACCATCAGTGATAGATTATACAATACAGAATAGATTTAGACCAGCATTAAAGAGCAGAGTTGAAAGACATGTATGGCCTTGCCTTCGGGAATACATTTGGTTAAATTATATAGAAAATGACACAAGGACAAGTAACAATAATAAAATAGTGTAAGAACCATCTGAATCAAACCATTACTCACTTTTTCTAGGCCAAATTGTAATGCTCACAATTCTGCTCTGCTTGCAATTAAGCAACTCAGCACAGTCGCACAAGATTGAAGCGAAGACCCAACAGATCTTCACAGCTCAGCGTAATACTATGTAAGGCAGGAAACAAAACTGCTGTGTCAAACATCCTTATTACTGCAAATCCCAAGAAAAGGAAATGCCAACTGAAGATTGATTCCACACAAGGTCAGGGAGGTCAAATTATCCTAGAATGCTCTTGCTTACCTTCAAGGTGAACAGATCAAAAAGAGCATTGCCGTATATGTTACAGTAGACTGTGTAAGAACAATATCAAGCCTGGATGTGAGCACTTCCTCCAATATTGTGTCAAACCTCCCATAAAAAAATAGGCAAGCAACCAATCCTACTATGCCTGAAACCGTACTGTAGAATATCGAGTGTCCTTTCCCAGATTTTCCAGCTATTTGAGGGTGTGCAGAAGGAGCAATACTTTCAATCTTCAGGTACATTTCTCATTATTAAAAACAGTGACAGTGAATCATATTCACCTGCTAGGTAGTCACTACACTTTACAGTAAATCCTATAAAGCATTTTCAGACATCAACTTAACATGAGAGGCAGTATATGCAAGGATTAATATCACAACATCACAAATCCTCAATAACAACTATGCCATTAATCATCGACGCGCTAAGACAGCGCGCATCAAAACAGGCTGTTTGACTGGAAATGGGGCAGGAGGGGTGAGAGAGGGCCATCGCAATCAAATCTGATAATTTTAACTACGTGAAGCCTACAATTTCAACTCGGGTCAGTGGGGAAACGGGGCAGGTACTCGGAAAAGGAACCTGGATGATCGTAACCAAAGGGGGGACGGGGTTGAGCTTAACTGCAGCACTACAGTAACGGTCCACATCTGAGGATGTTCTCCCGACGTGAAAGGCGCTATGGCGCATGAATGCAATTTGCTGTTGTGCACGGGCTGCGACCAGCTGTGACCGCAGGAGGAAGGAGCGGTTGCCAACATAACCCCGAGAGGGGGGCGGGGGGGCAAGAAAGAACATGGGGAAAACCTGCAGCTTTTAATAAAATGATCCTTGCATTTGATCTGGTACCGCTAACTGGGTCCGACCGGCACATCGCACCGCTCTTTGCGGGCGATCGCTGCTGCCAGGTGTAGTGACTGTGCGTGTGAAGGTGAATGAATCAGAACAGCAAGGAGGGGTGGGGGGGGGGGGGGTGGGCAGCGAGTGCTGACTCCACCCGCACGGCCCCCCCCCAGAGGGGAGCATCTCCGCGCCTGGTTATTGCGGTGCCGGGCAAGCCTGTCACACCCTCTCCCCCACCCCAGGGGGGCTCTGCTGACCGCACCCAGCGTTCTCCCTCCCTCCCTCCCTCCCTGCGGCCAACGCAGGCCGGTGCCGCGGCCTCCGCTCTGCCTGCCCGCCCCACGGGAGAAGCTGCAGTGGATCACCTTGACCGACCCCTCCCTCACCCGCTGGCACAAAATGTCTCCGGGGGCCGGGTGCGGCCCGCGGGCTTCCCTTTGCCTCAGCGGCGCCCGGCCCGGGGTCACGGCAGCCAGGCCCAAGCCGGGGGCTCGCACCGCCGTCTGCCCGCTCCTCTCCCCCATGGAGTCGGCCGCCATTTCCCTCCTTCCTTCCTAACCACCAGACCCCGCCTGAAGCTCAGCTTTCGCCTCCTCTGTCTGTCTGTCTGTCTGTCTGCCTCACTCACTCACCCGCCCCGCCGGCCACCTCTCGCCGCTCCTCACACAAAATGTCCGCCGCCGCCTCCTCCCCGCCCTCAGCTGACAGCCCGCACTCACGTGACCTACTCTCCTCTCCCGCCCACTGACGTCACCAATCTCCGCCCCCCGCCACTGACGTCACCAGCCTGCGTCTCCCGAATAGACCGCTTTCACCCCCACCACGTGATCTGCCGCCGCCATCTTACCTAGTGCCCGGATGCAACCCCTCCCCCCCCCCCTCCCATGTTAAAATCCTCCAGGTTTCAACGTGTTGGTGGACAACAACAAGTTGCACTTCTATGGAGCCCCTCACGCAGGTTAGCGCCTCACAGCAGATCCCTGGATGGTGATACTCCGCCTCGTTGAGCCAGTCCGGAGCCTTGGCGTCTTGTTTCAGTGCCTTGGGACGTCCTCCTGACGTGAAAGGCGCTTTATAAATGGAATCTTGTTGTTGTTGTTGTTGTTTGACCCTCAGCCACCCTTTATACCCCACATCCGTGCCATGACCCGCTCTGCCTCCCCCCACCTCCGCAGCACGGCCCGGCTCCGGCCCCGGTGCTCCCCCTCAGGCCGCCGAGACCCTCATCTCCACTACGCCAACTCCCTGCTTGTCGGCCTCCCCATCTCTTCCCTCTCCGCAGCTCGTGTCCTCTCCTGCACCCGGCTCCGTGACCCTATCTCCCCTGCCATCGCCCGGCTCCGCTGCTCTCCATTCCCCAGAGGATAGAGTTCAAGGTCCTCGTCGTCGCCTCCACCGCTTTGCTCCTTCCTACCTCTGCCACCTGCTACATACAACAAGTCGCATTTATACAGCGCTCTTCACACCGGACGGACAGCATCTCGGAGCTCTTAAATCCTGTATCAACCTGTCCACTATCTCCGCTCAGCAGGCTGTGTCCTGCTCCACGTCCCCCGCTCAGCCTGCCCCACCGTTAGCAGTTGTGCCTTCAGCCCCTCTACCCCCATCCTTTGGAACTCCATCCCACAGTCCCTTTGTGTCGCTCCCTCCCTTGGCTCCTTCAAGACATGTCTCAAGATCCTCCTCTTCGACTGCACCTTTGGCTACCCTTGCTGCCCACCACCCTCCCTGATCCCAAATCAAATCCCAAATCCTTCCTGGGTCTAAATCCCTGACTGTCCAGTTCCTTGGGATGTGAAAGGTACTATACAAATATAATTGTATATTGTATCACATCTTCGAGACATCTCAGAGCACTTCACAGAATATACTGTTAAGTGAATTGACTATTTTGTGGGAGAAACGTGGCAGCCAGTATCCCAATCTCTGGGGAGAAATCAAACAGACGTCCTGTCGCTTTCGAGGCGAGTACTCTAACCACTGAGCTACAGGACTCATATCCTAATCTAGTGAGGTCAGCTAACTCCACATAGGCTAGGGGACTGAACCTGGGACTAACCTGATTTGCCTGTTTGCTCGCATTATTTAACCACAGGATCCAGCAGAGCTCTGTGCAGTGACCTCTTACACCCAACGCAAACACAAAGCTAAATACCTTGTGACCTTAGGTTGGTGTTATTAAGGCCGCACTTTGAGAAGTCTGACCGGTGAAAGAGAAAAAAAACTTTATTTGCACATATCCTTTCCTTAAAATACAATTCCAACTATACAACACCTCCTAATCCAAACAATTCAAATAACTACAAAATTTGCTTCCCCCATAGATATTCACATGCTGGAATATTTGGACTTGCACATTCATGCTGATTAACCATTTCAAGGGCACTTCCCAGTGTTATTTGACCTTGAGATGGGCACAAAAGAGCTTGCTTCACTTTTTCAAGCTTATACTACTATATCCACTGTCTTTTAGAGCCAGCACCATTCATTTGCCACTGCTACTAAGCTCTCCAAAGACACAACCCTGTTTGTAAGGCGCCATATTAAATGCAAGTCATTGTTGATGTACATTGAATAAAAATGGGATGTTTTTGGGTACTGGCCGGCAAGTGTCTATTTAAAAGAGAAAAAAGTTATAGAATACAGTACAATACAATTTCCAGTAATATAGCACCTTTCATGTCAGGAAGATTTCCCAGAGTCCCTTTATTGAGCTTTATCTCACTGAAACATTAGCAAACTCCCACAAGCAGCCATGTGGTGAATGACGAATCAATCTGGAAGGTTGTTGACTGGAACACTGGGAGATTCATCACATTTGGTAGCATTGCGACATCTTTTAATGTCCAGCAAAGCAGGCAGACGTGAGGTCCGTTTCCTCACACCCATCAGCCGACTACTGAAAGGAAAAGATCCTTTGCACTTCCTATTCCCTTCTGCCGTTGTTTGCTTTCCTATTTATCTTTAGGGATCTCCTTGCATTTGGTATCGCAGCTTTCACCTCAGGATACCTCAAGGTCTTTACTCGATTGACTGTAAGGTGTAGTGACTGTGTATTTTGTATTACAATGCCTAGTTACCCTACGGAGGTTGACGATATGCAGCTCTAAGCTCCCACACTCCATTTCATAACAGTGGCTAGTTTTGATTAACTGAGCTTCAACTTCTCTCAGTTGTACATTAACAAAACTGAAGCCCTCGTGTTTGGTTCGGTTTGCAACAGCATCTCATGTCTGCCTCTAATCACTCTGGCTTCTCTCTGAGCTCCACCAGCCACATAAGCGCAGGAAGAGTATCAGGGCGTAACACTCTATTTGTTACACTCTAAATTCCTTTGATGTTAGAAACCTCAGTTGCATTAATATCCTCCCAAAGGCAAAATGAATGCAGTACGTTAATAATAATCCTTGCATTTAAAACAATAGCACCTTATTATGTTAAGATATTTCAAAGCACTTCATAAGATATAGTCAATTTATTTTACAGTACACTCCCTGAAATGCTTTGAGATTCTCGATGCTGTGATGCAAGGATTATTATAATTTATTAAACTGCAAAGTGAATTGACTATATTTTGGGGGGGGTAGAGGAGGGGAGAAACACGGCATCTAATTGCGCACAGCAGTGTCTCACAAACAGTCGTGGATTGAGCGACCAAAATATATATTTTCTGAAGGGATTATTATCCCTGGAAAGTGATCCACCAATCGACTAACAACTGGGTTCCTACTTATTGCTGGGTAAACAGAGGTGTGTGGAGTAAGGAAACTTGCCTGTTTCACCCTGTCCAGGAATTGAACCCGGGTCCTCTCGCTTGCGAGGTGAGTGCTCTAACCAATAGTTATTATTAATAATAACAATAATCCTTGCATTTGATACAGCACCTTTCATGGCTTAACTGGAATCATTGCGGAGCGAAGCAACTGTAGGTGAACGCCTAGATGATATAGCGACAGAAACAAAGATCACCAAACGGGTACAAGTCAACAGGCAACAGGTTAAATATAAATAAGATCACTTCGATTTTAATAAATATGTACAAAATGAAGCATTCAGAGCACGACAGGCTTGGAGAAATCCCCAGAATTTAACGCCATCTGATGCAAAAGAGTTTGACGTGAGGCAGCTGAAGTGTGTGAGAGAACTGTATTTCATTCTGAACCAAACAGCTGTGTGAAATGCTTGTCTTCAGTACGCTGTTAGAACTTTTGATCGAAGGAGGAAACCGGGGCGATTGTGAGGGATGGGTTGGGATGTGGGCTGGAAGGAGTGGGTCGGTGGGAAAGAATGGGGATGTAAGGGTGCTTCAACAAAATCAAATCAGACTTGTTTCACCCCCACTTCCAATAAGAGTTGGGAATCTTGTGGATTAGTTTTGTGGTTTGGCAGAGAATGGGACGGCTCAAGATCTTTGTGTCTTGGGCACAAAGTTCCCAACCCAACAACAGGGAGTAAGAACGACCTTGAGTTGGAGTTTGCTGAAGCTCTCAAGGCTTGAGGTTGAACAACGTGGGTTGGTTTTGTGCCACTTGAGCACTCGACACAAAGATGTAACAAAACAAATGGCTATTTTTCGAGCCTTTAGCCAGTGGGCTTGTGGGTTATGCCAAGTCTAGAAGTAATCAGGCCTGACAGTTGTTACTGATCTCAGTCAGGGTAGGCATTAACCTTAGCACCTGAGTTGGGGAAGAGATCAGGATTCTCACTGCTGATCACTAACTAGATATTCCCTTCCACTCTCACTCATTGTGTATGTGTGTGGGCATGAGGTACAGAGGAGGGAGTCAGATTATAGCAGCATAAGAAAAGGGCCCATTCATCCTTCAAGTCTCCAATGGCTCCCAGAACAAGCTTTTGTTTAATCCCACCATTTTACTCTATCCACATAGCTCAATACAAGATTAAACTGGAAGGGGACAGGGGAAGGAGATGAATGAGGATAGGATTGGATTTAGCTGTGAGCGTTACCATCAAGGATCAAATATAACTATAAAACTGATCAGGCGGGAGGTGTCGGAGAACTTGTGGACTCCCCCCAGAGAAGAAGAAAACAGAAACCTTCAGAAAAGGAGGAGAGAATGGGGGGTGAAGAGAACAATGATATTTAAAGATGGGGTAAATTAGTCCCCAATTGGAAGAGTAGATCAGGTCAGGAGGTTGCAAATTCAGTGTCAATGGCATAGGTGACAATGTCAAGGTCAAACCATCCCTTTCAGATCTTAGGTTGAGACATATAATACCTACAATTCCCCACACAGTTAATGTCAGAGCTTAACCATCAGTGAGTTGGGCAAAGAAATGAACCAGGACTATTTTATTAAAGCAACAAAAGCAACTTCCGGCTACAAAAAAAAAGATCATTTTCAGAACCTCACGTTGCTCTCTCTCTCCCACATGATATATTTCTTTCTTGACTTAAGATTCAATATGATTCTGGACCAAATGGTCGGTAAGTGATTAGTGCAGTTTGTCTCCTAGAACGAAGCCCAGGTCAGTCATTGACTGTTGGCATAACCAAAGCATGTTATCTCTCCCAACGTCCAGTCCTCTTACGCCAGCGAGAGAGAAACATTGTACCTTTATGTACTGGAAGGGAACCTGTTTCACGCTTTGACCATTGGCATACTCCACCCCTCTCTCCCCTTCCTGAAGTGGTTTTACTGTTGAGCCACTGGACAAAATGATCATCATGTCACACTGCCTGTGTCACACACAAGTTTCTGTAGCTCCGCAACGTGAATCCAATGTCGTGCTGTGTCCCCGCCCTCCCCCCCCACTTTGTTTCTCGCTACATGAAATATAAGGCTTGCGGTGTTTCTTCAAGGCTTTGTTGAACGGCGGTCTGAGTGTTTTTCCGGGGATTGGGGAATCCTAAAATTCTTCCAACTCTTCCTCTCCCCCTTCTCTTCTCCCTGATCCTCCCCCTGAAATCCTTCCCACACACAATGGGGGTGGGGAGGTGGAGGGGGGAGGGGGGAGACACAAGACACAAATCGCTTACAGTCTCGAGTTCTACCAAGTGTTTCTCAATAGAATTTTTTTTTTCTCCAACTCCCTACCCCCCAAAAGTTACAATGGGAAGGGTGGGGGTGGGGGGGCGAGGAGGGGATTGGGGGTTAAACGGCGGGAGGAGTGGGGGAATAACGACGACAAGACAGATCCGAACATATCCACCTCCCGGGACAGTTAGTGCTGAATAAATAGTCTGGTTGACACTCTCCATCAGTGGTGATCCATATTGTCCATCCATAATCGCACAAGGTGCCAAGTCAGTTGTTACTTCCTTCTGTATTAGTACAATAGACATAGGAGGAGTGGGTGTGGATGTGTGTGTGTTGTGATGGTGGGGGCAGAGGCGGATTGTTTGGGGGGGGGAATAAAATTAAGAAGGTCACATGACGTCCACAAAGAACTCACTAGGGTTCCCCATGGCCATTCGAAAGGACTGTCTGCTGGCTGTAAGTTCTGGGGGGACTGAGGCCAGGTCTCGGACAGGTGGGGCACCAGGGGGCGCCATGGCAGACTGTGGGGGCATCATCATCACGGGCGGGGTGTAGAGGGGGGGCAGGCCGGGGGCACCGTAGGACTGGTGGGTGTGATGGCTCCTCACGCTGCCCGCCAGAGAGTGGTGACTGCGGACGCTCATGTTGCCGTGGTGACTGTGCTCGCTGGGCGCCCGCTCTCGCCGCACGCTGCCCCGTGTGGTGTGGTCAGACTCGCTGCCGCTGCCCCCGGACTTGCATTCGCCCGGCTTGGGGTCTCGCTCCTTCCCCCCACCGCCTCCTCCTCCGCCTCCTCGCCGCTCACTGCCACTGCGGTTCGACCCGCTGCTCTTACTCCCTGCGAAAGAGAGGGAGAGTGAGAGATCGAGACTGAGATAGACAGACAGACAGAGAGAGGATGAGAGCGCAAGAAAGAGGGAGAGAGATAGAGAGAATGAGGGAGAGGAAGAGTAAGAGAGAAAGTGAGAGTGAGAACGAGAGAGAGCGAGAAAGTGATTGAGAGAAAGCGAACGAGAGAGAGCGCATGAGCGAACCGGACAGACAGAGAGAGAGCGAGAGAGAGAGAGAAAGAGAGATAGAGAGAGAGTGACAGGAGAAGAATGTAAGAGAGAGAGAAAGAAAGAGAAGGGCACAGAGGTTACAAATAACGTCCTCTCACCCATTACATGCACACACACTCCCTCACCCCTTGCCCCGCCCTGCACATACTCTGCTCCCCCCTCCCCCAACCCCCCGCGTCTCCCGTAACCATTCCCCCGGATTGCAGGTTGGGAATGTCGCTGTTACCTTCGCTGTGCTGGCTGCCGGCGCTGCCCCCTCCATACGTGTATCCGGTGACATCGTGGTACCCGGGTGGGTGTGGGTTATAGGGGTGCTGGGGGGGGTACTGATAGGGGAAAGCGATTGGCCAGGGAGCTGCCCCGGGGTGGGGGAGGGGTGCCAGGGTGTCCTGGTCAGATGCCCCGCTCGATCCATCGTGATCGTTTAGAGTTAGATTGGCCATGTCTGCAGGCGGAGCAGAGCAAACACACACACACAGTTATCATCTGTCATTAGCTTGGCATCAGCCGTGTGCTCACACACACTCACACTCACTCACACAGAGCCACTCACATACACTCAACAGAACCACTCACACACACTCACACAGAACCACTCACACAGAACCACTCACACAGAGCCACTCACATACACTCAACAGAACCACTCACACACACTCACCCACCACCCAGCCACTCACACACACTCACACAGAACCACTCACACTCACTCACACAGAGCCACTCACACAGAGCCACTCACATACACTCAACAGAACCACTCACACACACTCACTCAGAACCACTCACACAGAACCACTCACCCAGAGCCACTCATACAGAACCACTCACACTCACTCACACAGAGCCACTCACACAGAGCCACTCACATACACTCAACAGAACCACTCACACACACTCACACAGAACCACTCACACAGAACCAGTCACACAGAGCCACTCACACACACTCACACAGAACCACTCACACAGAGCCACTCACACAGAGCCACTCACATACACTCAACAGAACCACTCACACACACTCACACAGAACCACTCACACACACTCACACAGAACCACTCACACAGAGCCACTCACATACACTCAACAGAACCACTCACACACTCACACAGAGCCACTCACACATGCTCACATACACACACACAGAACCACTCAAATAGCCACTCACATATACTCACACAGAACTACTCACACAGAGCCACTCACACAGAGTCACTCACAGTCACATACACTCCCACAGAACCACTCACATACACTCACACAAGAGTCACTCACACACAATCACATACACTCACACAGAGCCACTCACACACACTCAAGAAGGCGAGAGTGCGAGCGACTGAACCACAGGCTGTGATGTGACAGAGAGGCGTCTGGCGAATACTCACTGCCGCACACGTCCCCGAATATGTAGTAACACTGCTCTGAGAAGGTGATCTTGTTGACGGTGTGCCGGATGTAGCCGGCTTTCAGGAGGTTGCTGGCATATTTCCGAGCTTCCCGGCGGTCCGGGAATCCCTCCACGTGGTTGTAGAGCCAATCCACAACGTCGGAGCCTAATGGGAATGAGTCGAGAGGGAATTGGATTCAGGGAACTGGTCTTTGAGAGAGATATTGTCCTTCCTCAGTTACGATGTGTGAACAGCGCCTCCTGGTGGCCGAGTGGCTAAAAGCGCCGCCTGATACAACACCGTTCACACTCTCTCTCCCGCACTCTCCTCAGGCCAGCGAGCCAGCCCAGGAGGGTCCTGGGTTCCAATCCCAGGCGCTGCTGGGCTAGGTGATCTGGGCTGGGGCAGCGTACTGCCCTCAGCTTCCCTTATGTACATCAGGGAGGGAGAAAATCAGAGCCTTGGTCAGACCACAACTGGAGTTGAGGTACAGATCAGCCATAATCTAATAGAATGGTGGAACGGGGCTGAATGGGGGTGGGCGGGGAGGAGGGCAGGATTTGGGCTGCAGATTGGGGTTAACCCCCTCACTGATCAATAACCTGCCAATGCTCGCCCCCCACCCCCAGCATCACAAATAATTCTGGAGGTTTGTGGGGAGCGTCTGGAGGGAGCTTGTCATTTGGCATCCCGAGTCAGACACCTCGAGGAGAGAATTAGTGACCATCTTACAGGAAGAGAGAAAGAGAGAGAGAGAGAGAGAAGAGAGGGTGAGCGACAGACTTAGGGAGAGAGACAGATTGAACAAGTGAGGAAAGAGAGAGAGGGGGAAGAGAGAGTGAGGGAAGAGAGAGAGAGAGCGGGAAGAGAGAGAGAGAATGAGGGAGAGAGAAGAGTGAGAGAGAGACACTGTGAATGAGAGAACGAGGGAGAGACAGAGATTGAACAAGAGGGTGAGTGAGTGATAAGAGAGGGGGAGAGGAAAGAAAGGAGGGTTGACTAAACGGTGTGGTATCAGTCTCCTGTGCGGAGAGCAGTGGTCAGGCTAAGCCACACTCAGACGCCCACGTACCTATGAACGCATTGGGAATGGTGATTTTCAGCCACATCCTGTCCCGCACCTCTAGGCCGGACTCGGGAGACATCATCGCCCTGACGATGGTGGCCATCTCGCTGTGGATGGACAGGTGAAAATCGTCGAACCCTGGAACAGAGACCAGAAGCGTGGACCCCAATTTGAACCAACTCGGAGACGAGGAGAGGCTCCGAGGGGCACAACGCACAACAACATCATCAACTTGCATTTACACATGGCCCCTCATGCAGGGTAGTGTCCCAGAGCGCTTGATAGTAGCGCAGCACGACGCTGAGCCAGTGGAGGGGAGGGTGGGGGGTGTGGGGTGTGGGAATGGGATTGACGGAGGTGGCCAAAGATACAGTGAAGAGGAAGGTGTTCAGGTGCGACCTGAAGATGGGGAAGAAACGGGCAAGACGGAGGGATTGAAGGAAAGAGTTCAAGTATTTCAGGGCATAACCCACCAGCCAACAGTTAATCTACACAACTTGGTCACCGGCTGACCTAAACATAGCTTTCTAACTAAAAATAAACTCTTGGATTTAAAATTCTAAACCAACAAAACCAATCTGGACTCTTACACCTCATCATCTCACCGGAGGTACATTTTAGTAATATTGGTCACAAAATAATCACAATGCAGTTCCCTGTGTTTGCCACTAGGTGCCGCTAGTGACGGTATTAACTGCAACACCATGTAGGCGATGGTAGTGACCTCCAGTGTTGAGAAACGAATAGTGCAACACATTAATACAGACAGATACAACAATGTCCCTCCCACAAACAGCCATGGAGTGAGCGACCAATGTCAAACCGAACATCAGACCATTCAGTCTCTTAACTTCACTGAACAGTATATACTAATAATCCTAGACGTCTCAAAGCATTCACAGAATATACTGTAATATAAACAGAGGCGTGTGTGTGGAGTAAGGAAACTTGCCTTAGGTTTTGTCCTGCCTAGGAATCAAACCCAGGTCCTCTCGTTTGCGAGGTGAATGCTCTAACCCCTGAGCTACAGGACTCCATGTATTCACTGAAATATCAGAGACATGTAGAAGGATGGCAGGGAAGGGAAGGGAAGGGAAGGAAGCATGGGGATGATGGTGATGTTGGACACGGCATGGACAGCGAGCGGTAGGACTTACGTTCGGTTTCTGGGATGGAGCTGGTGATGGAGGAGCTGGTGGAGGTGATGGTGCTCATGGAGGGACTCAAACCGTATGGCTGATAGGCTCCAGTCATGGCCGCTGTGTGGGATACCCAGGCTGCTGGGTCGATTGGACGTATGGGCTCACCTCGAAAACACAAATTAATAATAATTAATAATAATAACATTTAATAATAATCCTTGCATTTGATACAGCGCCTTATCACTTCTTCGAGACATCTCAAAGCGCTTCACTGAATACAATGTAAAGTGAATTGACTGTATATTTTGTGGGTGAAACGCGGCAGCCAATTGCACACAGCAGCATCTCACAAACAGTCATGAGTTGAGTGACCAAATTATTATTATTACTTTTTTCCCCCCAGAAAAGCGATCCGCCAATCGACTAACAACCGGATTCTTACTTACTGCTGGGTAAACAGAGGCGTGTGTGTGCAGTAAGGAAATTTGCTAACATTTGGCCCTGCTCAGGAATCAAACCCAGGTTCTCTCGCTTGTGAGGTGAGTGCTCTAACCACTGAGCTACAGGAGTCCACAAGAGCTTGTGAGAACTTTCAACCGCCCATTCAATTGCCTGAAATTTGGGACACTGTCTCGAAGCACTTAATAGTAGCGGAGCCTGACCCTGAGTCGGGGGGAAGGAGGAGTTGACCGTAAGTGCGATCAAAGAGGAAGGTCTTCATTCCAGAGACATGCGGACAATTCATTTGGATTTTAGGGGGAAAATTGGCATGCAAAATTTTGACCGCCATCTTAGATTCTCGCTTAATGGAGATGGGTGTTTACGGGGAGGCAATGTCACTTACTCCGGGGGAGGGTGAAGCAGGTGCGTGGAGTGGGGTCCCAGCATTTGGCGACTGTCAGCGTGATGGGGCTGTGAGGAGGAAAGAGAAACAGTTAGAACAACAACAATAGAAGACATTTACGCAGCGCCTTTCACGTCAGGAGGACGTCCCAAGGGGCTGGACTGTCAGAAATTTGGACCCGAGCTTGGGGTTGGGATCTGGAGGGGGTGGAGGGCACATGGAGTGGATGGGGTTAGGAGAGTGACCGAAGGTGCAGTTGAAGAGGAGTGTCTTGAGATGTGCCTTAAAGGAGGCAAGGGAGGGAGCGAGGTGAAGGGACTTTGGGATGGAGTTCCAAAGGGTGGGGTCGGAGCGGCTGAAGGCTGATGGTGGACTGTGCCAGGCAGGGGACATGGAGCAGGCTGGAGCCATGTCATCACACAAAGGAAGCGATTCAACAGAGTTATTGAAACTCAATCACGAAACGGCTCCATGCTGGAATGGTAAGCCAGAAGCACAGGATCAAATGGACTGTAAAATCCCTCTCATTATATCCTTTCTTATCCTCACTCCCCCACTGGAGCTCTCTACTCTAACCCCATTCCCTGCTCTCTCCTTATACACCTGAACAACAACAACAACAACTTGGGTTTACATAGCGCCCTCCACGCCGGACGGCGTCTCAGAGCGCTTCACAGTAACGGATCCCGGGGCCGAGCCAGGGGGAGGAGCCAGGGGAAGAGCAGGGGGAGGAGCCGGGGGAAGGGGGAAGAGCCAGGTGGAGGGGGAGGGGGAGGAGCTGGGGGAGGGGGAGGGGGGGAGGAGGGGGAGGAGCTGGGGGGGGGAGGGGGAGGAGCTGGGGGGAGGGGGAGGAGCTGGGGGGGGGGGGAGCTGGGGGAGGGGGAGGGGGAGGAGCTGGGGGAGGGGGAGGGGAGGAGCTGGGGGAGGGGGAGGAGCTGGGGGGGAGGGGGAGGAGCTGGGGGAGGGGAGGGGGAGGAGCTGGGGGGGGAGGAGCTGGGGGGAGGGGGGGGGGGAGGAGCTGGGGGGAGGGGGAGGAGCTGGGGGTAGGGGGAGGGAGAGGAGCTGGGGGAGGGGATGGGGAGGAGCTAGGGGGAGGGGGAGGAGCTGGGGGGAGGGGGAGGAGCTGGGGGAGGGGGAGGGGCCAGGGGAGGGGGAGGAGCTGGGAGAGGGGAGGAGCCAGGGGAAGGGGAGGAGCTGGGGGAGGGGGAGGAGCCAGGGGAAGGGGAGGAGCTAGGGGGAGGGGGAGGGGGAGGAAGGTGACCAAAGACGCGGTCGAAACAATGTTTAAAATGTGAAATTGGACAAATAATTGAGAAGGAAGTTAACATTAAACATTTGGCTTCAACAGTTATTTATGTAAAAGCAATAATAATAATCATTGCATTTGATTTAAGCTCCGTATCACGTCGTTGAGACGGCCCTAAATGCTTCACAGAATATACTGTAAAATAAATTGGCGATATTTTGTGGGTGAAACGTGGCAGCCAACTGCACACAGCAGTGTCCCACAAATTATTTTTATTTATTTTTTATTTATTTAAAAGCGATCGCTTTTATTATTAAAAGCGATCTGTCAATCGACTTAAGAACCGGGTTCCTACTGACTGTGAGGCAAACAGAGGCGTGTGGAGTAAGGAAACCCGCCCAACCTTTCAATCAAACCCAGGTCCTCTCGCTCTAACCGTTAAGCTACAGGACTCCACAAGCCAACTGTACACAACAGTGGTGTCCCACAAACATTTGTAGATTGAGTGACCCAATTATTCTAATTTTTATTTATCTTTTGAATGGATTATTACCGCCAGAAAGCGATCCACCAATCGACTATCATTCCACAATCTAACAACCTCTGTCTGAAAAATAAACTTCTCACCAGTTTTTTGCTGAGGATTCTCCTCAACTGATAGATATCCTTTTGTGAGTGTCTGACTGATCAGCGTTAAGTGTCCGTGTGAACCGTTGAGAGGTTGGAATCTCTTACCCTGGTTTGTGGACAATCTCTCTCAGCACTCGCACAGCATCATCATTGCTCATATTCTCAAAGTTTATATCGTTGACCTGCCAGGGGAAGAGAGGTCACAATGTGCAAGTTACTGGATGCTCAGAGCTCCAATTGCTCCGTACCCCACCCACCCAACACCCAATCTCTACCCAATACACACCCACCCACTGCCCCACAACACACACTCACTTACCCACTGTCCCACACCGCACAACACCCAACACCTCCCAAATTTTCAAGACTGAGGTGGATAGATATCTGTTAGGTCAGGGAAGTAGGGGATATGGAACAAACGCGGGCAAATGGAGTTGATGTAGTGATCAGCTATGATCTAATAGAATAGAATGGTGGAAGAGGCTCGAGGGGCTGAATGGCCTCCTCCTGTTCCTGTGTTCCAGCTCCGCACGTCACCCACCGATAGAATGCCATTGGCTCACAGAAAAGCAGCAAGCGCCTGGCTGGGGAGTGGGGAGGAGTGTGTGTGGGGGAGCGGGGGTTGGGGGGAGCGTGGTGCCTGGCTGGGGGGGTGGGGGCAGGTACCTGCAGCAGCATGTCTCCCGGCTCGATCCTGCCGTCGGCGGCCACGGCCCCCCCCTTCATGATGGAGCCGATGTAGATGCCGCCGTCTCCGCGCTCGTTGCTCTGCCCCACGATGCTGATCCCCAGGAAGTTGTATTTTTCTGCGGAACAACGTGCAAACAAGACCGGAGAGTGATTGACTGATCGGGAGGGTGGGTGGTGGGGGGACAATGTCAGCAGAGGGGGGAGTCCGCTCCCAAGCCTCTACCTCACTCCAGCCCCCACCTGAAAGCAACTTACCCCTGTACCTATTCCCCGCTCATGCCTGTCCCACCACCAATGGCCGAGCCTGTGACCAGCTTGTCTCAACTCGCTCCTAAAATCCATTCTACTGGCTCCTTCTCTCCCCACCTTCAAAACCCTTTGAAAGGGCAATCTCTTTTGACCGTGTATTTAATAATATACAAATAATAATCCTTGCATTGATATGGCGCCGTATCACGTTGTTAAGACGTCTCAAAGCACTTCACAGAATATCCTGTAAAATGAATTGACTGTGTATTTTGTGGGCGAAACGCGGCAGCCAATTGTGCACAGCAGCGTCCCACAAACAGTCGTGGATTGAGTGACCAAATTATTATTCTTTTGGAGGGATTATTAGCCCTGGAAATTGATCCGCCAATTGACTAACAACCAGGTTCCTACTTACTGCTGGGTAAAGAGAGGTGTGTGGACTAAGGACACCTGCCTAAGGTTTCACCCCACAGAACCCGGGTCCTCTCGCTTGCGAGGAGAGCGCGCTAACCAATGAGTTACAGGACTCCACACCTCTCTGCTTCTCTGCACCAAGCTCAGTGACTTCCAACATCACATTGAGACATTCATCCTATAAGTGCATGTTGTTGTTGTCTTTAATTCCCCTCCTTCCTCCTCCCACTCCCTCCTGCCCATTCAGGTCCACCTCTGAGACATTGGTTGGTTCAGTCCAATTTCCCAACCCCTCCCGCCCACTGTCACACAGGTTCATGACCCCGAGAACCGCAATCCCTCTCCCCCAGGGGTTTGGGTTCACGACGCACGACTAACCTTCACAACTCCCCCCCCCAACAAGAGAACCTCCCGCCATTACCCCCCCTCCCCCATTGCAAGCCGCTTACCCATGTTGAGAGTGACGGTGATGATGTTGAGAGACATGGTGGAGTCGGTGATGCTGCTGAAAGACGAAGACTGAAAGAGAAGAGACGGCGGTGATTACTGGAAACTCAGATAGTGAGTAACTGGTCTGTTACCAGTCATTCCAACCACTGTGTTACATCAACATCAGATCGTGGTGAGCGAGCCCCAGCACAGATACCATGGGGAGGGAGAGAGAGAGAGAGAGAGAGAGAGGGAATGGAGATAGAGTAGACAGCTCTAGTGGGGGAGCGAGCCCCAGCACAGACACGATGGGGAGAGAGAGAGAGAGAGAGTGGGGGAATGGAGATAGAGTAGAGAGCTTCAGTGGGGGAGCGAGCCCCAGCACAGACACGATGGGGAGAGAGAGAGAGAGAGAGAGAGAGAGAGGAGGAATGGAGATTGAGTAGAGAGCTCCAGTGGGGGAGTGAGCCCCAGCACAGACACGATGGGGCGAGAGAGAGAGAGAGAGAGAGAGAGAGAGAGAGAGAGAGCGGGGGAATGGAGATAGAGTAGAGAGCTCCAGTGGGGGAGCGAGTCCCATCATTGCCTTTTAAGGGTTCAATGTTTTTTGCCGCGATTTAATTCCGACGATGCTATGATATCACTGGAGAGCTCTGTCACTCTGTCGCTCACACAAACCGGCAGAGGGTTGCGATCGGATCACAATCGCACGAGGGATTTCGGACCGAACACTCGCCGACTCAGCGACACACGTACCCGCTCGATGCGCGGGATCCTCGGTTTCCGCCTCCGCCGTTTGTGTCGTCGCATGAGCTTGGAGGAGCTGCTCTGCTCCGTGGAGCTGCTGAACCTGAGGACAAACAGCGGCCATGAGACAAACACCATGCCAGGCCCCACAGCCACCACCAGGAGGCGCAACAGCACAGCACCCCAATCTCAGAATCACGCAGTGTCCCGCAGCGTAGTGGTTACAGCACGCGCCTCGCTAACGAGAGGACCCGGGTTCTATTCCCGGGCGGGGAGGCCAGATGCCTTGCTCCACAATCCTCTGTTCACCTAACAGTCAGTAGGAACCCAGTTGTTAAGTCGATTGGTGGATGGTTTTTCAAGGGTAATAATCCAACCCCCAAAAAAAGGTCATTCAATCTACAACTGTTTGTGCAATTGCCCACCCCCCCACCCCACTGCCCCCCCCAAGTACCTGCTGGTCGAATCATCTTCATCGGAGTCGAAGAAGCTGGTAGACTCCAGTTCGCTGCTCATCAGTGTGGACGAGCTGTCGTAGCCGCCCACCTCGTGTCTCCTCTCCATCTTGGTGTGGCCATTCACCCTGGGCACTGCGGGACAGAGAGGGCACATGTCAGCCAGTAATAATAAATAAATAATAATAATAATCCCAGCATTTGATATAGCGCCTTATCGCTCACAAATATACAGTCAATTCACTTTACAATATATCTGTGAAGCGCTTTGAGACGTCTAGAAGACGTGAAAAGTGCTATATCAAATGCAAGGATTATTATTATTATCATTATTATTATCACGTCTTCGAGACGTCTCAAAGTGCTTCACAGGATATACTGTAAAGTGAAGTGACTGTATATTTTGTGGGCGAAACCCAGCAGCCAATTGCACACAGCAGCGTCCCACAAACAAGTCATGGATTGAGTGACCAAATTTTTATTATTTTTAATTTTTTAATTTATTTTTTGAAGGGATTATTACCCCCGGAATCCTTCACCCTTGACTACACTCTCCCCCTGCTCACCCATTCTCATAATACAACACCAAGATAAATTTTTAAACCTTCCCAGCCCCCCACTTGTCCAAAGACAGGCTTTAAGGCTATGATTTCAGGGCAGAGCTGGGTGGGTGAATGGAGCTGAGACTTTGCTCACAGTCACTCTCTGTTCACATCACTCTCCCCTCATGCTCCTCCGCCCCAACCTGTCACAGTTTGAGTGAGCATGTGTATATGTACATGTATGAGCGCGTGTGTATGTGCACGTGTGTGAGTGCAGAAACACTAATCCCACTGCGTATTACTATTATTGCATTATTATTAATAACATTATTATTAACAGAGACCATAATCTGGTAGAAAATTAATTTTCACTTAGAAAAACATAAGTTAATTAATGACAGTCAACACGGATTTGTTAAAGGCAAATCGTGTCTGACAAACTTAATTGAGTTGTTTGATGATATAATGGAGGATTGATGAACTTTCAGAAGGTGTTTGATAAGGTGCCACATAATAGACAAGTTAGTAAAATTGAAGCCCATGTGATAAAAGGGACGGTGGCATACAAAATCGGCTGGGAGACAGAAAGCAGAGGGTGGTGGTGAATGGTTGTTTTTCAGACGAGCGGGAAGTATACAGTGGTGTCCCCGAGGGGTCAATATTAGGTCCACTGTTCTTTTTGATACGTACATGACTTGGACTCGGGTATAGAGAACAACATTTTAAAGTTTGCAGATGACACAAAACTTGAGAATGTAGTAAACAGTGAGGAGGATATTAATAATAATCCTTGCGATTGCCTTATGTCTTTGAGATATGTCAAAGCGCTTCTGTAAAGTGAATTGACTGTATATTTTGTGGGAGAAGCAATGGTAGCAGACTCCAGGAGGAAATAGATAGACTGGTGATATGGGCAGACATATGGCAGATGAAGCTTAATGCAGAGAACTGTGAGGTGATGCAATTTAGGAAGAAGAATGAGGAGAGGCAATATACACTACAGTTTTAAAGGGGGACCAGAGAGACCTGGGGCTTCACATACACAGGTGTTTGGAGGTGGCAGGGCAGGTTGATAGAGCTGTTAAAAAAACATATGTCATCCTTGGCTTTATAAACAGAGGCACAGCGTACAAAGCAAGGAAGGTCTGCTAAACCTTTATAAGTCACTGGTTAGACATCATATCTTATAATGTCTTGTCATCTGCTCCAGCCCACACACACGTGTACATACACACACATGTGTACATACACACACGTGTACATACATACACATACAAAGATGTGTACACACGTACAAATACACACACACACACACGTGTACTGACACACACATACACATGTACATACACACACGTGTACATACACACCCATCTCGAAGACATGATAAGGTGCTATATCAAATGCAAGGATTAGTATTATTATGTGTACACACACAAACACATATTCACACACACACTTGGGCAAACATTCAGACACACTCACATGTACACTGCTGTGCGCAATTGGCTGCTGCGTTTCTCCCACAAAACACAGTCAATTCACTTTACAGTATATTCTGTGAAGCACTTTGAGACGTCTAGAAGACGTGATAAGGGTTTATATCAAATGCAAGGATTATTATTATTATATACACACATTCACTCATATGTACACACACATTCAAACGTGTACATACACACACATACCGTGTTCGTGCACCTCTTTCCGCCGGGGCCGTTCCCTTCTCGATGACACGACGGACTCGGTCTCCGTCTCATTGTCCAGGTTGTCCTGACTGCCCGCCACGTTAGCGCTGCACAGGATCCAAGACACAGAGCTTCAGGTACAGACCCTCATGCACAGAATCCGCGCTCTCCCCACCACCCCCCACAAGCACACACACAGGAGGACCCAACCCCCACGCACGCCCTGCTCCCCCCCCACCACCTGCCCCACTGTGGTCCAAAGACTCGTTGAGTTGATGTACTGAAAATAAATTGCCACAAAGGGGCGCTGTGGTCCTACACAACTCAACTCCCGGACACCTGAGATACTGGGGGGGGGGGGAACGGGGGGGGGGACATTATTTAACTGAACGATGTCAAACTAGGGACCAAGACCATTTTCTGAAGAACGTCAGAAAGTGTGGCACCGAACATTATCTGCCATGAAAACAATGGCACTCACACACACACTCACTCATATACACTCACACGCGCGCACACACACATCACACACACACCACACGCGCACACACACTCACACACTCGCTCACACACACTCACACACTCGCTCACACACACTCACTCGGTCAACACACACACTCACTCATACACACACACACACACTCGCCCGCTCACACACACTCACCCGCTCACACACACACTCGCCCGCTCACACACACACTCGCCCGCTCACACACACACTCGCCCGCTCACACACTCATTCACTCACTCATACAAACACACTCACTCATACAAACACACACATACTCACTTACACACACACTCACTCACTCACACACTCACTCATACACAAACATACACTCACACACTCACTGATCCTCTGGACATCTAAATACAGTTAAAGACTTGTATTGAATACAATGATCATCATTCTTCCACGTTTCAATTGTTGATCAATGCGCTGCAGGAGGAAAACGTGGGGGTAACGGGACTGTGTGAACACCCTGTATATGAATCACAGTATAAGTGCAAATTTTGGTTGTTGCTTTTAACCCCAGACTCCCTGCCTCCCTCCGCACCACCCCCACCCCCTCCCCCACCCAGACCCAAATACTCACTGAAAGGATGGGGGTCGGGAATCCCCAATTCCACCCGTTCGTTCAATGGGGGGCGGGAGGTCAGACTGACTGTCTGCGCAGGTGGAGCCAGTGTCGGAGTGTGAACCCTCTGCTGAAACCAGCTGTAAAACATCAGTCAATAATAATAATAATCCTCGCATTTGATACAACGGCTCATCGCCTCGTTGAGACGTCCTCAAAGCGCTTCACAGAATATACTGTCAAGTGTAGCGACTGTGTGTATTGTGGGCGAAACCAACAACTGGGTTTCTGTTTACTCCTGGGTAAACAGAGGCGTGTGGAGTAAGGAAACTTGCCTAAGGTTTTGACCCTCCCGGGAGTTGAACCTGGGTCCTCTGGTTTGCGAGGCGAGGGTGCTGACCACTACCCTACAGGACTCCACATTATCAGAGCTCAGCACGGCCATAATCCCTGGGGTCAGCGCTCGAGGAATCAGCAGCCAGAGGAGAAGCGACAAACATAGGAAGCGACGGGTATGGTTTACCAGGACAATAAACAGTCTTTACACAGACGGTGACTTGAATGTAGAATTCACAGCCACTGACTTCTGCTGAGAGAATTAGAGACACGCTTGATGAGGAGTAACATCGAAGGCGGTGGGTGTGCGAGAGAGACAGAGAGACAGACAGAATCAGGCTATGTGTGCGTGAGAGACCGAGAAAGAGAGATAGGCTGTGTGTATGAGAGAGAGAGAGATACAGCCAATGCTTCCCAGTGAGTCCATCTCTCACCCATTCAAAGAATCAGCTCACAGTTGCTCTCTCCCCATGTGCTGGGGCTCACTCCCGCACTGGAGCTCTCTACTCTAACCCCATTCCCTACTCTCTCTCTCTCTCCGCCCATGGTGTCTGTGCTGGGGCTCGCTCCCCCACTGGAGCTCTCTACTCTAACCCCATTCCCTGCTCTCTCTCTCCCCATGGTGTCTGTGCTGGGGCTCACTCCCGCACTGGAGCTCTCTACTCTAACCCCATTCCCTACTCTCTCTCTCTCTCTCCGCCCATGGTGTCTGTGCTGGGGCTCGCTCCCCCACTGGAGCTCTCTACTCTAACCCCATTCCCTGCTCTCTCTCTCCCCATGGTGTCTGTGCTGGGGCTCGCTCCCGCACTGGAGCTCTCTACTCTAACCCCATTCCCTGCTCTCTCTCTCTCTCCCCATGGTGTCTGCGCTGGTGCTCACTCCCCCACTGGAGCTCTCTACTCTAACCCCATTCCCTGCTCTCTCCCCATCGTGCCCATTCCCCTGCTCTCTCCTCACACCAATTAATATAAATTTCCCTATTAAATATTGTGACTAACTCAGTTTTAACATGATTCTGTGATCCTAACAACCCTTGGCATTATATAAAACACACTCATTATTCTTGTTATTGTGTTATCTTGTTGGGCACATTCTCCCTTGACGTGAGACATTACCCAGAGTGGCAGTGTGAAGGGAAAGCCTATTTACCCGATGGTTTTCACAGCCAATCGTGACCTGCCGGCATCACTGTGATCAAACTGCCACAACCGACAGCCCAGAATCTCCCAGTTCACCCTCCATTTTCACCATCTCACTAACTCCAGTTCTGGGACAGAATAGCTTTGTTTATCTGAGCTCTAACACTCGTCTCTCTCTCTGTCTCCCTCTCTGATCCCACTGCAAATTATAAAGGAAATGGGTATTTAGGAGCCAAAGGTTGTGTCCTTTACCTCCAAGTGATGCAATTTTGAGCTTCATGTCACTTTGGGAACGTGTGTCCACTTTAGGTAAATGCACTGTGGGATATCGTGGAGCCAAGTGAGGATCAAACTTCACCCACAGAATACACAGTCACTACACTTTACAGTATATTCTGTGAAGCGTTTTGAGACGTCTCTACGACGTCATAAGGATTATTATTATTAAAGTACACCCATGTTGTCAGACTGCTGTCCTTCAGATAAGAGGTTAAAATAAACTTCTGTCTGTGCCTGTTCAGGTAGATGTACAACATGCAGACGTGGATTGAGTGACCAAACAATTCTTCTAAAAAAATTGGGGGGGGAACATTACCCCCGAAAGCGATCCGCCAATCGACTAACAACAGAGCTCTACTTACTGCCAGGTAAACAGAAGCGTGTGGATTAAGGAAACTTGCCTGAGGTTTTGCCCCAACACATAAAACATACACGGATCTGTCAGACAAACCCCGAGGTCACATTTCACTCAGTTTCAGCCCATGAAACCATTTTCTCTTAAAATTTAAGATCCGGGAGAAAAAAAATTGTGAAAAAAATCTTTCAATTTTCACCATCAGTTTTGGAAGCCATTTCTTTTTTTTAGGAATTGGGAAAAAATCAGCTTCCGAATCAAGGCGGCATTGAAGGATATTCCACCGACCTGCTTCAGATTTTAAGATGGAGCGAAATTGTGCTGTGTTCATCCTGGGCAGCGCAAAACCTTAGGCAAGTTTCCTTACCCCACACACCTCTGGTTACTTAGCAGAAAGTAGGAATCGGTTGTTGGTCGAATGGCGGATCACTTTCCGGGTATTAATCCCTCAAAAAAAATATTTGGCCACTCAATCCACGAACTGTTTGTGGGACGCTGCTGCGCGCATTTAATTGACTGCTGCGTTTCGCCCACAAAATACACATTCAATCCGCTTTACAATATATTCTGTGAAGCGCTTTGAGACGTCTCAACGACTTGATGAGGCGCTGCATCAAATGCAAGGCTTATTATTATTATAAGTAAGCATTATAATTCTCGTTCTCTCTCTCTCCCCACTGAGAATTGTACTCACCCAAGAGACGACTCTGCCATTGAAGCAAGGAAGTGTGGCATTGTCATCGGAAATCTCCTCTTTCACAACCCTGGGAGAGAATAACAGGAGGTGTGAGATCCATTTCATGTCACAAAATTACTAATCCAACATTCTATATGGAATGGAGGCCAGAGGCGTCCGCACAGGAATCCGGTCACCAGCCCATCATTGAGGCTCTTACTGTGTCCACGCTGGTGCCTGGTGCACAAAAAATATCTATCCGGTAGCGTATTAGTTTGAGCACTCGCCTCGCAAGCGAGAGGCCCCGCGTTTGGTTCTTCGACAGGGCCAAACCTTCGGCAGGTTTCTTTCTCCACACGCCTCCGTTTACCGAGCGGTAAGTAGGAACCCGCATGTTAGTTGATTAGCGGATGGCTTTCCGGGGTAATAGTCCCTCAAAAATAGAAAGAGAGAGAGAGCGAGGGCTGAGAGAGAGAGAGAGGGAGAGAGGGAGTGTGTAGACAGAGGAGGATGGATACAGAGGTCTGTAATGACAGCTCAGTAACCTGCCCCCACCCTGGCATGTGGCTGAACAGGCTATTGGTGACAGTGATCACACACAGAGCTGTGCTAACAACAGCAATCCTGAGGCTTCAGTTTGCGACAGAGAGCGATAGGAACACACACACAGGCAGCACCTCAACGACACACACCAGGTTGTGTACTTTTGATGGTCTTTAGTGGCCACCTCCCCTCTTCCCCCACCCCACCCAGCTCAGCGTCAGGCTCCACCACTGTTAAGCGCTCCGAGACACTGCCCCACGTGAAGGGCGTTGTGTAAATGCAAGTTTTGCTGTTGCCCGAAGCGAGAAAAAGAGATACGACATTTTACATTGCCGGGCGTCTGAATTGTGATATTTCTTAATGATTCCGAGTCGTGAGAAAGGTCTGGTTTATTATAAAAGTAATAACAATAATCCTTGCATTTGACACAGCGCCTTATCACCTCACTGAGATATCTCAAAGCGTTTCACAGAATATACTGTAATTGTAGTGACTGTGTGGTTTGGTCGGAAACATGGCTTTAAATATAAATTTAAAATATAAATTGACAGCATTTTATAAACACCATAATCCTTGCATTTGATATAGCAATTTATCACATCAGTATTGTTCCCTTCCCCCTCCCCAACGCCCCCCATCCCGCTCCCCCCCCAGCCCCTCCTTCCACCCACCATCTGCCTCCTCACACATCAATTAATGTTACAGTTCTGATGAATCTATCGATGGGAGATGTCAGGGCTCAGAGCTCTCGCTCCGCACCCCACCCCCGGGCTGGGCTGGGCTGGGCTGTACCGGCTGTGCTGCCCCGGGGGGAAAAGTGACAGACAGAGCAGCTGCTCGCAACCCAGAGCGGCCGCTAATGTCACCGCGGGGAGGGGGAGGGGAAGGGGAGGGGGAAGGGGAGGGAGAAGGGGAGGGGGGTGGAAGGGGAGGGGAGGGAAGGGAGAAGGGGAGGGGGAGGGGAAGGGGAAGGGGAGGGGGAGGGGGAAGGGGAGGGGGTTGGAACCCAAAGCAAAATGTGTCTCCCTGGAAATGAAATATTAGTGTGCAGATCAGTGTGTGTCTTTGTGTGTGTGTCTGTCAGTATCAGTGTGTGTGTGTGCGTGTCAATGTGTGTGTGTCAATGTGTGTGTGTGTGTCAATGTGTGTGTGCGTGTCAATGTGTGTGTCAATGTGTGTGTGTCAATGTGAGTGTCAATGTGTGTGTGTGTGAATGTATGCGTGTGTCAGTGTGTGTGTGTGTGTCAGTGTGCGTGTGTATGTGTCAATGTCCCCGTATATGTGGGGGGTGTGGGGGGGGGTTCCATGGAGCTCCTCTGGTATCTCAAACCGTAGCTGAATGTCAGGCAAGTGGAGCGCCACCTCCCCCCCCCCCCCCCCCCCCACCCCACAATTAATCTGTAGAAACCCTCCAGAGACAGGGTTCCCTGGTGTGCCCAGAGCAGGGCAGTTACAGCTCAGATGGTGCAGTCTCTACTCTGAGGGGAAATGTAGTGTTAATTACTATTTACATTCCCTAAAGCCCAGCCCCGCAGCCCAGAGCAGAGCCGAGCCGAGCGCGGCACCAGGGCCCGACACCGCCAGACTGCAGCTCCGCGCGTGTTCGTGTGGGAGGTGCACTGTGATCACGTCCGTACCACAGGAGACATCACAGCCCAACCCCAGCGCCGCATCTGCGAGGACTGTCAGTCAGAATACAGGGCGGGGGAGAGGGAGGGAAAGAAATCACCCATTCTCTTTTTCAAACAGCTCTTTAACGTAACATTTTACAACACTAATAATCTTTGCATTTGATACGACATAACATAACATGTAGGAGCAGGAGTAGTCCATTCAGCCCTCCGAGCCGGCCCCGCCATTCAATCATGGCTGATCTGCTAATCTACCTCCAGCTAATAGCGCCTTATCACGTTGTCATTGCATCTAAAAGCGATTCATGCAATACGCTGTAAAGAGTAGTGACTGTGTATTTTGCGGACGGAACACGGCGGCCAATTGCGCACAGCAGTGCATCACAAGCAGTCGTGGATTGAGTGACCAAATTATCATTTTTTTGGGGGGGGGAGGAAGTGGTGGGAGTGGGGGGTGGGAGGGGATTACTACCCCCAGAACGCGATCCGCCAGTTGACTACCAACGATGTTCATACTCACTGCTGGGTGCACAGAGGTGTGTGGAGTAAGGACATTTACTCAACGTTTTGCCCTGCCCGGGAATTGAACCCAGGTCTTCTCGCGTGCGAGGCGAGTGCTCTAACCACTGAGCTACAAAATCTGCCTGTCAGTTTGACGTCGATCTGAAAGGACGTTGCCATAGATAACACAGCGTTCTTTCCCCCCCAGCACTGGGCTGGAGCGTCAGCCTGGACTGTGAGCTGATGTATGTGTTTGTGGGGGTGGGGGGGGTGGGGGGCTCGAACCTGATGAATCCTCGGTACAGATTCCAGCGGGAGGGGTGGGGGAATGAACGACTCGAAGGTACACATCTGGGACACTAACATCTGGGATGAGCCTGGCTGTTGGCAGGAGCGATGTGTGAGTGGGCTGAGCCTGGACAGAGGTGGGTGGGTGGGCCACAGTTCGGATTTTTTGAAGAGGCAGCACATTCTTCGGGACGGGTCAAAAGGCCACGATTGATGCTGAGCAAACAGCCCCTCACACACCAGATGTTCCCAGCGAGAGATTGCAAGATCCAAGCGTGAGGCAAGAGACTCGGGAAAGGGGTGGGGGGGGGGGAGCAGGAAAAATCACCTGGTACTAGGAATCATCCGGCAGTGAGGATTCTGAATAATAATAATAATCCTTGCATTTGATATAATGCCTTATCACGTTGTTGAGACGTCTCAAAGCGCTTCACAGAGTATACTATACTGTAAAGTGCAGTGACTGTGTATTTTGGGGGTGAAACGCGGCAGCCAGCTTGAACACACCAACAACAACAACAAGATTCCATTAAGAGAGCACCTTTCACGTCGGGAGGACGTCCCGAGGCGCTATACAGTTGGGTCAGGACCCGAGCATTGGGAGGAATGGTCAGGGTGAGGGGAGGGAAGGGAGGGAGCGAGGAGGGGGGAAATGGTCAGGGTGAGGGGAGGGAAGTGTCCCACTAACAGCCAGGGAGTGAGTGACCCATTTTATTTTGGAGGATTGGTGGCCAGGACACCTGGAGAGAGAAACCCCCTTCTTTTTGTTTCGAACAGCGCCGCAGGATCTTTAATCTCCTCCTGGACAGGCAGATGGGACCTCGGTTTAACGTCTCATTCGAAGTCCTGGAGGAGGAGTCCTGTAGCTCAGTGGTTAGAGCACTCTCTTTGCAAGTGAGAGACCTGAGTTCAATTCCAGGCAGAGGGTGAAACCTTGGGCAAGTTTCCTTACTCCACACAGAGCCTAATAATAATCCCTCCAAAACCAAAAACAATAATAAATTGGTCATTTTCAATCTACGACTGTTTGTGGGACATTGCTGTGCGCAATTGGCTGCCGCGTTCGCCCACAAATATACAGTCAATTCACTTTACAGTATATTCTGTGAAGCCCTTTGGGACGTCCTCCCGACATGAAAAGCGCTATATCAAATGCAAGGATTATTATTATTAAGGATGGGGCCCCCGACAATGTGTGCTTCCCCCAGCCCCGCATTGGAGGCTCCGTTTATACTACAGTATGTGATTCCAAGTTGCGACGTGGGGGCTTGAACCCACAACCTTCTGTCTCAGAGGTGAGAGCGCTACCACTGAGCCAGGCTGACACACACAACCGTTTCCCACTGGTCACTCAATCCGCAACTGTTTGTGGGAGACTGCTGTGCGCAATTGGCTACCGGGTTTCGCCCACAAAATATACAGTCACTACACTTTACAGCATATTCCGTGAAGCGCTTTGACACGTCTCCACGACGTGATGAAGTGTTGCTATACAATACAAAATTACATTTGTAAAGCGTCTTTCACATCCGGAGGGCGTTCCAAGGCTCTGAACAGTCAGGGATTAGGATGAATTGCTATATCAAATGCAAGGATTATTATTATTATTATTAGAGTATTCTCTAATCCTGGCCGGTGACTTGCTGAGCCGGTCGGCAGACGTGGCTTTCGCTCGGCTCCGCAGAGCAGTCGCGAGCTCACCGCAGCTCGAGTGCAGGGCCAAATTCCCAATGTGTTGGCCATTAGCTGTGTGTAAGGGGCTGGCATCTATCCCAGTGACTGCATGGAACAGGCTGGGAAATCTCTGTACACATACATAAAGCACAGGAGCACAGGAACCCCCCCCCACCCACCCCCACCGCAACATAAACACTCTTAGTACGGTTACCCCCTCCCATCAGTAAGGTTAGACACAGAGAAACACTCCTCTTTCTATTCATTATTCCTCTACACACACACTCAACATACATCCAACACACACACACAACACCCCCCCACACACACACCCCCACACACACACACACACACAAGCCCAACACACACTCACACTCGTGCAAAACTGGGATCTTTTTCTAACCCAAATAATGGCCGCAATGGTTTGATAAAACCGCTGTACCTCCAAGCATCTCAAAGTGTGTTGCACAACAAGTGACTTTGTGACGTAGTGACTAGTGACATCTGTTCCCCTCCCCTAAACAATGACCAGTGTCTTGCTTAGTGA